TATTTGTGGGTGGGCTGCGAGACTAACTTAGGCACTGACCGACAGGAGGTCAGGTGCCTGGTTAGTCTCCCTCCAAAAGGGGAGATATGTTACAAACTGCCATTTGTAACTGTTATTTTATTTGACAAATTGCCCTGCTTCCCTGTGTTATGGAGAAGCCTAATTGCCAGCCTTCTGCCCCATGACTATGGACCTAGTGTGTATGGCGATTTGACTGTATTTGTGGGATCTGAGCGCTGTTTGGATATATTGAGCGCTCAGATCCAAGCCATCTGGGGATAGGTTGAATGTGGGGGTTCTGTTCAGTTCTATAGGAGTTATGTATTTTTGTGTCTTTTTGTGTCTTTTGCTAACATGTGGTTAATGGAGTCTGCCTCTATCCCTGGATAATTGGATTACTTTCCCCATTGTCCAGGATAGAGGCCTCTGTAAAACCGGTTTGGGCCAGAAAACCATGCTGCCAGCCAGGCCCCAAAAGACACTTTTGCTAACTTTTGAACCCCTTGTCTGATTTGTGCCATTTTTTAATATGTTGCTCCCCTTAATGGATTGATTCCAAATATGTAATTTTTATGAAGATTGGATGTGTAGTTTGGAAGTTATAGTACATGTATAAAAACTGTATTTTTACTGTTCTGTTTTAATTATGTTATGTGATTATCTGAGGGATGGGAATTTCCCCGAATGTACAGGGAGTGCAGAATTATTAGGCAAATGAGTATTTTGACCACATCATCCTCTTTATGCATGTTGTCTTACTCCAAGCTGTATAGGCTCGAAAGCCTACTACCAATTAAGCATATTAGGTGATGTGCATCTCTGTAATGAGAAGGGGTGTGGTCTAATGACATCAACACCCTATATCAGGTGTGCATAATTATTAGGCAACTTCCTTTCCTTTGGCAAAATGGGTCAAAAGAAGGACTTGACAGGCTCAGAAAAGTCAAAAATAGTGAGATATCTTGCAGAGGGATGCAGCACTCTTAAAATTGCAAAGCTTCTGAAGCGTGATCATCGAACAATCAAGCGTTTCATTCAAAATAGTCAACAGGGTCGCAAGAAGCGTGTGGAAAAACCAAGGCGCAAAATAACTGCCCATGAACTGAGAAAAGTCAAGCGTGCAGCTGCCACGATGCCACTTGCCACCAGTTTGGCCATATTTCAGAGCTGCAACATCACTGGAGTGCCCAAAAGCACAAGGTGTGCAATACTCAGAGACATGGCCAAGGTAAGAAAGGCTGAAAGACAACCACCACTGAACAAGACACACAAGCTGAAACGTCAAGACTGGGCCAAGAAATATCTCAAGACTGATTTTTCTAAGGTTTTATGGACTGATGAAATGAGAGTGAGTCTTGATGGGCCAGATGGATGGGCCCGTGGCTGGATTGGTAAAGGGCAGAGAGCTCCAGTCCGACTCAGACGCCAGCAAGGTGGAGGTGGAGTACTGGTTTGGGCTGGTATCATCAAAGATGAGCTTGTGGGGCCTTTTCGGGTTGAGGATGGAGTCAAGCTCAACTCCCAGTCCTACTGCCAGTTCCTGGAAGACACCTTCTTCAAGCAGTGGTACAGGAAGAAGTCTGCATCCTTCAAGAAAAACATGATTTTCATGCAGGACAATGCTCCATCACACGCGTCCAAGTACTCCACAGCGTGGCTGGCAAGAAAGGGTATAAAAGAAGAAAATCTAATGACATGGCCTCCTTGTTCACCTGATCTGAACCCCATTGAGAACCTGTGGTCCATCATCAAATGTGAGATTTACAAGGAGGGAAAACAGTACACCTCTCTGAACAGTGTCTGGGAGGCTGTGGTTGCTGCTGCACGCAATGTTGATGGTGAACAGATCAAAACACTGACAGAATCCATGGATGGCAGGCTTTTGAGTGTCCTTGCAAAGAAAGGTGGCTATATTGGTCACTGATTTGTTTTTGTTTTGTTTTTGAATGTCAGAAATGTATATTTGTGAATGTTGAGATGTTATATTGGTTTCACTGGTAATAATAAATAATTGAAATGGGTATATATTTGTTTTTTGTTAAGTTGCCTAATAATTATGCACAGTAATAGTCACCTGCACACACAGATATCCCCTTAACATAGCTATAACTAAAAACAAACTAAAAACTACTTCCAAAAATATTCAGCTTTGATATTAATGAGTTTTTTGGGTTCATTGAGAACATGGTTGTTGTTCAATAATAAAATTAATCCTCAAAAATACAACTTGCCTAATAATTCTGCACTCCCTGTATATTGTTCCGATTGGTTATACTGCTAATTATGTGGGTGTCTCCCTTGCATGGGCAGAATCTCATAAAAGCAGAGTGTGTGCCATTAAACATCAGATCTTCTTGACCATCAATACGTAGCCTTGTCTCGTTATTGGAGGGAACTGCTATATCACACTGGGGATTGCTATGCTCTGCATACTCCCCTGAGCTTTTAATCACTTAGCTATTTTAAGAGCTGTTCCTGTTACGCTCTCCTGGAGGAGAGGTCTTCCCCACACGGTCCTGGAGGACAGAAGCTGATCCAGGGTTGAAGGAAGACGGCGAGACTCCAGTTAAGCTACGGCGGTTGTGGAGTCTGCGGTGGTTGTTTTGTCGGCTGCAGTGTTTGGAGTCCTCAGGAAGCGCTAGGAGCATCCATCAACGGAGGGTACTCGGTCGGAGTACAGGGAGCTCCGTTACAGAGACCCACTCCCCAAAGAAATGCTACAGGCCAACATATGCCTCCTGCCCAAACCCAACAAACCCCTTTCAGACCCAGGCCACTATAGACCAATATCCTTACTGAACGTAGACATGAAAATATTCACGAAGATTCTCACCAACCAATTCCTGCCATACCTCACCAAACTGGTCCACCCGGACCAGGTGGGTTTTATCCCCTCTCGCCAATCCAGCGACAACAACAGACGGATGCTGGACCTGATATGGGTGGCCAACCGACGCTCCATCCCAACAATGGGTGAGAGCCCTAAAAGACAATGGGTGGGACCTATCACCCCGGCCCCCACCCCTGAACGGGGGCCCTAAATGAAAATGGGGGCTGGACCTATTGTCTTCCCCCCCCGGCCCCCATCCCTGAGCAGCGACACTCTGATTGGTTGCTTTCAATTAACCAATCACAGTGTTATGAGTCAAATTACACAGCATGGGTAAATTCCAAAGAACTTTCCCACGCTGTGTAAAATGAGACAGAGCACTCTGATTGGTTGGATTTCAAGCCAACCAATCAGAGTGCTGTGACAGGTAAATGTAGAGACTTACCTGTCAGTCTCTTCATTTACCTGTCAGAGCGCTCTGAGCCTAATTGCAGGGCGTGAGAAGGCTTTATAAGCCTTTCCCCGCCCCAACGGAGCTCAGTCTGTGCCATGCCCTCCATGGGTGAAGATGGGTTACTTTTTTAGTGGCTGTTTTTTTCCATCAGATTTTTTGGGCGCTCAGCTTTTTTATTTTATTTTCAAAGTTCGACGGGTATTATGGATTTTTATTTGGTCTTTTTTGGGGGGGCTGAAAAAAGATTTTAGAAGACATCAAATGGTAAGTTATTTTTTATTTACAGGGATTTAGTTTTATTGTTCCCCCCTCACTATTTTTAGGGTGAGGTCTTTATTAAAACAAATTTGGGTCGGGGGTGACTAGGGGCTTGGGGACGCCTAGTCACCTGGGGGGGTATTTACACTTAGCCCCCACCTGTCGCCCATGTGTGAGGGCAGTAGGGGAGGACAATGGGTCCCCCCCTTATTAATATTTAGGGCCACCACCCGCTGCTCAGGGGTGGGGGCCAGGGGAATGACACTAGGTCCACCCCCCTGCCCATTTTCATTAGGGACCCCCACTTGCCACTAATAGGTGGGGGACAGGGGGAGGAAATAGGTCCACCCCCATTATTATTATTTAGGGCCCCCACCCGCCGCTCAGGGGTGGGGGCTGGGGGAGGAGGATACTAGGTCCACCCCCCATTTTCATTTAGGGGCCCCCACCCACCGCTCATGGGGAGGATAATAGGTCCACCCCCTTAGTGTTATTTACGGCCCCCATCCGCCGCTCCGCCGCTGAAGGGCCCCCATCTGCCGCACACCGCCCGAGGGGAGGATAACAGGTCCACCCCCTTACTGTTATTTAGGGCCCCCATCCGCCGCTCAGGGGTGGGGGCTGGGGGGAGGACATTAGGTCCACACCCACCCCATTTTCATTTAGGGCCCCCATCCGACACTTTAATCTCAGTGTTGGCAATAAATAAGTTGCTTTCGAGCTATAGTTTGGGCACTTTGATGCACTAGAGTAACAAGCAGTGCTACAGCTTGCATTACCTTGTCTTGACATTAATAAACTGCTGCTCAGAGCTAACTGCACATACAATTAATCTTTGCAGGTTATCAGCAGAATATAATGGAAGAATCAGGATTGGTCAGAATATTTTTTAATCCTTATCCTGGTGTGAGGAGAGCACATTGCAAATCTTGGAGATTTGGAGGATATGCAGCAACTTAATAATATTTATTTATGCTTGTAATTTAAAAATATTTTCTTTATAATGAATTAAAATGACGTAAAATTGCTTTGAGGCACCATGATTATCTGCGCCTGCATATATCTGATTATTCTAAGAACTGTCTGTACTTTGCGTTTAAAAACGCTTGTCTGCAATATGAGTAAAATAAACTGCACGGTCACCAGCAGAGAGGCTCATAACAGTTTAACAGTGATACTCTAAGAGGCTTGGGGTGGGTCTGTGGTTAATGGCAATTATCCAGAGGGAGGTAGGAGTAGAATCAGCCTTCTGTCTGCAGCTACTGATTTACAGAACACACAGTGGACAGGAGTGAAGGAGGAGGAGAGAGATTAAGAAAGAAAAAAGTCACAGTACACCTGAACAAGGAGTGGCTAAGCCTGAAAAACAGGATCACGTTGAAGTTTCAACATGGCGTTTTGACAAAACTCTGTTGAAAAGTGACTTTGTTTTGGATTTTTTTTTTTTTTAATATTGAGGCTGAGAGCGTGTATATCTGAGCTCAAGATCTGCACGGGGAATCATCATGTTGAGAAGGAAGAAGTGGTACTAAATCAAAGGAAAAAGGTCCCTCCTTACATTTGGAAAGGAGAGAAGATAAAGTCGCCTTTTAGCTCTCCGAGGAGGTAGGTTCACATTGTAACCTGCAGGATACATTTTAAAATTCAGAATTAGTCTGATTGATAGAGAAATCTCCGCAGATTTCATTAACCAGGTGCTAGAACACTGAGAGGTAAAATTTTTAATTTAGGTTACTATAAAATGATTCTTATTTAAAAACTTGTAATTATCTTAAATATATTTCCTGCTTAAGAAACTGTTAACTAGTCAGAGGTGTTCCTTTATGCCAAGCTACAAAGTATCTTAAAGACTTTACTAAGGAAATCGCATGACGTCTCTCTGTGAGTTTAACCTAGTTACATTGTATATCACATATACTTATCATGGTTTCTTGATATAGCCATACCTTGCCGCCTGACCTGTTAATGTGACTATGTGAGGTTTTATAAATCTGATTCCACTCTAAGAATTGTAGGAATGTCTGTATCATTTATGAACATCATTTAGTGTGTGTGTGTGTGATTTATAAGGAAATCTTCTTTATTCTTCTTTTCCATTCGGTTCTAAAGCTCCAATTAAACAGAAATGCAATTAAGGGGATATTTCTATAGATAAATTATTAAGTAACTGTGAACTTATTACAAATGTATGTACTGCATAAAATACATTAGTCTCCTATGGGTCAAAAATCAATATATTAAACAAGTGAGCGTCATGTTAAAAGATGGAGTTTTGGATCAATTTTTTTAATATACTTAATATGTACTATTTTTACATATTTAATATCCTTACCATGTAATATACTGTGTAATAATCGTAATAATACTTTGCATATTATAATTATAGTGACTGATTTCTATCATCTTGTTTAAAGTTGATAAAGAAATACGTTTCCTCTAGATACAACACTATGGAAATTATTGGCTATTTATACATAAAGAACAGACACATAATTTGGCCCATTCCAAAACTAGACAACACAAAATGTAATCCAGTAGAATATCAGTTCTTGATTTTGGTTACATTTCTTCTGTTTTACTTGACTTGTTATTTAAAGAATGATATATATAGACTGGATTCTTTAAATGTGCTAGTTAGGGAGTCAGTCACTAAACAGTGAGGGTTGTTGAGCTGGTAATCAGCTTAAAATGCTTATGCCAAAACAGAATTGAATACTTTTTCCAGTTTGGTTATCTTGTCCTGATATTTTGCCAAGGCAGTTCACAAATCACAGCAACACACTGTGGAGTAAGTCAACCCTTAAAGGACCACTATAGTGCCAGGAAAACATACTCATTTTCCTGGCACTATAGTGCCCTGAGGGTGCCCCACCCTCAGGGTCCCCCTCCCGCCCGGCTCTGGAAGGGGGAAAGGGGTAAAAACGTACCTTTTTCCAGCACTAGACGGGGAGCTCTCCTCCTCCGTTCCTCCTCCTGGGCTGAATGCGCACGCGCGGCAAGAGCTGCGCGCGCATTCAGCCCGTCGCATAGGAAAGCATTTACAATGCTTTCCTATGGACGCTGGCGTACTCTCACTGTGAAAATCACGCAAGCGCCTCTAGCGGCTGTCAATGAGACAGCCGCTAGAGGCATTGGGGGAAGGCTTAACCCATTCATAAACATAGCAGTTTCTCTGAAACTGCTATGTTTATAAAAAAATGGGTTAACCCTAGCTGGACCTGGCAGCCAGACCACTTCATTAAGCTGAAGTGATCTGGGTGCCTAGAGTGGTCCTTTAAGCTGTATAAATATGTTCAATAGAATATATCAGGTAAAGAGGATTGTGTGAAAGGGAACAAACTCCAATTGTTCAGATTTTCTTTCCCCAGTGGATTTCAAGTTTACATTGGGCATTCATATAGTGACAGCTGGTTTTCAGGAACAAGATCAAAGCACTCTTAGTTTGCTATACCCATATCTCAATCATATTTTATTTGTGACTTCCCCACAAAAAGGACCCAGATAATGAAAATCATAATGGCATCTAAATACTTCAAATTGCTTCCAGGCTTAAGGATGTGTCTTTCGGGTGCAAACAAAATTACTACCATCTGATCTTTTTCTGGGTATAAATTGTAAATGTACAACTAATTACATTGACACTCATGTTTCAGAGTTTAAACATGAATAATTGTTATAGGGAAATGGACTCCATTTACAGAAATGGTGTCTTAATGTTCAATGGTATGAAGGCAATTAGGCCAATGAAAAAGCTTTTGTGAATATTGTATAGTAATTGTACATGTCCTTTGGGGGTTAAAAGGGCTGGTATGGTTTAAAATTACTAGAGCATGATGCCGACCTATATCCCTGTTTATTTTAAGGCATTGTGATACTTTACATAATGTCTCTCTATGCATCAGTTATTGGAAACTCCGTTCTGTAATACTGTGTTGAGATCACCTTTTTGGTGTTTTCTAAAAAATAATCTAATGTACCCCGATAAGTCTGTGTATTTGCAGCAGTGAAGTGACTTTAGCAGATTTGGATGTATCATCCCAAGAACTGTTAATGGACACACACGTTTTGCTTACAAGAGCAATACCATAAGATTCCAACACCAGGATATTGTACCCTTTTCAAAATGCAATATTGAGGTTGTGTTTATATTTACGCACAAGGATACCTTGTAGCATGCCGTTTGTCTTGCATTTGCCTACAAATTATTTTTAAGCGTACTTTATTTCTTGTAAAATTAGCAACATAATTAGGACAGAGTGTTATTGTTGGTTGTAGATGGAGACGTACTTTGATCTGTAGATGTATGTTGTGTAAGAGTGAAAATAGTGCAAGGCGGCTGCGCAGAGCATATACTGATTTGCCATAGATAAGTAAATTATTGTGAAATGGCATGTAGCAACAAACTGGGGTGGCTATATATCCGGGGAGCCTGTGTCCCCTTTTATTGTGTCATTCTAGATAGATCAGGTAATCAGTTATATAAGTGTGCGGGAACTAGAGTGATCCATAATTTCAAGTCTAAATTGAGATAGATTATTTTCTGTGTCCACTTTATTGAATAGGTTGAAAGGATAAAACATTATATTTGTTGCAAGCGCTAAATTAAAGTTCTGTAATGTTGGTGACAATTGCTGTGTGTGGACTTAGGAAATGTTAAGACATTAGTATGTCTCATCTCAACAGCACATTGTAAAACTTTCCACTGGCAGACTTTTAAAACCTTAAGGACACATGACATGTCTGACATGTCATGATTCCCTTTTATTCCAGAAGTTTGGTCCTTAAGGGGTTAAAATGCCTGCGAGACTGAAATTAGTGTTTATCTTTGTACCTAAACAGTTGCCTGAAACGGTAACTAAACAATTAACTTTGCAAGAGAAATTTGACTGTTAAATTATTTGGAAAATTGTCAGCCTTAGGGATCGATAGCTTGAGAGCTATAGCCAATTGCTTTTAAAAAACATATTCATATAAAGCAAGACCAGTGTTTATTTACATAGAAAATGCAAATATGATTGTTCTATCTGCAACATGTATTCAAGAGTAATCTGACTCTATACTTAATTACCATTTTAAGTGGACACTTAAATCAATCTAGTCATTATAGTTTACACTACAGGAGCCGTTGACAATTAGATGAATCCTGCTTAGCCAAACATGTATTTAAAAGTGTGGAATATATGAATACACATTTTTACACAATTTGCAGATTAAAAATAAAAAATCACTTCCTTCTAGATTATGATCAATAGTAACAACAGATGCTCATGCCGTAACAAAGGTATTTGTCGTGCTGTATGCGTAGTGATATCTTTCCACACCTACATTTAAAGAATTGTATGTAGATGTCCTTTATTGAGCAATCTTAGTTACATAGAACCAGACCTAATTCACTATGATCAGATTTCCTTTGTAAAAGGTCTAATATTTCTAATGTGTTGTGAACTCGAGAAGGATGCGACTGCTTAATGAATCCTCTACAATGAGGGTAATAATACAAGTGCAAAAAAATTAGCAAAGGCTCCTTTCCAGGTGAGTGTATTTAATGAAATCGGTTAAAAATGTCTGACCAGATTTACACTGTAAATTGCCAGGAATTTGAAGTGTATTTTAAAATTGAAGAAGACAAAATAGCTGAAAAAGAAAACCATCTCCAAGTTAGTTCTGTTCTCAAATTGGCTGTTCTGGTCTTACATTTAAAATTTGTAATTCCCACTTTTAGTGACTAACCTTGTAAATGTTTATTGTTACAATACGTAGAAAATATGTCTGAAATTGAAGAAAATGGGAGTGATGTTGCATTTAGGATTGTAAACCAGACCTAAGTAGCTCCTCTCAAAAATTGTCTTGCAGTTTCTTAAATTTAATGTTGTCTAAGAACTCTGTATTTTGAGATTGCAATAGGACCAAGGGTAAATGGGAAAAGGGACTCATTCAAGAAGAGTATTAGGAAACACAGGGGAATCAACTCCAACAATTGAGCCCAGCTGATGAAAATAATGTAAAAATTTATCATAGCGCTGAATCAGAAGGGATTTTGTCCACAGGAGGAATGTCACCCAGCCAGCTGTAATGCACATAGCAGATAAACGTGTAGCTGGACTGCACATATAGACAACCAAACACACCAATATGTGTCACCTTAGTACACAACAACCACACATGCAATAGAATTCTGGCACAGGGAAATGTCCCTGGGCACAGGGGAGTGCTGGAGGTAGAATTGGCATTGGTGTGAGAGTGATAGATAGAAAGTGACAAATCAGTTCTGATTCAAAAGAAACATTATTTTAATGTCAGATGGATATTATTTAAATGATTGTATAATCTAAACTGTAAACTTTAAAAATGATAACGCGATGGCCCAGGTGATTCAATAAATACAGTGGCAGTCACAATGTGAACATGTAACTACATTGAAAGTTTTAGGTTCCTGATTGTTTATTTAATTTTTTTTGAAATCTGATTGCAACACATTTTCTGGACTTCCCCTAATCAGAAACCGTGACTTTTCAGATGATCATCTCTGTAGTTCTACTATCCTGTTTCCTGATTTAAAACAACCCTACTGTCTAGTCATTGTTAAATGTTGGTGACATCATGTTTTTTTTACTAGCAGGGTTTATTCCACCAAAGCCATGGCCGCAAACACTTGGTGTAACATCCGGCTCTTGTGTAACAATATAAACGTATATATATCTTTATAAATCATTATACTGGTAACTAATCAGGCATCACTTTATTATTTCAGACTTTTTTTTTTTTTTAATGGATACAATTTTGTTTGCATGTTATGTGTATAAGCAGGTCATAAACATAAGGATTCCATTATAGAGAGGACAAATTATACCCTGTAAGAATAAATAGCCAAATAATAAACAAGGCACCATATTGATACTGAGTTTGCACTACTAAGTGAACAGTTCATATTAAATCCTTATTTTTCCAGATATTTATGGCACAGCTTCCAAGTATCAAGTAATGTTGTGCAAACTTTGACAAATGATATTTTGGTAATTCATATTGACTGCAAAATTATTAGTTTGAAAAAAATAACTTATAACGTTGACAGATCTGGTTTATAATCGACCCATTTACTGTGGTGGAAAAGTGTGCTAGGTTATGTCTAGGAAAATGATATTCCTTCTCTAGACTGGTCTATAAGACAAGTATATCTTGGCTTATTCAAACGTTACAAATAATTTAGCTCATTTCACATTAATACTAACAAAGAACTAAAATTCTTTGTGTTTCTAACACACCTCCCATATATTTATATTTTAAATTAAATAGCACCTTTAGTCTGTATTACAAGAACCGATATCACTGATTCAAGTGAGATGGTCAAAGTCAAATTATTAAGCCCTACCAAGTTTATTCTGTGTGTAAAGTCGCCATTACGCTCTCTAAACATGTCAATGACAATGTCAGACATTGCAGAACCGCAAAAACATACATTTTGCTGATGCACATGCATAGATTAAGAAATATACTTACTTACTTAGAGAAGAAGCACTTATGCTTTTCCATTTGAGCACCAGGTTCTGCAAAGGAAGTACAATTTCATTATTTAATCTAAAATAACTTACATTTATAATATAGATAAACTGAAAAGCTCAACAAAATATGCCTTATCTTCCAAATCTGGTTTTCTCTGTCATGTATTGTAGTCACACTGACACACACCATATAGCAATGTTCATATGTACACTAGTACAGATAAACAACATTCATCCTAAACAATTACCCTGCCATCCTAAACAATTTCCTTACTGATGTTTATCATCCTTAACTGTCTGAGCACCTGATAAATTAATTTAACTAGAAATGAAAGTTCAGATACACACCAAAGGAAAGAAATGAAAATGAAAGGAATAAGAAATATTTTTTGCTATTCCTGACATATTTGACATAATGTATACAATATACAGTATGTATAATGAAGTACTGTTTTTCCATAATGCTGATTTCACATAACTATTCTAAGAAACTGACAGACAAAATAGATGTTCATTTTGCTGTAACAATGCATCAGTGATTTTTTTTGTGTTAAATTACATTTTCAAGACTCTGTATACAATTGGAAGCACCCTTGACTAGATCACTCCTTAATCATGTAATAATGTTGATCAAATAAAAAAGCAGACATAAAAAAAGTGTAGTAGAAGTAGGCATACAAATGTAGACTGCATTATCCTTGCCCAATAATTTTGATAATGTAGTTTTAATAGATCATAGCGCTATAATATAGAGCAATAACCATGAACGCAAGACTAAGGCTAACCCTAAATGTGACCCTAACCCCAAGCTAATGACATGAATGACCTAATTATAATTTGAAGCAAGTAACTTTTTAAAATGACAAGAATCTGACGCAAGTAGAACCAACAATAAACTAAAGCAAGCTTTAAGATTGTGGCACTTGAGCTGATAAAGTTTGTATCACTAGTCAAAATCATAAATATGCTTTTAAACAAAAGTTATAATAAACATCATTAAAAAAAAAAATCAGGATACTTAGATTATCAACTTAAAGGGACACTCCAGGTACCCAGACCACTTCTGCCCATTGGAGTGGTCTGGGTGCCAACTCCCACTACCCTTAACCCTGCAACTGTAAATCTGCAATAATTACATTGCAGGGTTAACTCCACTTCTAGTGGCTGTCTACTAGACAGCCACTAGAGGGCTCTTCCTGGTCTATAGCACAGGTTTTTCTGTGCTATAGCGTCGCTGGACATCCTCACGCTATGTGAGGACCTCCAGCGTCGCTAAAATCCCCATAGGAAAGCATCAAAAGCATTTTCAATGCTTTCCTATGGGGAGGTCTAATGCACGTGCGCGGCATCGCTGCGCATGCACATTAGGTCTCATTCCGCCGGCGGCCGCGCATGCACAATCGGTTTCCCCGACGGCTGATGTCGGCGGGGGAGGACCGTGGGCGGGCCCTAAACCATCGGCGGTGGTCTCAGGTAAGTCACTGAAGGGGTTTTTTGACCCGTTCAGCAACATGGGATGGGGGTTGGGAGGGAGAGGGAACCTACAGTGCCAGGAAAACGATTTGTTTTCCTGGCACTGGAGTGTCCCTTTAAAAAGTTCTTCAATGAAAAATAAGTTTTTAGTGACCATCTTTAACAAAATTAATACACAAAAACATCTGTATCAGGATTATTTGTAAGTTATTCTAATGCTTTCAAAAGGAGGACGTGTTCATGCAAGCGAGTAGTCAACAGATGGCATTACTCTGGGGTGGGAAGAAATGGATTTACCAAAACAAAACAATAAAAAAAACTCCAGTTGATTGATTTATAACATGCAAGTCAACTGACAATCAAATCAATCCCCAAATCTGAAATCACAAAGTGTATGCTTTGCCATAAAAGAGATTTCAAAAGACTTGTGGATGTGAAGGGAGGACCTTTGGGTCAAATATAATCAAACTGATTTTTTTGTGTGCTCACAATTCAGATTTCTGATCTTTAGCAGTATTATCTGACCTATGACAGACTCTATGTCTTGCAACTCCATTGCCACCATTGATAACTAGCATAGCATGTGTTCAATCTGTGGTCACTGGTAGTAAACACCTACAAGGATATTCTACAGTTTATGTAGTTTGACAGATTATTTAACTGCATATATTGCAGTCTATTGGTGGTTAATGTAGTGCGTAATCCCAGGCCTGGAGAAGATTGAGATCGGGGGTCACCAACATATGCCCAAACCCACACAGTGCAGGGGAGAGGGATGGGACACCTCCCTTGTCAGCACTTCTGTGGCTAATTACCTTTCGATCTAATCTTTCATTTTACCATATGATTCTTAGTGTGAGTTTTATCTACTGTACTTTAGCTTCGGCAGACTGTCTTATCAGAAATATAGTTCAATTAGCCTTTCCCAACATTAGTGCGAAGGTCACCATGACTTTAGCTTCTATGCATGTGTTTGATTGTATCAGGAAGACCTGTTTTCTTTGCTAACTGCTGCTGTTGTGTCATGCTTAAAGGGACTGCCCAAATTAATAAATCACTATTTAGTTGAAATATCCCAAATTAAAACTCAAACATTTAATTATGCATTTTTTTCACTGGAAGTATATCTTAAACAGCTTGTAAAAGCCACAGATCTCTTGTCTCCAGCCTTTGCAAGCCCTCCCCTTCTAACCCTGCCCAGACATTCTGTGGCTGTCCAATCACAGATTTCCCAATACAGCTGAATGAGAAATCTTTGCAAGACCATTGCTCTGGGCAATTGTTGCCTCTTGAGTTTAGCTCCACTGAGCTAACCATACCAGGAAGTAACTTAAATAATTTCCTGACAGCCAGGGTGTGTAGCAAGATTAATTTATTAAAGTACCAATTTCTATTGAAATCTGAACATTTTGTAAAATAAAAAAAAGGACTCCCTCTTCACACATAATGCACTTTAGCATGCTGAAATGCTTGGAGTGTGCTTCTAAATTGTATTTGTCCCTTCGTAACACTTTCTCCAAATCCATATTTTGTTTACAATGTTACGAATATTAATCATTAATGATACCAGATCTAGAAAGTCACAAGATTATGTAATGCACTGAATTCAAATGATTTTGAATGATCAGTCCTTTGATACTCCTTTTTACAGCACAATAAAACAGATAGATATGCTTTATTGCTAAAGGGACACTCCAACATTAGAAACAAATTCACAAAATATATTGTTTGTACTGTTGGGGTGTCCCTTTATTATTTTAGATCTAGGGCACCCCACTGTTTCTCTAACATCGTTTGGTGTGAAGTCAACAGATAGGGCACAATACAGTCATACTGTTTTAAAAAGGATTTCTCCATTCTGTACAGTATACAGGAAACATTGTGCCATTGTAATTTTGAAGCTGAATGTTAGTGTATATCAGATGTGTTCTGATTGCAGACTTTGAGTAATTAAGATGTGTTTCAGTGAATTATTAACTTGCTTGGATATTGCTTCGAGTCCAAACTGAAAAAAGAAAACAGGAGAAGGAATTTTCCATAGATATGTCTATATAGTTCTCTAGTAGACTATGTAGTTCTCAAAGACTAGTTAAAGAAACACTAAGGACACCAGAAAAACTACAGCTTAATGTAGTTGTTCTGAGGAGTATAATCACTCTGTGCAGGCATTTTCATGCAAACACTGCATTTTCAGGGAAAAGGCAGTGTTTACATTGCCCCCTAGGGACACCTCCAGCAGCCACTCCTCAGATGGCCACTGGAGGTGCTTCCTGGGGCAGTGCTGCCGTTCACGGAGACGCTAAATTTACCTCATAGGGATGCATTGATCCAATGCCGGCGCACCCATGCAGCGCTGGAAATAAGGTGAGTTTTAAACCCTTCTAAAGGGGCTATGGAGGGCAAGCCGCCTAAATAGTGGTTTTAACTCATGTTTGTGTTCCTGACCCTATTGTGTTCCTTTAAAGAAAGCAGCCACCCTCTATCTGTTACATTTCAAATACTACTATTAGAGACATAGAACACACAAACAAACACTACCACTGGCCAATGCTAGACATTTATCTTTTCTCAAAATAAAAAAAACAAAGGAAAATTCAAGTAATAAAATATTGAATGTAATATATTAAAATAGGCTAAACCAAATGTTAAAAAACAGCTGATAAAAAATCCAGAAAAGTTATTGCACAAGTATAGTAATAAAAATGTGAATCAACGTGTACCCAGAAAATCCATTAACTTGCCTGTCCATTCACTTGCCTATTAAGCTTTTGATGTCTATTTACAAGATACTTCACAGATCTGGAACTCCTGCACTCCTGCCCTACTACAGCCCATACCTTGGGAATTTACAGTCCAGTTCAGCCACATCAACCTTTATTTGTTTACAGCTTCACTTGCTATCCACTACCAGCAGAAAGCTTAACTGTCCAGAGTCAAAAACATGTTTACCCTTCCACAGCCTCCCAAGATCACACATTAATAGCTTTTTTTTTTTTTGGTCCAGCCACATACCATTTTATTCAGCTACAGCCCACCTGTGTTCATTTACATCCACCCAAACCCACCATGATAATTTGCACATATAGTCGCCAAACTCAGCAGCACTGCCTGTTTGATTGCTTCACTTGCTCTAACATCAGGAAACTTTTTGTAGCCTCCAAAACACACCAAATTTCATCTTCCTCTAGTTAGTTGTGTCACCTACCATCATATTAGGATGTAGAGTATGGGGTTCAAATATTTAAGAGGGTATCATGTCTCATGTATGCTGATTCCAAAACATTTTAATTTTCCTCCAATTGACATGCAATGACATATCATCATAAAATACACAGTGCAAATAAAATTCTAAAAAATATATTCTAGAAAGTATCTTCACTTATAATATTGGTCTCTCACCCTAAAACATAACATGTCTGTGGATTGGATACTTGACTAGTATTAGAGTTTTCATTGCAGTAGATGAAAGATTGTGTTATTTATTCCCCTAAATTTCTCTTCTTTCTCTAGTTTTACGCCTCCATTTCATTTAATGTTCCAGGTCATAATATCATAGGAGTTTATTAAAACCTTGTGACAAAGGGTTTTCTTGAGTGTGCCCAATGACAGGGTGTTTGAAATGTATTACTAAATAACAGGATCACTTTTATAACTATAGATAGTATTTTATGTGTAAATGATTTCTTGTTTTGTAACAATGACGTTGAAAGTTAAAGGGATCCTATAGTGCCAGAAAAACAAAGCCGTTTTCCTGGCACTATAGGGTTAATAGGTTCCACCCCTCCCACTGGGCTGAAGGGGTTAAAAACCCTTCAACCACTTACCTGAATCCAGCGCTGATGTCTCTCTGTGCTGTGCCATGCTCCGCCCACGCTCCTCCCCCGCCGACATCAGCTAGCGAGGTAGACCTAGTGCGCATGCGCAGCAATGGCCACGTGTGCATTAGCCCTCCCCATAGGAAAGCATTATTGAATGCTTTCCTATGGGAAAAATCTGACACTGGAGGTCTGTGAGGACATCCAGTGTCAGATAACAGACCAAAAGTTAGACAGCCACAGAGGGCAGACTTAGAGCTACAATGTAAACATTGCATTTCTTTGGAACTGCAATGTTTAACATTGCAACACTAAGTGCAAAAGGGTCACAGCACCCAGACCACTTCAATTAGCTGAAGTGGTCTGGGTGCCTACAGTGTCACTTTAAAGGAACACTCTAATCACCATAGCCACTAAAGCTCACTCTAGTGATTATGTGGCAAAGAGTGCCTTGGCACCCTTCACTGTAAGTAGTCAAACCATTTGCTAATGGCTTTACGTCTTACCTGGGCTCCACTAGGCACCAGTCACCTTCTCTATGAAGAGCAATAAGCTCCTATATGGAGCCTTTGTTAACTCTCCTGAGCTAAAACCCTGCCATGCAGTATCAGCTGATTGGCTGAGAGTGTCATTTTGAGGGGGTACCAGAGCCTTTAACTCCTTCACTAATTGACTTGTGTATACACAATATCCAGGGTATGTTCCCATACCCTGGAATTGTGTATACACAATTTTAACAATTGCAAGCAAAATGTATTTATTGCAAACAAATATAATTTGCTATTGGTGCCCATTTTATTATGGGCATTCTGCCTCTGAAGCCACTATTAGAGCACCAACTCATTGGGGCATGCAGTCTTTCCTCTGGTCGGTGATGGAATCTCAAGATCTCATCATCAGCTCTCTACTCTCTTGCAACAGTGAGGGAACTCCAGGTCTGTACTAGGGATCGACCGATATTGATTTTTTACATCTGATACCGATAATCTGTGAACTTTCAGGTCGATAGCCGATAATTTACCGATATTCTGTACATTTACCATTTTTTTTTGAAAAAACCAAAAAACAATTTCTACACAAATCTACTGTTAACTGAACAGGTTTATTATTTATTTTATTTTTTTGCAGATTTTTTTATTAAGGTACATGCACAAAATATACATGCTAGTCAGAATTTTTTATGTTTTCAAGAATATATGTGTGTAGTGAATGAAGTGAAAGTATTTGATTAGTGAATGCAACGTGTGTGTGTTTGTGTAGTGGATGCAGTGTATGTTTATGTAGTGGATGCAATGTGTGTGTTTGTGTAGTGTGTGTATAGTGAATGCAGCGTGTGTTTGTGTAGTGTGTATATAGTGAATGCAGAGTGTGTGTTTTGTGTAGTGTGTGTATAGTGAATGCAGAGTGTGTTTTCTGTAGTGTGTGAAAAGTGGATGCAGTATGTTTGTGTAGTGTGTGTATATTGAATGCAGTGTGTAGTGGGTGTATAGTGAATGCAGAGTGTTTGTATAGTGTGAAATTGGGGGGGAGATTTTTATAACTTTAAAAAAAAATATATAACATTTTTTTACATTTTGTTTTAGTCCCCCCTCCCTGCTTCTTACCTAGTCAGGAAGGGGGGATATAGCATTCCCTGGGGGGCCCGCGGCGGTCCTGGGCAGCCCAGCACATTTCTTACTTACCCTCCCAGCAGCTCCCCTGTCTAACTCTCGCGGCCTACGTGCCGCGCGGAGCGTTGCCATGGTAACCTGTGGTAATGCTCTGACAGCCGCGTGACTCGCGAGAGTTAGACAGGGGAGCTAAAGGTAACTACTGGGAAGGTAAGTAAGAGTGTGCTGGGCCCCCCGGGACCCTGATGGCGGCCATGGTCTGCAATATCGGTATCTTTATTGGCCGATACCGATATTGCTGAAAATACAGAATATTGGCCGATTAATATCGGCCAGACCTATAATTTGCCAATCGCTAGTCTGTACCTCCACTAGGCGTAGATCACTGCCAATGTTTCCTCCTGATCACAGATTGAAAGGAGCATTTATAGTAATGCTTACCTGTTATGGCGCTCATTCTCCCCGATCCAACAATGGAGCAAACGCTGCACGCTGCCCAATAAACCCACCTGCCTAATATAATGTAGGTCCCCCTCGTACTAAAACAGCTCTGATGCGTAAAGGCCTTTTATTGTGGCCAACCTAAGGCACACCTGTGCAATAATCATGCTGTCTAATCAGCATCTTGATATCTCGGCAAAGGAGAAGTTCAGTGTAAAATAGCATGATATTAGCACTTTTTAGCCAAATAGCATGTGTACTAGGTATTGTGCACACTAATCTTTTAAGATTAACAACAGATCACTTAAAGCTAGATCAATGTGTAAATTAAAATTTGATCTACAAAATAAAAAAAGACTTTAGTGTATTTCTAAAGAGGTAGCTGTGTTTTTTCAGAAAATATTACAGGGAGTAGATTCTGCTGTAAATCAGAGAGAGTATTCATTATTTAGCCAGGGCTCAACAGCTGTATTCAATTGCTGTGTGTCTTCCACAACCTACTTGTGAAAAAATCCAAGAAATTTGATACAAACATAATACAAAAATGTTTTCCTGCGCTGCTTCCAAAGTTACAGCGTGATTCAGTAGCAAATCCTTTGCATCCTCAGCTAAGAAATACCCCACTATATCACTACGAAAAGTAAATTATTTTATTTTAGAAATGTTAATAGAGAACGAATTGGTGACTGATAAGAAATATTATCCTATTTTTATATCCTCTTTGCCCCAGAAATTAGCGACATGGAGAGAAACAAAGAATAGAGGAAAGTGTCTAAAATATTCAAAAACATTTTTTTAAATTTTTCCTTTTTGAGCAGTGTGTTTTAGCAAACACTTTTTTGTATTTTTCAACCAATTAAACAATTAGAAGTAGACTTCTGCACAAATGTTTCAGGTGGTACAAACAAATCAAATGCCTTATTAATTTACGATTGTGTGAATCGATCCACCACGATTTACCAGTGGAGTCTTCTTCAATGAATAAGACTCAACAGGTAAATCCTGAATGGATTGATTTGTTTGGGCATAGATGAAAAGGAATTTGATAAATTTATACCACCTGAAATGCATTTGTTCACGAGTCCAATTACAAGGTTCTAAGTATACATAACATTGTCTCTGGAGAACGTCATTCTTCTGGATCCTGCATATCTCTCTGAACTGATTTTTCTTTTTACAGAGACCTGTAGAGATAAGAAAAGGGAACTTGTGAAATTAATGCATATGAATGAACAATCATGGTTATGTATACATTTTTTTAGCCATTTTTTTAATATATTTTTAAAGGGTTCTAATATAAAATGGAAGGGAATTAAAGAGAATTAAAAATGTTTTACGGTCTAGATAGAAATACACTAAATATATCTATATATTAATAGTACATTCATTTTAAAACGCTTCGACTTTCTGTCTGGATGCATTGTATGTCATTGCATTGATTGTGTGTTTTGTATTTTTGTAAATGCCATTTATAGCGGTTTTATAGGCAGTTCTAGCAGCATGCATTTTATGCATCTTTTAAAGATTATTGGTGGAATATACTTTTAAACGAACATTCTATTTGATTAATTTTAAAATCTCTTTTGAAAGCTTTTTGATGTATTTACACTTTTTTCTGTAACTGCATATTCAAATATTCATGAAACTAAAAATCAGTTTGAAAAAAGTTTTAAAAATTCATCAATTTCCTATCTTGGAGGTAGTCACTTTATAACTGACCTGTCACGGAAAGGCAATTAATAGTAAAGTTTTCCCACTGTATAATGTAACCGATATGCAAATTATTTGGTCCATTACATTGCTCCCCAGCAATGTAATACACAAAAATAGTAATTTATGCCAAGCATTGATAGCACATAAATATAGGACACAGTTTTGGGTAAAGATTACTGTTCAGGAATATCTAATTTTGTGACATATGTTATTGTGATAAACATATATATATATATTGGTTAAATAATCTGAAAGCTTTTGTAAAGAACCTGCTGCTATTTCTAAGAATACAGCTTACTAAAACAGTCATCAGAATATACAAAAACATCTGTCAGTATAATGCCCGTATTCACTAACCATACTTTTTCCTCTTTTCTTTACCCATGTCCCTCTTTTCTAGGCGCTCCATATTATTGGTGTGCCCTGCCCATGGTCGCAACCCCAACTCACACTCCTAAAATTAAAGTGTCCCTTTTTGTCCGTATAAAATGTTAGGAGGTATGATACATTTACACCCCATGTCTGTATCCATCTTGCCATTCTGACTGCTACAATGAAGTTTGACCTGCAAATGTTCAGTGTGAGTGGGGCAAGGGTGGTGGGGAGTGAAGTTTATGACTTAATGTAGAAACCCTATACATCAACACTTGATTCACATAATATTAATTATTATGTTCTATATCCCATTTGTTTTCATGTGCTATTGTAGCAAGCAAAATACACTCTAAACACACTACATAAGCCAGAGGGGTTTGTGTCACATTGAAAAACACTGTCCTTGTGGACTACAGGGGTTAGCTCAGGAGGTGGTTGTTTGTTATTTTATAGATCAGGGGTAGTCAACCTGGTCACACACACACACACAAACACACAGCACCCTTTACACACACACACACACACACTGCACCCTTCACACACACTGCCCCCTCACACACGCTACACCCTTCATACACACACACTGCCCCCTTACACACGCTACACCCTTCACACACAAACACTGACCCCTCACACACACACTGCACCCTTCACACACATTGACCCCTCACACAGACTGCACCTCTCTCACACACACAAACACACAGCACCCTTCACATACACACAAACAGACACACACACTACACCCTTCACACAAACACACACATAGAAAAAAAAGTAGAATAGAAAAAAAAAGAGAAAAAAAATAGATAAATTTAAGTACATTTGCAATATAAAATTTGTTACTGCGGCACTGGTGGGCGGTAAGGATTTTACCATCAACAAAGATACAAAAGTAGGTGGTAGGTATTAAAAGGTTGACTAATCCTGGTGTAGATAGTCAGTTATTCAAAGCAAATTCAAATTGAATTTAAAGTATAAGACAAAACAATGGTCATACTGGAATCATAGCTAGCTTGGAGCATTTTCTAACATCAAAATCACATTGAATTCACATTATAGGGAATAGCCCTAAAGGAAATATTGCACAGTGGTAAATTTTAGACTTGTCTAACTCTCTAAAAAAATCTATATTAATACATTTGTAAACTGGAAATCAGAAATGCAGACTTTGTCAAAAGACATTTGCATTTGAAAGAAAAGTTGTGCAACCTTGCTTTCTAGTATCTGCCATCATTTACAGGATTTAAGCCTTTCATCTCATTTAAAGTTTAAAGGTTTTACTTACAGTCAAATATTCTAATTACTGTACTGTTTGCAAAGTTATACTTTTATATATAATTTAAAGCTTAAAATCATTAAAGTGCATTTCCATTTGTGCTTATGTTAACACAGTTAACAGATACTCTTGCTACTGAAAGAAAGAGAAAGACGTCATTTTCATTTTTCACTAATTATGTAATTTGTGTTTTTCTAACGTGTGTGGATTTTATTGGGTTTTCAAGCTCTAAATGCATTTTTAAAACTACTTGTTTAGCTAGCCTGTAATGGTTACATAATCCCCTTTATGAGATTATATAACTATAATTGAGCAAATCAGACCAGTGCTCAGAAACAGTGAAGAACAGGTAACAATAAAATTGTCTTACCTACCCCTTGACTTAAAATATATTTTTTGTTTTGTCACCATAGTTAGGTGTGCTCTGTTGAAAACCATCTTGTAAAATGAAGGTAGGTTACTGGTTTGCAGATATAGGGTTCTTTAACCCCCGATTTCTACATGGTCCTGGCATGCTGGCAAGGTTTGTGCAGAAAGCAGATTGTGCATGGGGACATCCATCATCTAGAAAATTCTCATAGGAAAGCATTGACTCAATGCGTTCCTACAGGGAAGTCCTAATGCGCCCTCGCCGCTCAGGCTTATTAGGTTTCCACTTACAATGACGTCAGAGGAAGCGGACATAGAGCCAGTGTCGAGGTGCCTCGGTGCTGGAATAAGGTGAATGTTTAAAGGATTATTTAACCCGGACGCGGGGGGAAAGTGGGCATAGGGCACTGTAGTGTTAGCAATGGAGCTTTGTATTCTTAACACTATATTGTTCCTTAAAGAATAGTTATATTTTACTTAGTCTTTCCTAATCCATATACAAAAGGTAGATCTACATCTATTTAAAAAACAAGAGACCAAAATAGTGTAATACGTAAAACCACTTAAATTAAGACCTTTCTGCTGCTTTCGACACTGTTGATAATCAACAACTTCAAAGTTAAACTCACAAATTCACAAATGGAAAAGGCTCATCAAATAGTATTCTTGTCTTCCAGTCTGTGCTGTTATAGGGTATCTTCATGTATAGAAGGGAAATAAAAAAAATAGCCATAGTGCAACACTGTAGAATCAAATTCATACACTGCTTTATTAATTTGAATTTACAAGATGTAAAACAAGAGATTAAAAATAAGAAAAGGGCGTTTAAAGCATTTAAATCAGACAAATCAGAGGTATCCTATTTAAGATATAAGGAAACCAAAAACGCTTGCAAAAAGGTAATTAAAGTGGCTAAACTAGAAAATGAGACATTGATAGCTAAAGAATGCAAAACCAACCCCCCCAAATTTTTTCAGGTACATACAATTCTAAAAAAACAAAAAATGAAAGTGTAGGTACACTGGAAACAGAGTTGGGTTTATTAGCTAATGAAGACCAGTAAGGTTTTGTCATGTATAAAAAGGGGCATAAATTCTCGGGATGAAAATATAATTTTGCCTCTTTATAAATTGCTGGTAAGACCACACCTTGATTATGCTGTGCAATTTTGGGCACCTGTTCTAATGAAAGATATCATGGCACTAGAAAAAGTCCAGAGACGAGCTACAAAATTGATAAAAGGAATGGAGCATTTTAGTTATGAAGAAAGGTTTAAAAAATTAAATTTGTTTAGTTTGGAAAAACTGCGCCTGAGATGGGATATGATAACTTTATACAAATATATTCGCGGGCAGTACAAACCTTTATCTGGAAATCTATTCATAAACAGGGCTATACATAGGACACGAGGTCACACATTTAGACTGGAAGAAAGGAGATTTCATCTAAGGCATAGAAAAGGTTTTTTTATAGTAAGAGCAATAAGGATATGGAATTCTCTGCTTGAAGAGGTGGTTTTGTCAGAGTCACTACAGAGGTTTAAACTGCAATTGGATAAATACTTGCAAAAACATAACATACAGGGATATAATTTCTAATTAGAGGGGTAATAGCTGCTTGATCCAAGGAGACATCTGACTGCTATTTTGGAGTCAAGAAGGAATTTTTTCCTAGTTTGTGGCAAAATTGGGAGCACTTCAGACTAGGTTTTTTGCCTTCTTTTGGATCAACAGCAACAACATATGCAAGGAAGGCTGAACTTGATGGACACAAGTCTCTTTTCAGCTATGTAACTATGTAACTGTGTAAGAATTAAAAAGGCCCATCATCACTTGTAGATCTTGAAAAAGGTGCAGTTTGTAGTAGAAAACAAATTCGTCCAAGTATGATGAATAGGGAATATAACAAATAGAGTAAAATAACAAATTTGTCTTAATTCTACGACTTCCTCAGGGTGTTCCAAATACATGCAGCATACAGCAAACAATACAACCCACTCCCTCATAAAGACCATAAAGTCAATCATGTGACCTGTCTCTTCCAATCCTGTGTTCAAGTGTCCAGCTGTTAGAATCAATTCTCCCGCCGAAATCCTGTTAAGGTCTTTACTTCTGTGGCAGATTTCAGCTCCATTTCCAGGTTTGTGGCACGTCGTGGGTTCCACCTTGTCATGTCCTGTATTTGGTTTCCGTCCCACTTGAACACACAATCATCTCTCCGTCAAAATTGTTCTGACCAAAGTATCCCATCATTTATTGTTGCTAAATCTAGTGGTCTCTACTCTCCTATTTCTCCTTGACCTTTCTGCTGCTTTTGACACTGTTGATAATCAACAACTTCTTCTCATCCTCCCTTGAGATTCTGTTCTGTCCCGGTTCTTCTACCCTTACTTTCTCTTCTCCGCAACCCCTCTCTGTCAATGTTCCCCAAGATTTTTTTCCTTGGTCTCCTACTGTTCTTGATTTATACTGACTGCCTTTGTAACCTATCAGCTCTTTTAGCTTCCAATATCACTTCTATATGAATGACATGCAAATATATCTAACGTCTCCTGATCTTCTGCTGTCCCTCTTGTCTCTGATGGCCTCTCTGCTATTTCTAAATGGATGGCAGCTCATTTCCTTCAACTTAACTTGTCCAAAACAGAACTTCTCGTCTTTCCTCCATTCAAGTCAATGGCATCACCTCTACATTACAGGCTTGCTGTCTAGGTTTTCTCTTTCTTCAAACTCTCCTTTACCCCTCATGTCAAGTAACGTGCAAAACCCTGTCGCTTCCATTTCAAAAACATAGTTTGCTTCGGCCCTTATCTAACGCCGGATGCAGCTAAGGGGCTGGTTTATACCTCCATCATCTTTTGTCTTAACTACTCCAATCTGCTTTCTGCTTCTCAATGGTGTTACACTTTTCCAGTTTTCCCCGTTACAAGCTATAATGAATGCAGCGGTGAGACCCATCTTCCTATCCACCTGCACCACCCGTGCCTCCTCCTCTGTCAGTCCTTACACTGGCTTACCATAAGATTTATTGCTCAAATTACAATTCTGGTGCTTGCTTACATATCTCTACATTCCTACCTATCCTCACTAATACACAAGTATGTCCCCTTAAGGCCTATACGCTCCGCCGCAGATCTACGTATATTATCTGTTTGTACTCATACCTCTGACGCCCACCTTCAAGCCTTCTCTAGGACTGTGCTGTGCCTATGGAACTCCCTTCCTGTTTGAATATCACCCAGTCTTAGTTCCTTCAAAAGATCATTAAAAACTTGCTTCTTTAGGAAATAATTTAGTTAATAGCTTTACATCATCGTATCTTGGTAACTCATCTTGCGTCATCTTCTGCAACTGTGACATCCAATTAACTAACCCTTCATTGTAAACTATTCCAGTAATCTACTTTCCCCCATACATGAAATACATGCTACCCTTACCTCGTGTCACTTTATCCCACTACCTCTAGAATGTAAGCTTGTTTGAGAAGCTCCCTCAACACCCTCTGTTGCTGTGTGCCCAGTTCGTCTTGTTGCAATTACTTGTCTGTTAGACCACCTCTTGCATAGCACTGCAGAATTTCTTGGCACTTTATATATACTAATATAAAATGGGATTCATCTTATATCCAGAGAATATTAATTCAATTTGTTTCCCTTAACCTCCAAAGAAGATTAATTGACTTTGAGCATTGGGCAAAATATACATTTAAAAAAAAGATCCTATTGAAAGGTATTGTGACTGTAGGTATTATAAAAGGCAGTTAATCTGCCTTTTAGACCATATGAATGAACTGTACCAGTTCCTTAAAACTTACTTTTTCACTCTATTTACATTGCAAAGCACACCTCAGGCTTATTAAATAGCTGTAGTTTTGATTGTATTTGCATCCCATGGCAGTTGTGTAGCTCCAGGTTTTATCTACTCAGTACCTGCCATGTTCCTTGGGATGCCCTCTTAGTTTGGGGTTGGAAGCTCCCACTTGACACACTGTTTCAGGTGCAGAGCTGTTGTTGGTTTCCTGCTTGCAGGTGTGGGCAGTTACCTTCCATGGAGACAGTGAGAGATTGGGTGTCTTCCCACTCCATCTAATAACCCTTTGTTCTGATTTTGAGCTGTTTGCTTACAAAGACAGAAGAATGTAGCAGAAAGACGTCAGAGGTTAAAATACCGGTCCACGTATCTGCATTCCATCAAAAACACACTCTCTGTGGACAGAGAAAAGTATCTTTGGGCTCTCATTGTGGTACGACACATGAACACAGACATAGTGAGTACTTGTAAGCACTGTAGAATGATACCATTAACTGTAATTACTCCATTTACACCTGCATAAACTGCAAATAAAGGAAAAGTGTGGAGATTTTTTTTTTTTTTTATTGGATACACTAGTTTATAACAGCATGGAGAACATATCAGATTTAACATAAAGTGACACATTTTTCTTAACCTATCCAGTTTTTATAACGGAGTAGTGCAATAAGCTCCTTCCCAGCATGCCCTCTTTTCACATCTTTTCATTTATTAGCTGCCATTTTCTAATAACCTATTACTGATAGCATACGTCAGTCATTAGACTATGTAGTCTCATTGGCTGCTCAAACAGAACCATAACTGATCTCACCAACATAAGACAATCAAAGGAGAGCATGAAAGGCGTATCATTTAGCTACACATCAGTGGAAGAACTAATAAAGAGATAGCCCTGGTGCAAGACTTTTTTTTGCTAGCTGGGGATCTACCATTTGCTAGTCCTCGCATGGGTATAGTGTAAACTGTGTTTGAATGCAGGCATGTCTTTTTTGGAGTATGTGTTTGAAAATGCAGGTGTGAATTTGTATGTAGTGTTGGCGTTTGAATACCGAGGTTTATTTGGGTGTAGTGTTGGTATTTGAATGCAAGGATACATTTGATTGTAATATTGACATTTTAATGTTGAGGTGAATTTGGGTGTAGAGTTGTGTTTAAATTTAGGGGTGTATTTGTGTGCAGTGTTGGTGTTGAATTGCAGGAGTGTGTTTGTGAGTAGTGTTGCCATTTGATGGATGTGGTGTATGAATACATACACATACACTGACATACATGACAGAGATATATCTACATGCATACACACTGAAACACACACATACACACAAAGAAATAAGTCCCAGCATGCATGTTTTAGCCATCCTGTTACTTTAGGCATCCCTGTGGTCCATTGCGAGCTGGGTGATGCTACAAGGAGATGGATGCAGTATTTGGATCTGGCTGGGATTGATTGGGTGGATTAGGACTGGTCCAGCCACTTCTTCAGATATCACTAAATGTCTTTGCTTCCAGATTGGTGATATCCATTTCGGTGAGTATTATTGCTGTGGTATATTATTATTATTATTATCATCACCATTTATATAGTGCCAACAGATTCTGTAGCACTTTACAATATTATGAGAGGGGTATTTAACTATAAATAGGACAATTACAAGAAAACTTACAGGAACAATAGGTTGAAGAGGACCCTGCTCAAATGAGCTTACAGTCTGTATGAGGTAGAGTATAAAACATATTAGGGCAGGAAATAGCAATCAAATAAGGTGGGAGTGAAGCAGAGCTGGAGGAGAGAGTAGAGTGCTGCCCTTTAGGAGAGAGCAAGCAACAGGTATGTAAGGTAGAGGTTACTCTTGGACAGGGCCGGACTGGCCCACCGGGATACCGGGAAATTTCCCGATGGGTCGTCGGCACCTGGGGCCGGGGAGACATGCGGGTGACCTGCGGCCGCAGGGGGAGCTCTTCTGGCGGCCGCAGGGGAAGCTGTGTGTTCTGTCTCTGCTCCCCAGCGCGCAGCTTAATGAGACCGGGGCTGGAATATGACATCATATACATATATATATTACTCAATCATCTGTGGCAAGACATAGCTTTACATATTACATGCGACAATATATGGTGCAATGACTTATGGGGCTGCCATAGGTTTTTTTTTTTTTCCAGGGCTGCTTTGTATCCCCAGTCCGGCCCTGCTCTAGGAGGCCATAAGCTTTCCTAAAGAGATGGGTTTTAACACACTTCTTAAATGATTGAAGACTAGGGGAGAGTCTGATTGGGGTAGGCAGGCTTTTCCATAGGAAGGGAGCTGCAGGCGATAAGTCCTGCAAGTGTGAGTTGGCCGTACGGGTGCAAGCAGCGGACAGGAGAAGGTCACGGGCAGAGCAGAGGGACCGAGAAGGGGCATACCAATGGATCTGTGAAGAGATATTAGGGGCTAGAATTGTTCAGTGCTTTATGTGTATGAGTTAGCACTTTGAATTGACTCCTATAGGATACAGGAAGCCAATGTAAAGACTTACAGAGGGGTGAGGAGTGAGAGGACAGACTAGAGAGGAAAATCAGTCTGGCGGCGGCATTCATTACAGACTGTAGTGGGGCAAAACGGCTTTTGGGAAGACAAATCAGGAGAGGGTTACAATAATCCATGCGGGAAATTACTAGAGCATGGACAAGCTCATTGGTAGCATCTTTCATAAGAAAGGGGCGGATGCAGGGCCCACCGGGATACCGGAAATTTCCTGGTGGGCCGTCGGCACCTGGGGCCGGGAAGACACCTGGGTCTGCTGGCGGACGCTGGGGGAGGTCTGCTGGCAGCCACTGGGGGAGCTGTTCTGTCTCTGCTCCCCAGGGCGCAGCTGAATGAGACCGGGGCCGGAATATGACATCATATTCCGGCCCCGGTCTCATTCAGCAGCACGAGGGCAGGAGAGCAGAGCCAACGCAGCTTCCCCAACGGACGCCAGCAGACCTCCCCCAGCGGCCGCCAGCACAAGTCCCCCAGCAGCCGCCAGCACAGACAGCAGTCTGCACTACACAACCCCCTGGCAGATAGTAGTAATGTGTGTCAGTGTGAGTTTGTCTGCCTGTTATGGTGTGTCTGTCTGTCTGTTATGGTGTGTGTGTGTGTGTGTGTGTGTGTGTCTGCCTGTGTCATGGTGTATCTGTCTGTCTGTGTCATGGTGTCTGTCTGTATGGTGTGTGTGTCTGTCTGTTTGTCTGTGTCATGGTGTGTGTGTCTGTCTGTGTCATGGTGTCTGTCTGTATGGTGTGTGTGTGTGTCTGTTTGTCTGTGTCATGGTGTGTGTCTCTGTCTGTGTCATGGTGTCTGTCTGTATGGTGTGTGTCTGTCTGTCTGTCATGGTGTCTGTCTGTATGGTGTGTGTGTGTGTGTGTCTGTCTGTGTCATAGTGTCTGTCTGTATGGTGTGTGTGTGTGTGTCTGTCTGTCTGTGTCATGGTGTGTGTGTTTGTCTGTGTCATGGTGTCTGTCTGTATGGTGTCTGTGTGTCTGTCTGTCTGTCATGGTGTGTGTGTGTCTGTCTGTCCATCATGGTGTGTGTGTCTGTGTCATGGTGTGTGTGTGTCTGTCTGTCTGTCATTGGGTGTGTGTCTGATGGTGTGTGTGTCATGGTATATGTGTGTGTGTCTGTCTGTGTCATAGTGTGTGTGGGTCTGTCTGTGTCATGGTCTGTCTGTGTCATGGTCTGTCATGGTGTGTGTGTGTGTATCTGTCATGGTATATGTGTGTCTGTCATGGTGTATATGTGTGTTTAAAAATAGTGTTTTTGCTCACCTTTTTTTTCCCCACGCAGCGTGCTGGTCTCCCATCGACTGGCCCTGCCCCTATGACTGAGATCATCAAGTTTGATGATCTCAGCCAATCCAATGCTTTGCCATAGGATTGTCTGCAAAACGCTACACCAATCAACAACTCCTCATAGAGATGCATTGAATCAATGTATCTCTATGGGGAACGTTCAGCACCTACAGAGTGTGGAGGCCCTGAATGTAGGTGCACTGACACAGGAAGCACCTCTAGTGACCGTCTGAGTGACTGTCACTAGCGGTGTCACTTTGAAGCAATGTAAACACTGCCTTTTCTCTGAAAAGTCAGTGTTTACGTTGAAAAGCCTGTAGGGACATGCTATAGATACCAGTACCACTACATTAAGCTGTGTGTGTGCGTCTGCTAGTGAGTGAGCTTGCTTGCATGTGTGTGCCTGCTAGTGAGTGAGCTTGTGTTTTTATGTCAATGAGCTGATATATATCAGTGAGATTGTTTGTCTATGAGGCTGTGTATCAATGAGCTTGTGTGTGTCATTGAGATGTCAGTGAGATTGTCTGTGTCTGCATGTGAGTGTGCTTACTGTATAATTAAACATTTTACTCTGAAAGGACCAATATTTTATATTAGAAAAAGCAATATATATATATATATATATATATAAAACTGAATCATCTGTCATGGAAAGACATAGCCTTACATATTACACGCGACAATATATGGCATACATTTTTTTTCCAGGGCTGCTTTGTATCCCCAGTCCGGCCCTGGGCGGATGAGGATATTTTTTAAGTGGGAATCTGCAGGATTTGGCAACATACTGAATGTGAGGCTCAGAGGTGAGGCCAGAGTCAAGTATGACGCCAAGACCGCGTGCTTACAAGGATGGACTTATGTGGATACCACTAACTTGAAGGGAGGGCGAGAGAGGAGGATCAGTATTAGGAGGAGGAAAGACAAGAAGCTCAGTTTTAGAGAGATTGAGTTTCAGAAAGCGGGAGGACATCCAGTCAGAGATGGAAGAAAGGCAAGCAGTAACACGTTGCAGGACGGCAGGGGAGAGGTCCGGGGGGAGAGATATATCTGGGTGTCATCAGCATACAGGTGGTAGTGGAATCCAAAAGAGGTAATAAGTTTGCCAAGAGAGGCAGGATAAAGAGAAAATAGAAGGGGACCAAGGACAGAGCCTTGGGGGACTCCAACCGTGACAGGATGAGGGGAGGAGGTATCATTAGAAAAGGAGACACTGAATGAGCGTTGGGAAAGATAAGAGGAAAACCACGAGAGGACAGAGTCACAGAGACTGAATGATCGAAGAGTTTGAAGAAGGAGAGCATGATCAACATTGTCAAAGGAAGCAGTATTGAGTAGTGGCCTTTGGATTCAGCTGCAATTAGGTCTTTAGCAACTTTGATGAGAGTAGTGTCAGTAGAGTGGAGAGGGTGGAAGCCAGACTGAAGAGGGTCAAGGAGAGAGTTGGAATTGAGGAAGCGGGACACACAGGCAAAGACAAGTCTTTCCAGAAGCTTTATAGGAAAAAGGGAGCAGGGATATGGGACAATAGAGGGGGAGAACGGGTCTTTTCAGGATAGGTACTACAGTGGCATGTTTAAGGTTTGCAGGGACAACTCCAGAAGAGAGAGAGAGCAGTTGAAGATGTGTGTTAAGGAAGGCACAAGACAAGGGGAGAGAGATCTGATGAGGTGAGGCTGGACGGGATTGAGCAGGCAAGTGGTGGGGCAAGAAGAAAGGAGAAGCGCAACCACCTCTTGTTCAGCTGGGGAGAAAGTGTAAAGGGTAGGAAAGGCATGATCTACGTGTGCTTGAGAAAGAGAACGGCAAGGTGGGGAGAATTCTTTCCTTAGCTGTTCAATCTTGTTGGTAAACTAGCATGCAAAGCTATCAGCTGTAAGGTTAGTTTGGGGGGTGGTCACAGCAGGGCGACGAAGAGAGTTAAAGATGTCAAAGAGACGCCTAGGATTGTGGGAGCATGAGCTAATGAGAGAGGAAAGTATGACTGTTTGGCAAGGGCAAGGGTTGTGCTGTATGAACAGAGTATGAATCTATAATGGAGAAAGTCTGACTGGGTGTGAGACTTCCTCCAGAAGCGTTCAGCACAACAGGAGCAATTTTGCAGATAGCGTGTTGATTTAGTATGCCACGGTTGGGGGCGTGTCCTCCTCGAGGTGCATGTTTGGAGCAGGGCTGCAGCATTCAAGGCAGAGGTGAGGGTGGTGTTATATGACGAGATGGCCAGTGAGGGACAGGAGAGGTAAGGGATGGATAGCAGTTGTGAATCAATATCAGCTGACAGCTGCTGGAGGTAAATAAAATTAAGGGGTGTTAGGCTGAGGTTGTTGTGTGAGGGGGAACTCTAGAGCAAACAAGAAGAGGTGGTTATCAGAGGGAGGAAATGGAGTGTTGCAGATATTAGATACTGTACATGCATAAGAGAAAATGAGATCGAGGGTATTGCCAGCTACATGGGTGGGAGAATTAGCCCACTGCAATAGCCCGAGGGAGGAAGTAATTGAAAGTAGTTTAGAGGCTGCTGAGGTCAAAGGTGGGTTAATGGGAATATTGAAGTCTCCAAGAATTAGGGATGGAATATTAGAAGAGAGGAAGTAGGTTAGCCAGGCAGCAAAGTGGTCAAGGAAGAGGAGAGGGGAGCCAGGGGGACGATAAATAACGGCAATGTTAGCAGAGAAGGGTTTGAAAAGGGAAATTGAATGAATTTCAAATGATGGAAAAGAGAAGGGAGGGGGGGGCAGAGTTTCAAAGGAGCAGTGGGGTGAAAGCAGAAAACCTACACCTCCACCTTTACTCTCAGCTTGTCTTGGGTTGTGGGTAAAGTGAAGACCAGCAAAGGATAGCGAGGCAGGGGTAGCAGTTTTAGAGGGAGAGAGCCGTGTTTCTGTTAGTGCAAGTAGGTTTAGGAAATGTAAGATAAATAGGTCATGGGTGGAAGTTGATTTAATGGTGCTCTACACAGAGTGTGCATTCCAGAGGGCAGCTTTAAAGGAGGAATTATAGCGAGAGTTACATGGAATGGATATGAGATTGTTGTGGTTTCTGTTAGTACCAGGTGACTTATTAGAGGAGGGACCAGTGTTTGGAGAGACACCACCAGCTGCTAGGAGCAGTAGGATGGAAAGGAAGAGAAGGTGGGAGTAAGATTTAAATGTTGGGGACAAGAGCTTGTATTTAGGGAATTTAGAAGGGGATGGTGGAGAAAGGATGGATAAATGAGTAAAGTGCATGTGATGAATACAGAGATGAGGGCAGCAGAGACGGAGCAATGTAGATGGTGTCAGCAGGAACAGGTAAGTAAAGGGATAGAGAGATTTTAATAATTAGGGAAGTGAGGGAGAAAGTAAAAAAAGTGAGAACATTAGTAGGAGAATAGGTGCTGTGTTTTTAAGATACGGAGAATTGTAGGTGAGGTTAAGAGGGTAAAGGTTTAAAAAGGTATTGTGAGTTTAGCTATTTTAGGTGTGGAGGGCTTGGTGGACATGATTGGTTTGTTAGGAAAGTCAGATAATTGAAGCTATATTTAAATGTAATGAGTACCATGGGGAGGGTGAGATGTAGGGTGGGTGGGAAATGATCATCCAGAAATGCTACCTCTGCTTAGGGAAAATCCTGTAGGGTTGAGTCCTGGGTGTAGCTGTTACAATGCTGTATTGGGCCCAAGCTATAAGAGAGAATCTAGGGTTAGATACGACAGATTGTGGGTGGGGAATCATTGAGGTGTTAAAAACAAAAATCAAGGAAAAAGATGAAATGGAATTTAAATTTAGGTTTATGAGGTAATGGCAGAGATCAGATATCAGATAAGAGATCAGATAGGTAAAAGTCATAAATAGGGAACATCATAAATTAACAGGGCTTAGAGTGCAAGAACTAACTAGCAAAACAAACATTTAACTAAACAACAGTTAAGGATGGAGGGTGCAATAGTCATCAATTATGCAATAATACTGTGAGGGATGGAGATAGAGAGGAATACAATTTAAAACAGATATAGGAAAAATAAGAAGTCCAGGTATTCTCAAGATGATTATCCAGAAATGCTACCTCTGCCTAGGGCAAATCCTGCAGGGTTGGGTGTTGTGAGTCCTGGGTGTAGCTGTTACAATGCTGTATTGGGTCCAGGCTCTGCTTAGGGCAAATCCTGCAGGGTTGGGTGCTGTGAGTCCTGGGTGTAGCTGTTACATTGCTGTATTGGGCCCAGGTGGAGGAGTGCCAGTAAAGAGTGTTTTATTAAAACACTGTTTTTGTTTTGATTAACCCCATAAAAGTAAACTTGGCCCTGTTAGGGGTGGTACACAAGGAAGGACTTGTGGGTGTAGGGGGGATGAAACACATGGAGGGGCTCACTCAGACTGCCACTAAAGGTGCTTCCTGGGTCTACATTGATGATGAGATGCTGATTGGCTTGTGCAATAGTCTCCCAATGCTTTACTATGGGAAAGCATTAGATTGTCTGACATCATCATAATTGATGATCTCAGCCAAGGAGGCAGAGCATGGGTGGGGCCATCAGCAAGGAGACCTATGTGACACTGGAGTAAAGATGAGTAAATCACCTTTTACACTTCTGACAGGGGTGCCGATGGCCTAAACGGCGTTCTCACAGCTATAGTGACAGGAATACATGTATGTGTTTCTGTCAATATAGTGTTCTTTTAAGTGTCATTAAATGTAATAAACATCTTAAAAATGAGAAGTGATTGTTTTATGACAGTTTTCCTCTAATTCCGTGTCAACTAGACTTGTGAACGGCAGACAAATATAATTTGGTAGAGATGAATCTTACCTCAATGTTGTCCAAGCAAACAAATCAGGGAAAACTATTTGGATGAGCTAAAAGGGCATTAAAATGAGCCAAGTCGTGTACTTTAAAATATATGCATAAAATTTAAATGCATATATATTTTGCAGTACAGTGTCAATTTTAATGATGCTAATTTTGGTCCAAATGGAATGTTATTTTACCATTTCCGTGAGCTTTCGGTTACATATTTTAAGCATTTGATCTGGCTGATACCCAGTTTATTTCTTTAATATTTTGTGTTCTATAGATAGCCCCTACCAAACTGAAAAAAAAAATCCTGAAATAAGAATATTTTTTTACTATATTCTATGGTGTCAGCAGGAGCTCTTGGAGCTCCCACAAATAAAAATTAGCCATTCTTGCAAGTATGAAAGGAGCACTACACAGTGCTAATTATAAATATAAATAAAACAAAAAAAAAATTTTAATCACTGTTTGGTAGATTTCCCCTCTCATTAAAAACCTCTGAAGTTAATCCTCCTTGCACAGCGTTTAGAAAGAACACTGGTGTGAACTGAGCATGCCTACTACTTCTGTTAGCTCAGGGGGAGCCAGTTGATTGACAGCTTTGAGGATGTTTAACTTATATAATGATAAAAGTGCAGATTTCTTATAAAAAACGTGGAGTGGTCTTTTAACCCCTTAAGGTCGGCTATGCCGTCCTTGGGGACCCGGCTCTAAACATCCACGCTGCCCTATGCACTTACCTGCATATGATCATGATGGGGGGACTTACCTGACATCCCGGGGAGTCCCTCTGCTGCCGATCCGGCCCTCCTGGGCCATGTGATTGCGAGGTCCTTATGAGGACCTCAAGGATCACATGGACGGAATAGCCGTCCATAGCAGTGTCAGCAGGGGGAGTGCCTGGAATGACAGGTAGTCCCCCTGCTGCCTGAAATAATGTTCAATAAAGTTTTAAAACAGTTTAAAATAAAATATATACTTAGATCATATATATATACACACACTTTTACACTCATACACTGTCTAAGTGTATTTTGATATTAATATATATAATTATGTATATATATCAAAATACACATAGAATGATATTTATTAAATATATATATAATTATATATATTTCATATAAAATAAATATATAAATACGTTAAAAATGAAAAATAACAAAATAATAAAATATATATGTGTAATTTCGTTCTAACTGTATTTTGATATTAATATAAATATATATATATATAGATAGATAGATATCAAAATACACTTAGAACGAAATTATATATATTTATATACATAAATATATGTGTATATATCACTATATATATATATATATATATATATATATATACCTGTACAGTTGCAAGAAAAAGTATGTGAACCCTTTGGAATGATATGGATTTCTGCACAAATTGGTCATAAAATGTGATCTGATCATCATCTAAGTCACAACAATAGACAATCACAGTCTGCTTAAACTAATAACACACAAAGAATGAAATGTTGCCATGTTTTTATTGAACACACCATGTAAACATTCACAGTGCAGGTGGAAAAAGTATGTGAACCCCTAGACTAATGAAATCTCCAAGAGCTAATTGGAGTGAGATGTCAGCCAACTGGAGTCCAATCGATGAGATGAGATTGGAGGTGTTGGTTACAGCTGCCCTGCCCTATAAAAAACGCACACCAGTTCTGGGTTTGCTTTTCACAAGATGCATTGCCTGATGTGAATGATGCCTCGCACAAAAGAGCTCTCAGAAGATCTACGATTAACCCCTTAAGGACACATGACATGTGTGACATGTCACGATTCCCTTTTATTCCAGAAGTTTGGTCCTTAAAGAGTTAAGAATTGTTGACTTGCATAAAGCTGTAAAGGGTTATAAAAGTATCTCCAAAAGCCTTGCTGTTCATCAGTCCATAGGAAGACAAATTGTCTATAAATTGTGAAAGTTCAGCACTGCTGCAACTCTCCCTAGGAGTGGCCGTCCTGTAAAGATGACTGCAAGAGCACAGCGCAGACTGCTCAATGAGGTGAAGAAGAATCCTAGAGTGTCAGCTAAAGACTTACAAAAGTCACTGGCAAATGCTAACATCCCTGTTAGCGAATCTACAATACGTAAAACACTAAACAAGAATGGATTTCATGGGAGGATATCACAGAGGAAGCCACTGCTGTCCAAACAAAACATTGCTGCACGTTTACAGTTTGCACAAGAGCACCTGGATGTTCCACAGCAGTACTGGCAAAATATTCTGTGGACAGATGAAACCAAAGTTGAGTTGTTTGGAAGAAACACACAACACTATGTGTGGCGAAAAAAAAGGAACAGCACACCAACATCAAAACCTCATCCCAACTGTGAAGTATGGTGGTGGGGGCATCATGACTGCTTTGCTGCATCAGGGCCTGGGCAGATTGCTATCATCGAAGGAAAAATGAATTCCCAAGTTTATCCATACATTTTGCAGGAGAACTTAAGGCCATCTGTCTACCAGCTGAAGCTCAACAGAAGATGGGTGTTGCAACAGGATAATGACCCAAAGCATAGAAGTAAATCAATAACAGAATGGCTTAAACAGAAGAAAATACGCCTTCTGAAGTGGCCCAGTCAGAGTCCTGACCTCAGCCCGATTGAGATGCTGTGGCATGACCTCAATAAAGCGATTCACACCAGACATCCCAAGAATATTGCTGAACTGAAACAGTTCTGTAAAGAGGAATGGTCAAGAATTACTCCTGACCGTTGTGCACGTCTGATCTGCAACTACAGGAAACGTTTGGTTGAAGTTATTGCTGCCAGAGGAGGTTCAACCAATTATTAAATCCAAGGGTTCACATACTTTTCCACCTGCACTGTGAATGTTTACATGGTGTGTTCAATAAAAACATTCTTTGTGTGTTATTGGTTTAAGCAGACTGTGATTGTCTATTGTTGTGACTTAGATGATAATCAGATCACATTTTATGACCAATTTGTGCAAAAATCCATATCATTCCAAAGGGTTCACATACTTTTTATTGCAACTGTATATATACTTATATATATATATATATATATATATATATATATATATATATATATATATATATATATAAATATATATATATATATATATATATATAAATAAATAAATCACATATTGATATCTGTTTAATATGTTATGGGATATTTTAATATTTAAAAAAATAAAAACACTTTAAATTTGTATCCAAAAATATAAAATCATTCAAAAAGCTTATCCAACAATATTAAATCAAGGACTTAGTCATTAAGTTACACTAGCAGTCCAGGATTTAGACATTTAGGCATTGATCCAGTCCTGTATCAATGGGGATAATGAACTATTGGTGTGTCTTTAGGACCTGACTTCGAACAATGACTTCAGATAAGTTATGTTTTTAGGGTCATAAAAATATCCATAGCTTTAACTAGTTAAATGTTTTCAAAAGTGGCTAGACTATATTGAGTTTGAACTGGCTACTACCGTTGTATCTGTTGGATTATATCTACCACTTATTTTGACCCGTAAACTGATCTCTGCAATCTAGACAGCCAAAATAAATTAGCAATGAGGGAATGACTTTAAAGGTAAGTTTTAAAACTCAATTATGGAAAGGAATTTAATATTCTCGGGAAAGTGATGAAGGTTTGTAAACTGGGTATACATAAAAGGGCTTTTATGTGGTTGGCACATGTACACATGCTGTATGCCAGGGCCACACTCTAGCACTGGCATTAGTCAGGATATAAAAGGTTTTCAATGCAATTAATATTTCTACAAAAAGTGATAGATCAGCAGATAGCTACAGACATTCGTTTTATACCAGTCTCTGTTTCAAAGATTCAGATGTAGTTCATTTATTTCAAAGACTTAGCTATTTATCCTTTTGACCTTGGTCCTACTCTGTTTGGAGAACTTAACTAAACCACAAGCTGCTGAGAGACACTCAAGCTGTAGCTGCTTTTGCACACATGTTGACTCAAGGACCAGATGCTACAGTTGCAGTGAATCAAGGCTGTGTTTTTGGGGCTTTATTCAAAATAACAAGGTGCCCAGTTTAAGATTTGTGATGGGCACAAGCCAAAATCTCACCCTTGAGGCTGTGATGCATCTGTTTACTTGGTAATCTGACAATCTGACTTCAACATAATGATCAGTTACAACATATTAATGGGAAAATAAATCTATCTATCTATCTATCTATCTATCTATCATATATCTTTATCAGCCACAATTAAAACTACCTGCCTAATATCGTGTATGCCCTGCCAAAACCGCTATTATGCGTTGAGGCATGGACTTCATAAGTCCTCTGAACGTGTCCTGTGGTATCTGGCAGCAAGACATTAGCAGGAGATCATTTAACTCCTGCAGGCTGTGAGGTAGGGTCTCTATGAATCGGATTTGTTGTTCCAGTGCGTCTCACAGATGCTCATTCAAATTGAGATCTGGGGAATTTGGTGGCCAAGGCAACACCTTGAACTCTTTGTAATGTTCCTCTAACCATTGCTGAACAACTGTTTGCAGTTTATCCAATCTGCATTATTAAAAGAGGCCACTGCAATAAGGGGTGTGTATGGCGTGCAACAATCTCTAGGTATTACTTGGCAAAGTAATATCCACATGAATGTTAGGGCCCAAGGTTTCTCAGCAGAAGATTATCCACAACATAACACTGCCACCGCCAGCCTGCCATCTTCCCATAGTGCCTTTTGCTGCCATCTATTCCCCAGGTAAACAACACTCATGCACCTAGCCATCCTCCTGATGTATAAGAAAAAATGATTCATCAGATCAGGCAATCTTCTTTCATTGCTACATGGTCCAGTTCTGATGCTCAATTCATCATTGACAGTGCTTTTGGCGGTGGACCAGGGTCATGATGGACACTCTGACTGGTCTGTGGCTACATAGCCCCACACGCAGCAAATTGTGATGCACCGTGTGTTCTGCCATCTTTCTATCATGGCCTGCATTAACTTGTTCCACAATTTAAACTATAGTAGCTCTTGTTTTGTGATTGGACCAGATGGACTAGCCATCATTTTTTGGCCATTGTCAAAGTCACTCATCTTTTCGCTTGCCCATTTTTCCCTGCTTACAACACATTAAATTCAAGAACTGACTGTTTACTTGCTGCCTAATAAATCTCACCCTTGACAGGTTCTATTGTAACAATGGCACCCTTTTTGGGTACTGAGGAAAGTCCCAATCCGTGACTGAAACATTGACTAACATGTTTTATCACCACAGTTATGTTAAACGTTCCAAAATTGAACAATAAAGGAGAAACAAATGTATTTTTAAAGTCCATGAGTGCTACCATCTCTTTTAATTTGTATTTTTTTCTTTCAGTGCTTAAGATTAATACAAACAGGCTTAAGGTAACCTCAACAGCATTCCTCAGACATAGCATCACATATTGCATATGGGGTAATAGATTGGTCCAGCACAATTTTATGATTTTATAAACATGAGAGATAGTCCGAGGAGAAACAGATAAAGAATATGTTAGAAATGATTGGAAGGCATGTTATACAACTTATATGTACTGCTGGGTACTAAATTAGAGTAGTTGGTGCAGGCAAGGAGTGATCTAACTCTGTTGTGCCAGGCAGCATTGTTTCCTTTAGGGTCTGTCAGCCCACACCGCATGGAGGCTTTGGGGAAGAGTCCTTTTCTGTGGTAATCATAGTGCCTTTTCTTTCCTCCTCGGGACTCAACAAGAGATTTTGATGGTTCTGACGGGTTACTCATTGTGGGATCAGAAGCCATGTTCTTGCAGTTCTTTGAGCTCGGGTAGGACCATGGGCCTTCAGGTTTAACGTAGCTCGAAGTCGCCCTGGGGTGTGTGGATGGTGTGGTATGAAATACCTTTTGGGCCCTTGCCCCGAAGGAAGCGCCTGCAGTCCCGGCGGCAGTTTGAATCTCAGGTTCAGCAGCTGGGGGGCTTTGGTAGATCAACTAGGTCGAAGCTGGGTCTCCGGTTAGTAAACTTTCTGGGTGCAGTATGTTGGCTCCAGTTCTGTGCACCCTGACTGCTCTGCGATGCGTGTTGTTGCATACGGTGGGCCAGTTTGTGTCAAAATGCTGCAAATATCATGTCCAGTTTTGAGTCAAAGTCAGCGCTTTCAGTGGAGCACGGTGCGAGACACTCTGGGTCCTCCCAGTGCTGTGGGGACTGTGGAGTCGGCTTTAACGTGTCACGCTGCTGCAAGGCTTCCTGCTGAGGGGAGTAGGTGGGAACTGGGATATCTCCCACCAATCCGGGGGGGGGGGGGCGGCTGCGGGGCTCTAAGTGTTACTGTGTTTCCTCCACCGCCCCCCAAGATGCCAAGACTTGAGGCGTGCTAGGCCACATGGTTGGTTCACGGGATCTCTCCGTTTATCGGTAAGATTCGGGTATCCCCGTGTAAACGATTGTATCCTGGTTCTGCTCCGGTCCCTTGGGTCCCCTATTGGGGCTGTAATTGGAGGTTCAAGCTTGTTTTAGGTCCCCAAGTGTCGGAGCTGTTAGGGAGCATGTCCGGCCATCTTGGTGGTCAGGCCCCCCCCCCTTTTATTTGTTGTGTGTGTGAGTATATATATATATATATATATATATACATATATTTATTTTAATTTTTTTTTATTGTGACCAAAGTCTATGGTGTTTGTTTTGCAAAATATGCTTCCCTACTTTGAAAAGACTTAGATCACTGCATCCTATTCTGTCTTCATGCCGTGCCTTATGCTCTTCAAACAGATTGCATCACAGTTCCCTATCGTAGTTGCTGGGTTTTTTTTTTGTTATCTTGTGGGACTTTAATTCTTCCCATGGTGCAGTAGAGATAGAGTATGCAGGCAGTGAGTCATAAAGAATAAAACTTCCAAAACATACAGAACATATATCTGAGCTGTAGATTACTATATGAACAGCTGTGCCTCATCATTAAATGCAGATGACCCACACAAGGAGCCTATCAACACAAAGAGCTTTCTGTCATACCTGAAAGCATATTCTCAGAAAGCATTCAACCGACTGACAGTGATCAAATAACAACCCAGTTACGATACAGGAAAGGTAGCAAAGATACTTGGCTGGTACTCTGAATAATCATTATCATGGAAGACAAGCACTTTATAACATCATTAAATTTATTTTTAAGACATTTTAATATTCGTAACACTTATAATAAATTCTTACCTTGTTTATAAAAATTATATTTATAGGCACAATGCTATGATTAAGCAACTCTGAGCATTAAACACATGAGATGAAAGAAGGTCTGTGGTGAGTACTCTCTGTCACTGTCTAACCCTGTGCTTCTCTATGAGTTTTTACTTCTGGAATACAGAATGGATCTTTAACACATGACACTGTCTATTTATGGATTTCTGCTTGAAAGAGCACATAGTTTCAAGCACCCCTTGTTTAAAACTCATCACTTTTCACTTTTTTTTAATTTTATTTATATATTATATAATGTATAATCTAGAAAAATTAAACAATTGCCACTAGAAAGCTAGTACCACAAAATACAAATTACTGGTCAGTGCTGTTTAATTTTCTGGAATCAATTACAACTGATTGATTTAAAGGGACACTATCCTACTGAGACCCAGCACATTAAAGGGACACTATAGTCACCTGAACAACTTTAGCTTAATGAAGTAGTTTTGGTGTATAGAACATGCCCCTGCAGCCTCACTGCTCAATCCTGTGCCATTTAGGAGTTAAATCCCTTTGTTTATGAACCCTAGTCACACCTCCCTGCATGTGACATGCACAGCCTTCCATAAACACTTCCTGTAAAGAGAGCCCTATTTAGGCTTTCTTTATTGCAAGTTCTGTATAATTAAGATTTTCTTATCCCCTGCTATGTTAATAGCTTGCTAGATCCTGCAAGAGCCTCCTGTATGTGATTAAAGTTCAATTTAGAGATTGAGATACAATTATTTAAGGTAAATTACATCTGTTTGAAAGTGAAACCAGTTTTTTTTTCATGCAGGCTCTGTCAATGCATGAATTGTAGCCCATGGATCAGCACAGCAAAGAGGAATAGGCCTTGACAGAGCCAGGAGGTAGGCATAGCAGCCACAGGAAGTTAGTGACAGCTATCATGCTGGGTAGGACGGAGCCATAAGGGGAGTATTTATACCGGCCATTATATGAAGTGGCCATTTTAACTGAACCTAAGCTTACCTGTCAGTTGTCCCTCCCACCCTCCCTGTATTTGGTTAGGTTAGTTCATTTCCCGTTTTTTTTCCCAGTTTCTGTATTAACATGTTATTTAGATTGTTATCTATTGTTATTATTGTGGGGTCATTGCTAGGAGTTTGTTATGTATATGGGGGATGTTAACGTTATTAAGATTTGATGGCAATGACCCCATTTGTTATTCCTTAATTATTTTATTAATAATTTAATAAAGCTGTGGACTAATTATTTCCAACAGTATAAACTGTGTCCATGTTTTAATGGGGGTTTGGGTAAGGTTAGCGCCTATGCCGGCAAATCCGACTGTGCGCCTGTCAAGAAACAAAGTGATTTAACTCCTAAATGACAGTGAATTGAGCAGTTAAATTGCAGGGGAATGATCTATACACTAAAACTGCTTTATTTAGCTAAAGTGATTTAGGTGACTATAGTGTTCCTTTAACTTGTGTCCTCTTTACTGGACATTTAGTTCACATGCTTCTCCTTTTATTCTTTTGATCTACTCTATCAATCCCTGCTGTATTATAAAGAGGACATCCTGGGCTTTCCAGTGATATGTCATGTGATGCTGGGAACTTCCTCTTCATAAAAAAATGGAAAGAAATTGGAATAGCACAGTATAGCACAGTCTGCTTAATTTAGATTCTTATCTCTTGCACTGTTAGTAGCTTGCTAGACCTTGTAGGAGCCTCCTGTGTGTGATAAAAGTTAAATTTACAGAGCAGGAGTTAAAAACATATAAAGCAAGTTAACATCCTATTTGAAAAGGAAACCTTTATTTTTCATGCAGGTTGTGTCAGTCACAGCAAGGGGAGGTGTGCCTAGGTCTGCATAAACAGAAATAAAAGTGGTTCAACTCCTAAATGGCAGAGAACTGAGCAGTGAGATTTGAGGAGCATGATCTCTACACCAAAACTGCTTCAATAAGAGCTAATGTTGTTTTGATGTCTATAGTGCCCCTTTAAGGTTGATTTATTTTATAATAATTGTAATTCTTTGCAAGATTAAATGTTTCATGACAAATACCATGTTGATTCACTCTGCAGACACATCACTTCCCAACTTTTTTTAAAAAATGTTGTACTGTCATTTAATGTGTTTGTCAGAGAAAGTGTTACAATTTAATTTTGCTGTTTAAACCTACATATCTGAAAAATTATCTCCAGTTTTCTAGAGGCATATTAATTTATACCATTCTACCATTAGTTGCCTTGAAGTATTCAGAGAAAGATTTTTTTATTTTATTTTTTTAATCAAATTTTTGCCTGTGTATACAGTTGACATTTGAGAAAGAATTATATGTTATACATTTTTCACTCTCCCTGGCTAAGGATGAAAAGTGCTACAGTTGTTTTCTCTCTTTTTTTTTTTTTTTTTACTTTGAGCCTCACTGAGGAGGTTGTGTTTGGCATTTCCTGAATCCTACGACCAACTAATCTTAAGCCACCATGTAGCCTGTATGGTAAACCCTGCTGTATCTTGCTTCGTTTTAATACATAGTATATGGACCTCTGTCCCACTTCATTGCAGCACAGGGTACAGCAGTGTACACCATGTGGTACTGTTGATCACCATTGCAATTGGTGTTATAATGTTACAACAATATTGAGACATTATAGTGTTTTATAACAATGGTTGTCACAAGTGACTTTTTTTAAAAACGCTACTTTTTTTTTAACACTTTTTTTATTGTGAATGTTAAATCCAACACATATGTCCAGCATAGTTTTAGCTACAGGAAGTTTGTCATGGAACAGATACGGAGTCAAGAGTGTACATGGGGCACTTTTTAGCATTTAACAATACAACATAAGTAAAGAAAACAAAAGTTTGTCAAGTATAACATGGCCATGGATAATTTTCAGACAGTATAGTTGTATCAAGGTCAGTAGGACCCAGAAAAAAAAAAAGCTTCCATCGCTGGCAAGAAAATCGGCAACATTTGCCTCCAACCTTGGTCATTTGAAGAGGAGCAATTGGTGGCCAGGAAAATAAATAACAAGGGGAAGGATATCTCCATTTCTCCTGAACAGAGAATTTAAAGTGCCAGACATTGTGATTAGAAGGAGTACATTGGGAGTATCATGACTGGGTACAGTGCCATCCAAATGGTGAGTTACATTTCCTTGTGTTGGGTAAATTGGTTGGGCACTTGGTATTGGGATGTGGCCCATAGACTTTGGATAGGCCCAGCTTAGCTATATTACCAAGTTAGTGTAGGTTTAACCTGAAACTTGGAATAAAGCAAGATTTCTATAGCATGTTGAATTAATTTTATATGTTGTCTGGTCACTTGTTCATTATCCTACGAAATTAGTGGTATAGACAATGTCTATATTGCTGGGCATTACTTTGTATTAAGAGCTATTTCTAGAAGGGTGGCACAGACCCTTCCCTTGTCTCCCTCGCTCCCCCTCTCCCCCCCCACCCACTCCCAGTCTCTCTCGCTTCTCTCCTCTATAGTCTTTATTCTTGTTGTGCAAATGATGACAAAGAGAGCTTGTGTATCCACAAGCAGTAACAAGCATAGCAATAACAAACGATATTAAATATGGTCATGACCTTTGGAGAAACTGCACAATGTTTTGAATTAATTACAGATGTGCTAAATACGCCACAGCAGTGATATCAAGCGTAGTATAAACAGGTAATACACCATGTCATATAGAACAGCAGCACATTTTTACGTGTTAGTAACCAAATTAGTTAAAATAAAATAAGATGCGAGTGAAGAAGTCCTGACTAACTGGGTTGCAGCAATTAAGCAGAAAGTGCAAGCTAATTGTATGTGAGAATACCAGGTTATATATGATTAGCTAGACATGAGATTCATGACGACTTAATACTTGTGCCACTTAAATACCAAAAGAAGTAGTTGTTAATAGGACTGTCGTTGAAGTTGCACACTAAATGTTAGATATGTTAAACTGTACAACCACTCATCTGCAACAATGTGTCACATTAGACCGTATAATAAGTAGTTATGTCTGGTTAGGGGTCATTGGTTAGTAATGTGTGAATAGGTTAGACAGAGTGGCCGTCAATATGGTAAAGTATCAACTTTATATGTCGTCCGGTCCAGCCTTGGGAATTCGTGGGTTGGACATGTATCTTAAAAAAAAGTAAAAATAATAACAAAAAAAATTGAACTGTGTGCCGGTTCGGTTCCCCCACCCTCCAATTCAACCTTGTATGCTTCTATTTTTAGCTACCTGTGTTGTTTAACAAGCTGTGATTTGTAAAGGGTTTCGACCGGCCACCACTTCTGCCAAGAACCACACTGTGTACTTTAGGGCTTTCCTCACTTTGATTTGAAAGGAGTCATCCAAAGTAAGGAGATATGATCTCCAAGTCAGGATAAATTTCCTGGCAAGGATTTCTTTGTCGGTTAGTGTCACCAACCAATCCATTTTGAAAAGAAATTGGAGTTTAGTTAAAAATAATTGTAGCAGGATGTCTGTAGGAGTTATGTCAGGGAAGTGTGTTTTCCATTTTCCCATGCCATGTTTGAAGACCAGTCCAGTCTGGAGTGTATGTATGAACATGTAGAGTTTAGATGTGGAATAAGTGGCTCGTTTAGAGGAGCGCAGCATGGTGTCTAAGGGGTTCTCCCAATCCACTGCTGTGAAAGTTTGAGTGATAGAGTGGTAGTAGTGCCGCACCTGGCAGTCTGCAAACCATGGGGTTGGAAGGCCCGGGAATAAACGCTACTTTTCTTTTTTTTTTAAAGTAAATCTTACTAAGTCACCAACCACACCTCCCACCACATCCATTTTATGGCAGTTAGAAATGAGGCAAAGTATGCAGAATTGGTTTTGAAATGTTTATTTTAGTTTCCTTTTAACAGACTTTTGTGTTATGAAGCAAAGCACATACAGACTCCTTTGACATTTAATACCGCTGAATGATGTGGCAAAATAACAGAATCTGCAGACACTTCCTCATTGTTTGACTTGACTAAATTGTACTGACAAGTGTCGCACTCCCTTAGGGATAAAAGAGATTTGTCATGTTCTGTACCTGGAGCATATACTGCATGTCAATCAGTAAGTACATATATACCTAGTATAATTATCCTTTGATGTAAAACGACATTATAAGGGCTCAGTGAATCCTATCAGCACCTCTTTATTTGGCTTGGGATTCCATGCATTTTAAAATATTTTTTCTCTTAATTCATTCTGTTTCACAGTGTTTTTTAATAGAATGAGCACAGTGAACCAGTTAGCAGATAATTAATTATAACTTCTCATTCCTTGTCTAATAGTCTATTGAAGCCAAAATCAGTACACTGAGAGTACTAGTGAATTGCTTGCAATTAGAAACTACATATCCCTGTTTCTTAAAATGGTCCATCCTATTGGAAATAGACAAAGTACTTTATTTGTGTTCTCTGATTTTGGAATGATGCAAATAAATATATTAATGTCTGTTAAATTATTCAAGCAATACAAACCTCAGTGGCATATAAGTAGTATAAACAGGCACTGTGTATAAAATAACTACATATTTTATTTTTCTTTGCAGTTTTTTTAATATGTCAGAACAAAATGATTGCAAGCTAAACAAAAGAAAATCATATTTCTATTGTTAACTGTGGCACTTCTTGTGCCTTATAAATGGTTAAATTGGATAGCCTGCATAATCTAACTTTTATGGTCATTTGTCCAGGTGAGAAATTGGGTCTTATGATTTAGTATTAAAACTTTAAAAGCAAAAATGCTCTTCATTTATAGAATTCATGAATATTTTCTGAAGGCACATGCTGCAGCACACAATGCCCCTCTTCATCATACTTGGGTGATATAAATATTTATCCTGATAAACAGCCAAATTCTAAGAGGCCTGAAATAGTTTTTGCAAACATTCCATGCCAATTATAATTTTTAAAAAAACAAACAAATAAAAATATATCCAGTTTAAAGCAATACGTTGGCAGCTATCAGCTAGAGAGTAAATAAACAGCTTATAAACCTCTTCCTGTCCGATGACGTATGGTGTACTTTGCCGTGATGTCACAACAGACTTATCCCATACTTCACCTGAAAAATGGGTACAGACATTCTGCCCAGCCAGGGATACTGTGTATCAGGCTATTACTGGATGCTTTAGGAGTGAGGCATCCCATCATATAGCTCCCTTGAGGTTTTCTCAGATATGTGATCTCTGCTTTTGAAGAAATGGCTTGACCATGACACTGAGGCAGTATTGATGTTCTCTAAGAGTCTGAGCTGGTTATTAGACATGTGTAATTCATTCTGTTCCGAATGTACATTCGTACAAATTTCATGGCATTCGGATGCCTGCGAATGTCTGAAGTGCCGAGGTTCCGAAGTACCAAAGTTCAGTAGTTAGGAAGTGTGGAAGCTCCGAAGTGCCGAATTGATTCGGATTTTTTAAAAGTGCCAAAACAAGAGAGAGAGAGGCAAAATTACGTAAACGATGACCGGAATCTTGACCCATAAGTGAATTCCTTTTGTGCAGTGTAATGCTTGCTTGCTCAATCCGGTTTCACTATTCTCTGTCCAATGAAATTAGCAAATTCTTGTGATTGATGTTAGAGGATAGCCAATTTATGGTGATTTTGTCACTGATATTTGGCCAAACAAGGCACACACAGTCATTGAGGTGGGATAGTATATAAATCAGGCTCTCAGGTTTTTTTTTTAAAACGAACGACATTCCCAACTGCCGAATGCCTGATAGTAATGACATGCCGAACTGCCAAACGCTCAAAATGAATGCCTGAATGCCATGTGCCCGAATGCGGAATTGTCTGAACCGAATGCCATTGGGCAGTTCCAAAGTGCCGAACTGAATGCCATTGGTCCGAATTGCCTAAGTAGACAAATTTCTTTACTTACCCGAATTTCCGAACCTAATTTTTTGCCCATGCACATCACTACTGGTTATTGCTGGATGAATGGCAAATGATGCACTTATTCTAAAATGTGTATATGTTATGGTGTATGGGGTTTTGAGAAAAACTGTCAGATTATTAATTGACTTTATATGTTTTGATGTGCAATTAATATATATATTTTTGTTGATATTATTATTTTATTATTTATACAGTGCCAGCAAATTCCATAGCGCTGTACGATATGCACCTGTGTTGCAGTTGCTGCCTATATGTTATGAAGTATTTTCAAAATCAGAAAAAAATATTATCAGGAAATAAAAAATATATATTTTTAAGGGATATTTTTTTTAGGTGCACTATGCATATCCAGAGTATACCATACAACATTTCAGATGAGGAATATTTTTATTTTAAGGTGGTGTGGATAGAGGTGGTGCATGAAAGATAAAATGTACAGGGAATTGTCGGGACTAAAACTAAATGTAAAGTAAATATTACATTTTAGGGCAATATTGTAATACTGAAAACATAGCTGACTTTATTTTAGCATAAAAATGTCAAATTGCTTTGAATTCCAAATAATTATAACTTTAGTGAATAGCCCTATAATATGACTTTATGACCTATTGATAACTACTTACTCAAGTCATTTAGGAGAAGCCCGGAGTCTGTTGTTTCAACATACTAATTTAAAAGTACATTTGTTTTTCTTTGAAAACACATTACTGACAGTTTTATAGCCACAAAGCTTTATGATACACTAATATACAGTTGCAAGAAAAAGTATGTGAACCCTTTGGAATGATATGGATTTCTGCACAAACTGGTCATAAAATGTGATCTGATCATCATCTAAGTCACAACAATAAACAATCACAGTCTGCTTAAACTAATAACACACAAATAATTAAATGTTGCCATGTTTTTATTGAACACACCATGTAAACATTCACAGTGCAGGTGGAAAAAGTATGTGAACCCTTGGATTTAATAACTGGTTGAACCTCCTTTGGCAGCAATAATTTCAACCAAACGTTTCCTGTAGTTGCAGATCAGACGTGCACAACGGTCAGGAGTAATTCTTACCATTCCTCTTTACAGAACTGTTTCAGTTCAGCAATATTCTTGGGATGTCTGGTGTGAATCGCTTTATTGAGGTCATGCAATAGCATCTCAATCGGGTTGAGGTCAGGACTTTGACTGGGCCACTTCAGAAGGCGTATTTTCTTCTGTTTAAGCCATTCTGTTGTTGATTTACTTCTATGCTTTGGGTCATTGTCCTGTTGCAACACCCATCTTCTGTTGAGCTTCAGCTAGTAGTAGACAGATGGCCTTAAGTTCTCCTGCAAAATGTCTTGATAAACTTGGGAATTCATTTTTCCTTTGATGATGGCAATCCGTCCAGGCCCTGATGCAGCAAAGCAGCCCCAAACCATGATGCCCCCACCACCATACTTCACAGTTGGGATGAGGCTTTGATGTTGGTGTGCTGTGCCCTTTTTTGACAACACATAGTGTTGTGTGTTTCTTCCAAACAACTCAACTTTGGTTTCATCTGTCCACAGAATATTTTGCCAGTACTGCTGTGGAACATCCAGGTGCTCTTGTGCAAACTGTAAACGTGCAGCAATGTTTTGTTTGGACAGCAGTGGCTTCCTCTGTGGTATCCTCCCATGAAATCCATTCTTGTTTAGTGTTTTACGTATTGTAGATTCGCTAACAGGGATGTTAGCATTTGCCAGTGACTTTTGTAAGTCTTTAGCTGACACTCTAGGATTCTTCTTCACCTCATTGAGCAGTCTGCGCTGTGCTCTTGCAGTCATCTTTACAGGACGGCCACTCCTAGGGAGAGTAGCAGCAGTGCTGAACTTTCTCCATTTACAGACAATTTGTCTTACCGTGGACTGATGAACAGCAAGGCTTTTGGAGATACTTTTATAACCCTTTCCAGCTTTATGCAAGTCAACAATTCTTAATCGTAGTTCTTCTGAGAGCTCTTTTGTGCGAGGCATCATTCACATCAGGCAGTGCTTCTTGTGAAAAGCAAACCCAGAACTGGTGTGTGTTTTTCATAGGGCAGGGCAGCTGTAACCAACGACTCCAATCTCATCTCATTGATTGGACTCCAGTTGGCTGACATCTCACTCCAATTAGCTCTTGGAGATGTCATTAGTCTAGGGGTTCACATACTTTTTCCACCTTCACTGGGAATGTTTACATGGTGTGTTCAATAAAAACATGGCAACATTTCATTCTTTGTGTGTTATTAGTTGAAGCAGACTGTGATTGTCTATTGTTGTGACTTAGATGATGATCAGATCACATTTTATGACCAATTTGTGCAGAAATCCATATCATTCCAAAGGGTTCACATACTTTTTCTTGCAACTGTACACTATGCATTGGGATATAATTTTTTATTTTTGTTTTCTCACAATTTATAGATAATCATGCTACATGAGGCATTTATCAATATGGTATTAAACGAAAGCTGTATCTTTCCTTGTGAAAAAGAGTAAATAATTTTTACAGGCAACAAAGGAAAACGAATTAAAGGGACATGCATCGCTTGACAATAATTTTTTCTAACCCAGCAAGTAAACACTTTTAAACAAACATACAAGCCAAAATTAAGCAAGTAACACTTTGAAAAGTATTTAATAAACAATTATAAACTTGCTATAAACTTGTCTATATTGCCTCTCAACTAGGGGATTTTATAAAGCCTCTCTCCTCCTCCCTCTCACCAACTCATCTCAGTTTCAGACTAGTCCTCTAATGATAGAAACAGGGCATTGTTGTGCAGCAGCAAGAAAGCGAACTCAGACACCGAAGCCTACTCTGTACGATTACACGCTCTCTCTTCTCCCCCTGTCATGATGTTGTACGGTTTGCACATGTGTAAATCTGTAGTCATTCCCAGTGCAATTTTCCAACATTAATAGGTATAGGACACTGATTTGTTAGAACAGTGTCGCACTTGGTGTGGCAATTCATATCTCATGCATCATAACACATTCAGACAATTGCAAAATAATGAGGAGCTCTAATAGGATCACTAATTCACAGATCATTTTATTGTACCTCCTTAAAAATATACCTCCCATCTCCCATATCTCATATATACTGGGTTGGGAGGAGGTGTGGCTGAGACAGGGTGTGTGTCAGTGACACACAGTTATACATCCTAGACACTCAGAATATTTTATGTGTCGGAGTGTTATCACAGAGAGCCACAGCAGCAAAATATACACTGTGTTTTACTGTAATGATTGTTTTAGGAATATTGACATTATTTTTGCAACTAATTGCCTTGATGAATTGTCACATTTGAGTCTGCCACATGTCGCAGCTGAATCCCCTGAATCTCCCTGAATATCCAGCTACAGAAGACATCTGAACCAGTGGCGGAACTAATATAGAGAGGGCCCTGTGCAAATTTATTTTCACAAGGGTGGCCATAACGTTGATCTGCATCTGTAGTAAACTCCCACAATGCTAACTGGGATCTGCCATTTATCCATTCCTGCACATTGTTTTTAGCACTGATTAGTGTTTGTGTGTTTGAATGTAAGTAAGTTTTTGCATGGAGTATGTCTGAGTGAATGCAGGGATGTATTTGTATGTATGTTGGTGTTGGATTGCAGTTGTGCATTTATGTGTAGTGTTGGTTTTTGAATTCCTGGGTTTTTATATATAATGTTGGTGTTTTAAAACAGAAGTGTGTTTGCATGTAGTGTTGATGTTTGAATGTAGGGGTGTATGTGTGTGTTGTGTGTTTGTGTGTTGGTGTGTGAATGCTAAGACGTATGCGCATGTATGCATACATTACCACACACTGATACACATACATACACAGATATACACACAGTAATACACATACAGACACACAGAAACATACACTGACACATATGCAGATACACAGATGCACCAAAACACACAATGATACAGATACACACACAGACACACAGAAAGACACACTGACACACATACAGACACAAACACTGGCATACATATGGACACACAGATACAAACACTGACAAATACAGACACATGTGCTGTTCTAAATTTAGAACATTTTAGCCACCCTCCAGTTTCCTACCTTTTGAATGCTGACTGTTGCTGTTGGGAGTCAGAGGCTGGCTCTTGCAGTTCACCCCCATGTTAAAGGGGCCCAGATGCACAGTTGAAGCACCGCAGTGCACGATCAGTCCCCTAACAGATGCCCATTGGGTTGCCCTAAGTGCATGGGCTACCTGATGGGGCCCCCCAGCATGCAGGCACTGGTGCAGCTGCACCGGCGATAGTTTCACCACTGCCCTGAACAATAAAAAGTCACATATTTGCCAAAGCAACAAAACCTTAGGCATGTACCCTCCAATTCTCTCCATGTATGATATGTAGTGATAAAGGATAATACGTCTTCACATGGCTATGGACCTATGCATTGATTTTCCCAGACAGTATCTGTGCTACAGCCATATTGTTTTCTAAATTCATACTGGTATATGGCCTGTAGTGGTACACACTTTGTTTCGTTTGGTATTACATTATTACATTGTATTGTTTTGTATAAAGCATACGTCCCTAAATTTCAAAATGCCAGAGGGACAAGTTTAATAGTGTGAGTGGTTATGGGTGTAAAATTGAATTCACGACTTTTTGCCACATTTGTTATTTGAAAATTCAGAGCAGTTCAGTTTCATCGCTGTGAAAGGGGTAGAAAGGAATTTGGACACACAATAGTGATTATTCCTACTAAAGAGGGACATGGTCTTTTACCATGAATTTTGATATTATGTTTCCTTAACCCCTATATTTAGCAAATAGCTTTTTGTGAGGTGTGAAAAATACAAATTTGTCCTAGAAAAGGACACCTGCATACTAACTACCTATAATTCATAATTTTAGATGCTACTCTTTATGAAACATGGTTAGTTGAAGAGGAGAATTCAAAACAAAGTTTGTCATCCACTTCATTTGCATTACATGCCCTGACTGTGCGTGGACTAAACTGGATTTTTAATTTTTTTTTATTTATTTAGGTTTACATGCAATTATCCTTTACAAAAGGCTATTGTTCGAATACCCAAAACATTTTGACGTAACAAATAGATTTTTAGAGTAATGACTGAACAGAATAATGATGCTTATCATTGCATGAAGAAAAACAACTTAAAGTGGACCTATAATTTACTTTGGTTTTCTTTTCTTATTCCTCCTATATCTTAAAGATTGTACTGCCCTCCATGCCGCCTTTATTTATATTTATCTCTTTTCTACCTTGTGCTGGATCTCAATATCTGGGTGCAGACATTTAATTCTTCTTTGTCCATTAATTCTTCAGTTTCCCTACTGTGTGACTGAATTTTAACTGATGGATTGTGGGTACGTTTGACTGCTGAAACAGAACTTTGCTTTAAGTTCCACCCATTGTCAAGTTTTGTCAACCTGATTGCTGGACATGAGGAAAAGTAGTCCCCATTTTTATTTATATATTTAAAGGGACTATCCAGTGCCAGGAAAACAAACCAGTTTTCCTGGCACTGCAGGATCCTGCAGTGCTCCCTTCCCTCCCACCCCCATCCCAGGTTGGAGGGGTTAAAATCCTTCAGTGACTTACCTGAATCCAGCGTCGATGTCTCTCATGGCTACGCGCGCATTAGACCTCCCCATGCTTTTCTATGGGGATTCAGGCGACGCTGGAGGTCCTCGTGCATAGCGTGAGGACATCCAGTGTCATTTAAAACAATTTTCGTGTTCTAAGAAGCCGGAAGTCCCTCTAGTGGCTGTCAGTTAGACAGTTATAAAAACTGCAATAATTACACTTGCAGGGTTAAAGGTGATGGGAGTTGGCACCCAGACCACTCCAATGGGCAGAAGTGGTCTGGGTGCCTGGAGTGTCCCTTTAATGAAAACAAGGGTATGCAGGAAATAAAAACCAATTCAATCACAGGGAGCTATACAGAAAAATATTAGATGACGATTATTTTTAGTTACAGAGCCTCTTTAACACAGGTTAAAGGTGATTTTCAATGTTTTAATCAATGGTGTAATTTCTGGGAAAGTGGCAGTTCCGCTTTAAGAGGTGTGTACAACTTGAACTATTCTCTTCATTCTTTATAACCCTCATAAATTATTTGCTTCCTCTTTGATTTTTGAGGGAAGGGATTTTTGCTGCTTATAGCCAGACAGACATGAAAACTATTAAAAATCCACTAAAGTCACCCAAGCCATTTAATCTCAATGACGTGGTCTGGGTGCAGTGATCCTATAGGTTTAAGCCCTGTAATGTGAAACTAAAAAAAAAAAAAATTATTTTAGAAATCGCAATGTTTACATTACATTAACAGTTAAACACACCTCTAGTGACTATCATACTGACTGCAAATAGAGGCATTCTCTACTTGAAGCATTCTCCAAGTAAAATGCGGTAATGTGACTGCAGCCCCCATAGTAAAGCATTGATTCAATGCTTTCCTATGGAAGAATTTGCGCTTCACTTCCCCATGTCTCCTCCACAACACTGCTGGAGTAGGAAAGGTAAGCAGCCAAGGGAACCTCATAGCTGGAAAATGGTACGTACTAGTTTTATCAATTTCTATGTCGAGCTGTGGGGGTAGAGATGGTAACACTAAAGCATTAGTAGAAATGCACATTTGTATTCCTAATGCTTTTGTGTTCCTTTAAATATTTTTGTGGCTTAACTTCCCTGATTTCTCCTTGGTACTTTGCTATAAGATTGTTTAATGTCACCTTATATTATCAGGAGACCTTTGATATCACTTATTAGCTTTCCTTTATATTATCTTAATTACTCTGGCACTGTGTCCTATAAAGCTCTAAACATTGTTCAGTTCCTGGAATATCTAATCCATTGATGTTTCCATGATATAGCTGCTCCTAAAACCTACCTCTATTCACTACATATCAAGCATAGTTTTAATGCTTGTGCTAAATTTCTTCGTCTCTGAACAAACTGGTCATATATCTAGTGGAACAAATCAGTTCAACAGATCACTGAATATATATTTGTGCGTAGAATGGCCATCTCCTGCACTCACTTTTTATGTCTTTGCTGATTTTATATACCTGCTCCAAAAAATGTTTAAATTGTCCAATATATATATATATTATTTAATTAGGAATAGGTACAAATAGCCATTTACAACCAATATTTAAAACGGACAGATGGTGGGCACAATGTTTTCTAACATGATATGTAAAGGGTACAACAAACGTAACCTACAAGACCTAATGAACAAAAAGTGATCATCATATCACGCAATACAATTCATCTCCCTTAAAATCTGCTTCTTTTTGACAACCCTGAGGACTGAGTAAAGTTATCTCTGCACCCTGAATACTATTCTCCATATTAGGCCGATCCGGAATATGTTAATAATTTACAAGGAATACACTAACTTTTTAAAATAGGATCTAATCTATAATACGTTCATCTTTTGATTTGGTCAAGGAACTCAAGACAATATGACCTACTGCGACTTGATAAGTTAGCCTGTTTTTGCGTACTTATTGCACATATGTCACATTACTATTTTCTACAGCAACATTGCAAATGTAATGTTTCTGTGTCAGATTTTCAGTGCCTTTATTTTGGTATAGATACATAGAAAAAAAACCTGCACAGTTGATAAGTCCTATAAAGGCTTATTCCAACACCAACAAATTGATGTTTAGGCTCAAAAAGAACCTTTCTCAAACAGACGTGGCATGGGAATAATTAATCCCACACTATAGTAACCAAAACAACTTTAGCTTAATGAAGCCGTTTTGGTGTATAGATCATGCTCTTTCGGCCTTACTGCTCAATTAGCTGCCATTTAGGAATTAGTTTTTTGTATCCCTAGGCACACCTCCCTGTATGTGACTTACACAAACTTCCTGTAAAGAGTCATCTAATGTTTAGTTTTGTTTAATTTAGAATTTCTTATCTCCTGCTCTGTTAATATCTTGCTAGACCCTGCAGAAGCCTCTAGGATTTAATTAAAGTTCAATTTACAGAACAGGAGATTTTTAAAAAAAAACTTTCAAAATAAGTTACATCTGATTGAAAATTAAAACATTTTGTTTCCATGCAGACTGTGTCAGTCACAGCCAGAGAAGGTATGGCTAGGGCTGCATAAACAGAAACAAAGTGATTTAACTCCTAAATGGCAGAGGATTAAGCAGTGAGGCTGCAGGGGCATGTTCTATACACCAAAACAGCTTCATTAACCTAAAGTTATTTTGGTGACTATATAATACCTCTAACTCTAACACTCATAACAGTGACACCAAAACAGCATTATATTCCCACTACAATTGTTTCAATTCTTAAAACGATGGGTTTTCTGTCTAACTGTAACACACACACACACACAGACATACATACATTCACACACACACAGACATTGACAGACATACACACAGACACACACACACAGACATACATGCACACACATACAGAGATTCATACAGACACACACACCTTTCCCTGGGGTCCACTGGCTCAGCCTGATGGGAGTCAGAGTTCCCACTCTGACTCTCTCCTCTCCTTCCTCCCGCGCAGCTCCCGGTGGTTGCTGGCAGGAGTGACTGGGGCAGTCACTTCCTCCCAGCGCAGTCTGACATCATCAGACGGCGCCCGGTCGCGCTGTTAAAGCTCTGACTGAGCCCCCTGGAAATGCATGGCATCTGGTGGTCCTAACAGTATGGGCCACCGGATAGGCCCCTTCAATGCGGTTACTTAGAGTGGTGGGCCCGGTTGCAGCTGCGACCCCTGCAGTTCCGCCACTGGGTGGCACCACGCTTTGCACCATACCCACTACAGCTATGCTTCCTACTGTTATAATAAGTCCGCTGTTTTTAAACAATCAATGCAAGATCCATGGGGTACTCAATGAGGCTGAATTTCCACTCACTCACTGATGGCTAGTAGCCAAACAGAAATTCTGAGCACTGGTAGTAAAACAGCCAAATTCAAGAATCTATTTTATTAAAAAGCTTTATTTTTCTAAAATATTCTTTTACTTTTACATTTTTTTTTCATTGTCACCAAAAAAAATTTTTCCCACAGAGTTCAGTAGATCTCTTGCTCTTTTTGTATGATGGAACCAATATCTGATTAAATACAGTTTTTTAATTAAGTGAGTAGAGTGTCAATCTATAAATAAAATGTCATATTTAAAGGAACCATATAGCATTAGTGAGACAAACCTGTATTCTTAACACTGTAGTGCCCCTGTCCCTAGAGAGATTCAGATACAAAAAAATATTTTTAAAAACTTTGAACTTACCTTTTTTCCCAGCACTGAGACTCTTTTGGTACTGTTTAGTTTTCCCCATTCTGCAATGTCATTGAAGAGGCAACACTTCCTACAAGTGCAGTGGACATATCCAATGCTTCTCATGGGAAGGGATTTAATTCAATGCTTTCCTTAGAGCAGAAACGTTGTGTGCCTGGGTTTTACTATGTAGCAGAAGCAACTCTAGTAGCTGTCTGAAAAACAGCCACTAGAGGTGTGTTCTATAAACCTGCAGCGTTTTACATTGCAAGTTAAAATGACAGGGCCACTACTTTATTAAGATGAAGTAGTTTGGGTGAATTTAGCTGTCACATAAACAATTTAAATAATATACCGTACACATTTTCTCAAAATCTGCAGGTGACATTGTTGATAAAAAAAATATCACTCCAAAAGCAGAGTAAATAATATGTATATATATATATATATATATATATATATATATATTTATTTATTTTACATTTGGAACCCAATTTCAATTTAAATAAACACTTTATTCAGGAACAAAACATATGTTTATATAGCCATAAAAATGTCATTATAGATTTAAGGGAGAAATCTAGGAAATTGAATATTATTTACAGTATGTTTAGAAACCGCTAAATGTTGTTTGTACAATCCAGTCTGAGATATATAGTGTTTTACAGATGGTGTTTCTGGAGTGCCATGCACTTTAGCACAGACTCTCACTGTAAGTAATCCAGCAAGTATAATAAGCTATTCATGAAGGCAAGCAGTGCATTGTGGACCCACAACTAGCACAAAAGACAGCATTTTCAAGTATACTCGGTCTAAAATATAGGTTAAAAAGTGTAGTTGATGTCATGTTGAAACTGCCCTTGACATACTCCTGAGCAGGGTCTGGTTAGCTCAGTATGCTTCTTGGTGATTCAAGAGAATCATTTAGGAACTAAGAGACTATGCTCTCTATATTGTGGGACAACTCACAGTAATGTTTTTTATGCCACAAGTGCCCTGTTGAACCCTCCCTTCCCCATAATAAAGAGTCAATACATTTTTAAATAGTTAGACTTTTTACCTGGGGCACACCAGGTGCCACTCCACGGTTCCTTTATCATCTTTCCGTAGCTCTACTGAATTAAGCCCTACAATGCTCATTGGGTCACTGAGTGCAATCAGCTGACATTCCTGTAAAATAACATTCTGTTTCATTGCATTATTAAAATAAAAATACAGTGGAGGAAACAATATCAGGTTAAAAAAAATATATATATATATGAAAAAAGTGTCCAATGTATTTTTGGAATGATTGGAAATCAGAGCCGATGGTCAAGTGACTAATTAATAGCTGGTATGGGGACAGAGTAGGATTAACCATAAAGTGACCATAGGCAGCCACCTAAGGCCCAAATGATTAACCATGAGTTTGAGTGGTCTCATTTACCATCCCTAAGTGAAGAAAATAAGGGGGGGACTGGAAACTAGCTTAGGGCCCTGTGGGGTCGCAATCCTTCTCATCATAGGGGTGAAAGTGGTGACGACTACAAAAATATATCATGTGAAGATGGAGAGATGAAAGCAAAAACCTGCAGATTAAAACATTAATAATAATAAATAATAATATAGAAGGAATCTCAGATGCAGACCGAATAAATTAGCAATGTATTGGGGTGTAAATCTGTGTTTATCTTTATCAACCCTCAGCATATCTCTATTGTATTGCATCATGGGAACTACCAAACCCTTACTGCTTGCCAATCACCATCATTGTTAGCTGTAGAACGTTTCCAAAATTACAGTTGAATTTGAAAACATTCCATTGTGGTATCATAGTATCTCACCTAAGCATAACCTCTTTTTATTCATTTACAGACACTGCAAAGTGCTACTTGTGTTTCAGTTTGTTTCTTTATCATTTATACAATCTGTTCTGTCGAAAGTTTTAATATGTTGCACCATAGGGTTCTGAAATGTTCATTGGGGCTTGGGGCCTGGTAAGAAAGATATGCAATATAGTCTTGCAGGCTGGTCGAAAAAACCCAAAAATTTATATATATATATATATATATATATATTTTAATATCACGGTCCAGCACTCGAGCTTAACAATATTTTGAATGTCAAGGCGCAATTATAGCCACATGACACACATGTATATATATCTTAACATAATGCACTCATGGTCTTGCTGAATAGTGTTTAAGTGTTTTTTATTCAGAAAATCTAAGTTTCAGCCCACCACACTGGTCTTTCATCACGATATATCAAAATACACTTGGAATGAAATTATATATACAGTATATATATATATATATATATATATATATATATAGAATATCATTCAACAAGTATATTATGCATTATATTTACATAATTTGAGGATTTTATTAATTATATATTGTGGGACCTGCCCGACGACCCAGGCAGAAAGTCCAGCTAATTTAAGCTAATTTAAGTACTATATTTGACCCTGTAACTTTTCAAAAATGAAAAAAAAGCTGTACTTGGGGGTACTGTTGTACTCCTAAAACATTGCTGAATACAAATAAGAGTATTTTAGACCAATAAAAACATATGACTATAAGTTAAAGGCCAGTTTTTGTGTGAAAAATGCAAAAAAAACAAATATGAACACTAACTTTGGCCAGGGATTGTGACTAAGTTGCTACTAAAATAGACTGGACATACCCCATTTTGAATACCATGGGTTGTCTACTTTTGCAAATGATATACCATGATTGGGGGGTAATTTTCATTCCTGGGCTGCCATACGCTCTCAAAGGCAACATAGGCCCAGCAAACCAATCTATCAAATTTCAATGTGTAAAAACTGAAATGGTCAAGCCCTATATGTAATCCTGTAACTTTCCAACATTCCATAAAAATCTGTTGTACTCATGAGACTTCGCTAAACTCAAATAAGTATTTTATTGCACTAAAAGCTAAAAGTATTTTGACATTTACTGTTTAAATGTCACGAAGAACTTGGGGGTCTAGATGGTGTTTTCCTGACCCTATAGTGTTCCTTTAATAGACTTGAAGAGCGCTATGCTAGTAATGTTTCTTTTAATAATAGGCTTTGAGAAGCAACTGCATAATTTAAAATAAATAAATAAAAAAACACTAATATCCTCCAGCCCAACCAGTACTTGTAGAGATCTGGAGCTTCGGCCCTTACAGCCTCCCTCCCCTCCGGCAATGCCTATTGATTGTACTATTGTCATAGATAAAGGTAAATAAAGGGTTAAAACCTTTGCCCAAGTTTAACCCTCTCAGAGTCCTTCCACGTCTGAGAGGGTTAAAAGCTAACTTCTTCACTCCTGCTTCTGTCAGCAGTCTCTGCAGCTGCTTATTCTCCTCATGAAATGTTACTTTTGTTTTAACCTTGGTATTCTTAGATAAGACTTTCTCAAGTAATTGCTTGTTTTCATGTAAACATGCGCAGTAGAGTAATGTCATTTTATATATGTAATGCTTTCCCAGTTAAAGATGAGATGATATTTGAACTACACGGAGTAAGTCTGTGGTTTTATTATCGGTTTTCCAGAGCGCTCGAACACCTAATAATTAGGAGCCTCTGGTTATCTCTTGGATGATTTATCCGTTCTAAATTTCTATATCACTATTAATCGAAAAACTGATGAAACTTTTTATATTTAAAAAAAATAGTACACCCACATATATATCTTGTATTGTAACATATTTTAATTCTGTTCTTTTCACAGTTGTCATGGCAACGGCACCTCAATTAACTATTACAACATTATCAACAATAAATATAACAACACGGTCACAGGAACAGATTCTGTATCAGAGTAAGTATATACCTTAATATTAGCTCAGACACCTTCTGGGAGCTGACTTCATAACAAGGGTTAAAGGAAACCTAGAAAGCATACTGGCATGTAATGGTTTCTACAGTTACTTTGACCTTGATTTACTTTTAATTACCTTTAATTCTCACTTTAATAAATAATCCTGATACTGGATTGCTGAAATTAGATGTGTTTTGCAAATAATAGAAAGGAAGATTTTGCATTTCTTTTTTGAATGCGTCAACCTATACTTTGTTTTTATAAAAGCAATGTGTGTCTATGTATTGAGGGAATTAGTTAATCATATAAAGTATATTACTACTTTGGCCTTAAATTGTGAACCTCACTTTGAATTCCCAATTTCCACTTTACTAAATAACCCTATAAAGAGGCATATAGATTATATTTACACAGAGGTGCTACATGTAAAATGTCAGGGTTATTTACCAAAGTAGAATTGTCAGGAAGTGCAAGAGAATTTCAAATTTAAAGGAACACTATAGTCACCTAAACAGCTTTAGCTTAAATGATCACTTTAGGGTAAGGAACACAAACATGTATTCCTGACTCTATAGTGAAAACCCACCATTTAGGTGGCTTGCCCCCCTCAGAATGGGTTAAACCATAGGGAAAGCATTGGATTGGCTACAATCAGCAAGGGTGCGGTGCCAAACCACCCGAAATAACAAAACTTGTGTCAGTGTCCAAATATTTCCAGACTTACCTGTAGCTGAACGTTTGTCCAGTTCTGCTACGTTTGACGTTAAATGTAAAATTCACTTTGAATTTCAAAAAAAAATTGCACTTTAGTGAATGACCCTGATATTCTTCTAATCCTCCTAGTAAAACATTTTCGAAACAACAAAAAAATACTTGTGAGTGTTTCATAAAAGTTTCATCAGTTATTTTACATTTTGTCTAGGGATAGATATGCCTCAAGACAGCATCAAGATTTGATAAGTCTCTTATAATATTTTATACATCACATAATAGTCTTTGAAATGCAAAACACAGCCAAGACACACAGGACCCAGTTGCCCTTCAGCTTTTTTACACAATACTGGGTGCAGCACATACATTGTTTATGACTTTATTAGATGACTATGTGCAGAATGTTTATTTATCTGTAGGGCAGTTTGGACGCATTAGTCCTACTACAGCCTGTCTTATATAGGAAATAAGGTCTCATTTTTAAAGTAAGGGAATCACACACAAGTTAATAAGCATTTTGAGAGGTGACAAACATGAGATCACCATTGTCATGCTAAAAAGCTGTTTTCACACTAAAGCAGTCTGCAAGTGTAATTATTCATTTCTGTTTCTATAGACTTTACACTATATAGTAATATTTTTGTTTTGGCCATAAGTTTGAATGCTGATTCTTTTTTGATTGTCTTACAGGTGCAGGTGCAATAGTTGCTGCCATTGTCGTCGGTGTCGTTCTTATATTTGCACTGGTGCTAATTATACTCAAGCTGTACAACAGGTAAATTTAATGACTCTTTACCTCTGTTTGCATTATGCGTCAGTCCTGATTTTGATCAAGAAGCTGATGCTCAAAGTCAATCATCAGCTCAGCATTCACAAATTAGCTTGAAAATTGCTTATGAATGTTTTAGAAATGTGGAGCTACTAATTTACTCAGAGCCAATCAGCTAATCAAAATACTAACTGTCCAAGCCAGTCCAAGGCTTCTAATTTGAAGAATCTGAGAGAAGTTGAAGGATGGTGCAGATCTAAATAGCATTGGAGAGAAGACTTTAAGGTTAAACCAGTCTCAAAGAATCTGAGTGTCATTTGGTTGATGGAAATTTTTGGATGTTGTCGATGAGTGACTAATGCTATTTGTGTACAGCATGCTTTTATTACTTTTTGAATCTTGTTCATATCTTCATTCAAAAAAAAATAATCAAAATTCATAGCATTTTCCATTACTATAGGGTTACTCAAAGAATGCTGAAGTGATTATGGTTCAAGGATCCTGTCTGTGCAACATTTCTGCTAGAAACCCTTTTTTCAAATGTTTGCATTTTTAGTGTATTACCTTAATAATTCATTTAAAAATAGGGAGCAGTTTTTACTAGTTTAACTTTAATATGGGATCAACGGCAGTAAAATGTGCAGTTAGGTTAAATACTGTCATGTAGGGAACACGTGTGACGACCTCAATAATATCCCGTACATTATTTACAAAAATGAAGAGATCCTCAGCACATGGCAATAAAGGTATGCGGTTTATTCAGCCAACAAAGTGACAGACAACGTTTCAACACATATAGTCTTTCTCACAATACATGTCGAAGCATTGCCTTTTACTTTATTGGCTGAATAAACCTTTGTTGCCATGTGCTGTGGATTTTCTTCATTTTTGTATTCATTGTGGCCAGGTTGAACTGGTATCCTTCCGTCAAGCACTGGCACTTAAATAGGGATAGCTTCAAGAGTGCAGACCATTTCTTTATTTTCACTTATATACATTTTTTTATACTATGTTCTTTTTCTTTCAATCACCTTTATAAGCTATGCATATTTCATTTTATTTTTTGTCTTATAACAGACGTACAAGGACAGAAAGAGAGCTGGGTATGAAAAGCACCAAAATCACGACTAACCCTAGTACAAGAGGTCACAACAGCTCGCTCAGTTTGCCTACATCTATAACATCTGTTCCACCAGATATCCACCTTGAGAATCGATGATTTTGATCTTTACCTCAATTATATGATGTCTGGACTTTCTTTGTTTAGAATCCCTGCTCATTTAGGACTCAGACTTGTGAATGACGGAACTCTGATCAATACAGACATTTCAAATGTGAGAAAAATGGTTTCTGTTAAGAGTCTGCTCTCCACCCTTGCATTACTATCATCGTCAGAATGTAGACATGCAGACAACTATCCCAGCTTGCATGCAATCATTAAACAACCAGTGTGTAGGACTTGATAATGCGTCGGTAATATTGTATGACTCTTATATGACGTCGGGAAATAATTCTCATTTCACAAAATGTTTCTACTTTTGATTTACTGATACAGTGGATCCTCATGTCCTGCATTGGAATATGCCGCAAAGACTCAAAGGACACGATGGATTCAGTGAGTCGTACTTACTGTATTCAGCCAGGATCCTGGATAGTAATTGACTTACAGGCTGCTCAGCTCTAGACCTTTATATATCATATGTATTTATATTGATATGTAGAGAAAGATATGTACAGGTCTTTGGACAACATGGTTTATGTCTATCTCAAACTGGCAATATATTTTATTTTCCTTCACTTTATTTAAGTCTCCTTCCTTTCTTTACTGTCATCTACCTCCTAAATTTACAAACCTCGCTTAATAGCATCTGTGAAAATTTATTTTTTATTAATAGTTCTGTCTAAAAAATAATTTGGTCAACACTGTGAATGTTCCATGGGGCTCCATGACTGAAAGTGTCATGGAGTAATTCATTGTGATAATGCAAACATGAATCGTTGCTTGAAATACTATTTTTTTAAAAGATTTGGAATTATGCACAGAATCCTCAAAGGCGGCCTCCACTCAGTGGTGAAGTCTAAGTTAGGACAAAGGAAAAGCAGATTTTTGTGGACAGTGCTTTAGTATCAGTGTAAGTTAACAGAGCATGGTTATGGGGGTTTTATTTCTACTTTTACAAATGAGGGAGGTCATTTGCGGTTGATGATATTTTTTAACAGAAAAAGTTGAGGGGTGGAAGGGAGGGCTATAATTATCAGCTCTGGATCCTTTACAGTCACTTTCCAGCCCTGTTTCTTCAGAAGATTAGAACTAGGTTTCACTTAAAGGCAAATGTGTCAATATTTTATGCTATGGTATTTTTAATAGTTTGTGCACTGTAATTTTGTGTGTTTCTAAATATAAGTGAGGGCCCAATAATAAATAGATCTTCCAAGAGCGAAAAGGGGCTCTGCTATCTAAAATATGATCACATGAAACATATATCTCACATAGCCTTTGTCAATCCCATAATAATTCTAGATTAGGAACTAAATGCATATTTTGTACAATCCTTCCATTTCAGAACATTTACCTTTTAATACTTCTTGGCTAGTGGTAATTTGCAAAATAACCATTCTCAAACACAAAGACAAGAGATGGAAACTAATTCTACTCTAGAATACAGGTTATATTTTTCATTTGTAAATAGGAAGAATGACTGGTTTATTTACATTATATTTATATTTCAACAATTGAAAAGTACTGGAAATGTTCAGCAGCTGATCTTTTTCTGCTGATATACATATATAAGTATATCTAAAAAAAAATGTGGAATGTTAAATATTGCTTCCCAGAAACATAAAGTGAATGCATGGATCTATTAATTTAGGTTCCATTAAGGATTAAAATAAATTATTAGAATGAAACATTTTAATTTCTGATGCAAGTTTTTTTTCTTTAATTTACGTCTATCTTCTGTCCGTACTCCCACCTCTGATGCACGCCTTCAAGATTTCTCGAGGGCTGAACCGTTCCTGTGGAACTCGCTTCCCTCCTCCGTTAGATGCTCACCCAGTCTCCACTCCTTAAAAAAATCGTTAAAAACCCACTTCTTCATAAAAGCATATCAATTAAACTGTTAATAGCTCCTGACTGATTCCTCTTCTGCAACTGTCACTAGTCTAATAGTATCCTTACCTTTTTGTGTCATTTTACCCCACTCCCTCTAGCATGTAAGCTCATTGAGCAGGGCCCTCAACCCCTCTGTTCCTGTGTGTCCAACTTGTCTGGTTACAACTACATATCTGTTCGTCCACCCATTGTAAAGCGCTGCGGAATTTGATGGTGCTATATAAATACCATAATAATAATAATAATTGTAATTGAAACATAAACTCAGAAACATTATGCCTTTCTAGAGACTATGTGGCCCCTTGGAACTAGCCTCTGACTCAAGATACTATTTTTAACTACCATGATGTGTTTATGGTTATGTTAATTTACTGTCTTTATAAATGTTAAAGCATATTATTCCATTAAGTTGCACACTATATGCACCATGTTGAATAACACACCATAGCTAATAGGCTTCCATTAAGTATTGAAAACATTTTTCTTATTAAGTAGATGTAGAAAAATTAGAAAAACTCATTTCTATCTTCAGCATATGACAGGATCTTTCAGCCATATACTTGCGCCTTTGGTCAGACATTTGAGGAATATTTTTTTTTTTTAAATGGTCTATTTGGTCTTACGCAATTCATAGAAGCAGGGAAGATCACAGAGACTTTGTTTCAAAAACTGTCTGACCTATACTAGAGGCAGGGAGGAGGTGGTTTTTTTTTTTTTTTTTACAAAAATAAATTCTTTCACTACTTGATAAAAGGTTGATTATATTAAGAATAGATTTGTGGTGACAATTGTCCTTAATTAAGTCTACTCTGGGTCAGACAGAGGCAATGGATAGCAACATACACTGATCAGTCACAACATTAACACTTCCTGCCTAATATGAATAACAGCACTGATTCATCGAGGCACAGACTCCAGAAAACCTCTGAACATGTCCTGTGGTATCTGGCTCTAAAACATTAGCAGCCGATCACTTAATCCCTGCAAGTTGTGAGATGGGGCCTCCATGGATCAAATTTGTTGTTCTACCACATCGCACAGATGCTCAGCCGGATTGAGAATCTGGGAATTTGGAGACCAAGGCAACATCTTGAACTCTTCATGTTCGTCAACCCATTCCTAAACAATTGATGTAGTGAGGCAGGGTGCATTATCCTGCTGAAAGAAGCCACTGCCATCAAGGAACACCATTGCCAAGGGATATACCTGATCTGCAACAATCTCTAGGTAGGTGGTATGTGTCAAATTAAGGTTTCCCAGCAGAACCTTGCCCAGAGCATAGCACTCCCTCACCGGCCTGCTTTCTTCAAGTGCATCCTACTGCCATCTCTTCCCCAGGTAAACGACACACATGCATCCAGCCATCCACCCATCCACCCGATCTAAAGGAAAACGTGATTCATCAAACCAGGCAACCTTCTATTGTTCCATGCTCCAGCTCTGGTGCTTATGTCCCCATTGAAGGTGGTGGACAGGGGTCATCATGGGCACTCTTGAGCGGTCTGTGGCTACACATCCCCATATGCAGCAAACTGTAATGCACAGTGTGTTCGGACACCTTTCTATCATGGCCAGCATTAAAGTTTTCAGCAATTTGAGCAACAGTAGCTCCTCCTCTTGGGCTAGCCTTCACTCCCCACGTGTATCAATGAGCCTTTGGTACACATAACACGAACGCTGGTTCACCAGTTGTACTTCCTTGCACTTCCTTGGGTAGGTGCTAACCACCGGGAACACCCAACAAAACTTGCTGTTTTAGATATACTCTGACGCAGTCGTCTAGTCATCACTATTTGGCCTTGGTCACTCCAGATGTTTTTGGTTACCCATTTTTTCTGCTTCCATTACATGAAATTCAAACATGGACTGTTCACTTACAGCCTAATATATCCCATCCCTTGACAGGGCCCATTGTAACAATATACTCATTGCTATTCACTACACCTGTCAGTGGTTTTTGTTGTGGCTGATCAAGTCAGGCATTTTACCGCCTACTTTCTAAGCTCTGTTTTTCTTTCCCCATCCAACCCAATTTCTCTTATTTCACTTTTAATCTTCTTCCTCATATTTTCCCACTTTCCCCCTATTCAGGTTCCACAAATGTCTGTCATTTCAATGTAATTGAACTAATTTCTTAATTCAATGTCCATACTGCCAATTGGGTTTAATTTTATTGTTTACTCTCTTAAGCATATTACTATGGGATGAGTTGAGTTGTATATTGGCATTTTTTTTTTACATTCTTTATTTTGGTAGTGCAGAAAATGACAGACAGGTCACTTGCGCTTAAATCAACAATGATCATGGAAAATAACAGCAGTAAATGTAAAATCATGGCACTTTTTATAATAATGAGAAAATGAGAAAATCTTTATGTCAGATAATAAGTAAGTTGGGAATTGTCATGAGCTTTATACTAAGGTTGTACTTTTCTTAATTCTCATTTATATCCACTATCCGGTGTGTGTACAGTTATGCACTAATGTTTAATTATCATTATTTTCTTTAATATACTGTATACATAGAACCATGCAACTATTTAAAGAGACACTTTGGCTAATGAGAAAGTATTAGCCTGAGCAGCACTTGGCAGCTGTGAGTGGTTGAGAGATTCAGCTGACTGCTTTTAGCCCATCAGAGCTCGAGACAATGGTATGAAGTGTATGACTACAAGGAAGTGTGTAATTTCTGCCTCAGCCACACATCCAGAAGGGGATGGACTGTGGGTGGCCAAGAGAACCCTAATTTAGTGTTAAACTGCTCTACAATGGTTTAACACTGAATGGAGGGACAGTGCCAGGGGACTCCAAGCACTATAACCAATTCAAATAGATTAAATGGTTATAGTTTTAGTGACTACATTGTCCCTTTAACCCTTAAGGACACATGACGTGTGACATGTCATGATTCCCTTTTATTCCAGAAGTTTTGTCCTTAAGAGGTTAAACATAGATCGCAACAGAGTATGTAGTGATATATATTATTTAAAAAAAAATAAAAATAAGCTGGTGGTCTAGCTTCACTTTTTTTACAAAGCATTTTTTGGTATTAATTAGATCAGTTGACAAATAATAAAATGTTTGGTTTAACCCCTTAAGACCGGAGGGCGTACTAGTAATAAATTTAAAAATAAAATTAAAATTAATAAAATTTAAAAAATAATTACAAATAAATAATTAAAAAATATATAGATGTGTGTTATTTCGTTCTAACTGTATTGTGATAATATATATATATATATATATATTAAAATACATGTAGAACGAAATAATATATATATATCTATATACATATATACGTATATATCACTATATATATACACACCTATATTTAAATAAAAATATTTTAAAAAAATTATATATGTATACATATATTAATTCTACATATATATTTATGTAATTTTTTTTACATAATTAGGTATCTTAATTAATTACAAATAGCGGGACCTGCCTGACAACCCATGCCGAAAGTAAAGGGAATTTAATTTGCTAGCACTATATTTAACCCTATAACTTTCCAAGACACCATAAAACCTGTACATGGGGGGGTACTGTTCTACTCGGGAGACTTCGCTGAACACAAATATTAGTGTTTCAAAACAGTAAAATGTATTACAACGATGATATTGCCAGTAAAAGTGACTTTTTTGCATTTTTCACGCACAAACAGCACTTACATGGATGATATTATTGCTGCAATACTTTTTACTGTTTTGAAACACAAATATTTGTGTTCAGTGAAGTCTCCCGTGTACAACAGTACCCCTCATGTACAGGTTTTATAGTGTTTTCAAAAGTTACAGCGTCAAATATAAGGCTTGTGTTTCATTTTTTTCACATTAAAATTCACCAGATTGGTTACGTTGCCTTTGAGACCCTATGGTAGCCCAAGAATGAAAATTACCCCTATGATGGCATACTATTTGCAATAGTAGACAACCCAAAGTATTGCAAACGGGGTATGTCCAGTCTTTTTTAGTAGCCACTTAGTCACAAACACTGGCCAAAATTGGCGTTTTTTGCATTTTTCACACACAAACAAATACTTATGCTAACTTTGGCCAGTGTTTGTGACCAAATGGCTACTAAAAAAGACTGGACACACCACATTTGCAATACCTTGGGTTGTCTACTATTGCAAATGGTATGCCATTATGGGTGTAAATTTCATTCCTAGGCTACTATACAGTCTCAAAGGCAACTTAACCAATCTGGCGAATTTCAATTGTAACGTGTTATATTTGACCCTGTAACTTCCCAAAACGCCATAAAACCTGTACATAGGGGGTACTGTCTTACACGTGAGACTTTGCCGAATACAAATATGTGTATTTTATTGCAGTAAAAGCAAACAGTATTATGACATTGACAGTTAAAATGTCATGTAGAACTAAAAAATTTTAAAAAAATCTTATTTTCTCCCATTTTTTTCATATTAAATTATGTTTCATAGCTAAATATTTGATATTAAATGAAAGCCCTGTTTCCCCTGAATAAAATTATATATAATAAGGGTGGGTGCATTTACTATGAAAGAGGTGAATTACGGTTGGACAAACATGTAGCGCAAACGTGTACATTTGACTTCGTCCTTAAGGGGTTAAGCAAAACTTGATACAATTTTACAAACTTATAGAATAAGATCGTTGTGCCAATTAACCGTATATGCCCACTGTTGATAAGAGAGCATGGATCTAATGTTGCTTACCCCAACAATGGACATTAGCATAATATATTATTATTTAAAAATTATAGGTTCATTTAAATGGGATTTCCATTGTGTCCCAAAGGCTTAAATGCAATTAGTTTGTTCTCTTAATGCCACACCAATAAAAGTTTCAATAGTATCAGTCTATTGCTCTCCACAAACATTAAATACACAAAAGAAAAGTGGACAATAAATAAGACTTTATTACGCACATACTGTACACATTTCAACAAATGCTTTTTACAAGGACAAAGTGACTGAATATATGCAATATTGTTTCAGATGCATTCAAACGCCAGAATTATTGTGGTTCTCCAAGATGAAACAACTTTGGCATAATATATTTTTATTTGCATTGTTTTATGCTATTTTGGAATGTTTTATTGGTAGTATCTGGATAAGAAACTTTATCAAACTTAGGTGATACATAGGAGGAACGTGTTCAAGTATTAATTCTAAAGGCACAAACGAGAGGTTTCAGAAAAGAAAAATAAATTGATTTTATTGATGACAATATATATATATATATATATATATATATATATATAATATGCAGATTGGGAGTTAGCGCATTCTGGGGAGAAGTTCTAAAAATTTCCCAAGGAAAATCAATTTGATTGTCCTTATGAAACCCCCCATTATAAATTTTATAAATATCCATACAAATGCAGGGTTTTCAGTTCATTCACCCTCACTCACAGTCTCTATATACATACATATATGCAAATATCTTAAGGGTCTGACGAAAACCATAATTCTAGGTAAAGATTATATCTCTTCCATACTTATGACGGTAAACTGCCACTTATTTGAGTTCGTAAATTCCGATTGCGAACATTTAAATTTAAAAAAAAAAACAATATTAGGTTTTAAAGATCGGAATGTTCCTTTATTCCTAACAGTGCCAGATGTCTACACCCCGCCCCCTCCCCAAAGGAAAAATATTGTTTATTCATAATTTTATTCAGTGGTGAGTTACTACTCGCTGTTGCTCGCTCCAAACCCAGTTAGACTATTAGTGAGGATAGTCTCCCCTTCCTGTGGAAAGAAAATCAGTGCCTGTGTGACGATTGCTGTGAATATGTCAATCAAATGAGGCGATTGTCCAACAGAATGCTTCTTCTAGGGAAGAATTTAGTTATGCTTCCCTACAGAAACTCTTCCCTTCCGCTTAAAGGGACACTATATTCACCAGAACAACTACAGCTTATTGAATTTGTTCTGATGAGTAGAATCATTACCTTCAGGCTTTTAGTTTTAGACTGCTTGAAAATGGGAGAACACTGAATGGAGGGACAGTGCCAGAGGACTCCAAGCAATATAATCAATTGAGTGAGATAAAACTAATTTTGCCTGTATTTAGTTATGATATAACAAATGACCCAATAACTATGCAAAAGGACAATCAGCAGACAGCAATGAAATGGATTATCTAATTAAAACATTATGAACTTCTCTTAGTAACTTTTGCTGACTGAAGATAGAATATTGAACTTGACTGACATTAGCTTGGGAGACATTTTGTAAGTCATCCATATAATCTTTTCGGCATAACAAAAAAAAGTAAGTTAAGGGACACTATAGTCACCAGAACAACTACAGCTTATTGAATTTGTTCTGGTGAGTAGAATCATAACGTTCAGGCTTTTTGCTGTAAATACTGTCTTTTCAGAGAAAATGCAGTGTTTATACTACAGCCTAGTGATAACTTCACTGGCCACTCCTTAGATAGCTGATAGAGATCCTTCCTGGGTCATGGCTGCCTAAAATGCATCCAAACATTCAGAATATCCTCCCTCTGCATGCAGACACTGAACTTTCCTCATAGATATTCATTGATTCAATGTATCTCTAGGAGGAGATGCTGATTGGCCAGGACTGTGTTTGAATTGTGCTGGCTCTGCCCCATATCTGCCTGTTTGTCAGTCTCATCCAATCCAATGGGGAAGCACTGTGATTGGAGCAGGCTACCACTTCTGCTGATGTCAGCAGGCAGGTCTAAAGGAAACAGGGACAAACTATGCAGCTGCAGGCTTGAATTCAAGTAAGATTTTACAATATTTTTAGAGGCATGAGGTGCCCAGGGGGGCTAGATGGTGGTTTTAACCCAAGAGGGTCAGGAATAAAGGTTTGTGTTCCTGACCCTATAGTGCTCCTTTAAACGTTCTTTCAAGCAATGTAGACCAGGAGCCCTCCTGGTTGTCAACTCGACTGCCAGAAAGCTGATTCTAAATTTTCCCTAATCAACTTAAAAGTGCCAATCTCTCTTGAAATCTGTGATTTTTTTTTTAATGGGGACAAGCGGGGTATCCAATTAATTTGTAATCCTAGATATCTGGTGAGTTTTTTAATGAAGCAGCAAGTGCAAAATGCATGAAATTAACTTGGAAGTATAAATTCTTACCAAAGAAAAGCTTATATATTATACATTATATATAATTTAGGACTCCTAACATTAGAATGTAAGAGAGTTCATGCACATTTTCATTACAATCTTTCCCTATTTGAACTGTACTGTGTTCTATAATGTTTATACTTGGAATCTTGACGGTTACGATCCAGAAGCCACAAGCTTGATAACTAATTACGGAACCTTTGGAGAAACACAGTAATCTCTGGGCTGTTAGTGTTTATTTCCACCACTTGCTTTCTACCATGTTTTAAATCTCTTTTCACTTTGGGGATAACTCTGTATCTTTTTGCTTGAGGCCAATCCCTTCTTGCGCCATGTAATATATACAATCCCATGGGTATGAACAGGATCTACTGTGATCCCAAGTCATGGGTTTCTATACCAAGCCCTATTATAAATAGCTAAAAATCTGTGGTATTTGAACACAGTATGAACTTTGGCAAAATATCTATTGACAATGTCTCAGATTCTGCTGACCTATAAGTCCAGCAGATATAGATGGTACTGACCAACTGTTACTGAATGTGCTCAGTTAATAGATTCAACTTAATCAAGCTCATTTTACATGCAAACAGTTTTCACACACCTAAAATTTAAAGTGCACATAGCTTTTTAAACATCATCTACCATTAAGTATGGATCAACCATACCTAAAATGCTTTGCTATAATCAAAAGCCACATTTTATAAAATAATGATCTGACATTTAAACCACAATTCATATCATTACTGGTCCTTTAAATAAATCACACCTATATATGAATGAATATATTTAAGTACACTATATATAGTATGCTATATTTTATATCCATAATTCTTAACTTGTTACACAATAATTATATATATATATATATATATATATATATATATAACATAGATATATTATATATATATTATATATAACTATGTTTAAAGAAACAGTAATGCTTCAATTTAGATTTTCTTCATATATCAAACATTTAGAGGACGTAAAATGTATATCTGATAAGTTTAGCTTTAGCTGTGGAATTTTGGTTTTGATTTCAGATCCACCTGTATTCTCAATGACATAAAGGACCACTATAGGCATCCAGACCCCTTCAGCTCAATGAAGTGGTCTGGGTGCCAGGTCCTCCTAGTTTTAACCCTGCAGCTGAAAACATAGCAGTTTTATAAAAACTGCTATGTTTACACTACAAGGTTTATCCAGCCTCTAGTGGCTTCCGCAATTTACACTGAGTAAATCGCACTTATCTGACGCTGGACGTCCTCACGGACCTCCAGCATTGAGTAATGCTTTCCTAAGGGCGGGTTTGGCAACGTATGCGCAACGTATGCGCATTCGGCTCCACTCGGCAGCTGACATCAGCGTTTTAACCCCTTATGCGCCGAGGGAGGGGGGCACTCCCAACAGCCTATAGTGCAAGGAAAACGCGTTTGTTTTCCTGGCACTATAGGATACCTTTAAAGAGAACTAAGCAGACCTGCAGAATACCAGTTTGACTTTAGCTGGGTCATTTACATGGTTATGGTTATTTACTAAAGTAAGAATTCAAACAACCGGAGTGAGTAATCCTGTTTGTTTTTTCTGCCATCTCCAACTGTAGGATATTGCATGACATTTTACAGCAATAAATTGCCTAACAAGCAAAGTCCAAAGCAGTAGCTCAATATTGTCTCTTTGTACTATTGCAACACGAAAGTAATTTATAATGTTTCAACGACTTTTTAAAATAGATAAACACAAGGCTGTTGAATGGTAAGTTCTACAAACCAGCAGTAATCCACTACCTCTTTGGAGGAGAACTTGTCATATAAATCACTATACAGGTTCTCTTCTAGAGAGCATAAAAACAGCTACTCTTACTCTGCAAAAGTGCAATTTGGACAGAAGATATCATTACTATGTTATTAGAAAGGAGGTCAATTCATACAACATATAAGACCCAGCACACTCACGCATGTACTAACCAGCAATTTCAAAGCTCATGTAATTTACAAAACAAACACCTCACCTAGGTAAAAATAATGGGGATTTAGTTACAGTATATGATCATACATTGCATAAGCCTGCCATTACAAGTTTTATATATATGTACACAAAAATCCCAAAGATGGTCACCACTCATGGGTCTTACCCATCTAAAACTTAGCTTTTATTTATCATCAGTGTTTCAGTTGAAAATCATAAACTTTCATCAGGTCCTAGAAGGAAGAGTGTAATTTCCACCTTAGACATACCCCCTGTGGGGGCCACGAACCCTCATTTAGTTTTAAACTGCTTCAAAATGGGAGAACACTGAATGGAGGCACAGTGCCAGAGGACAAGAAAAGGCAACAGGGCTACATTAGTCAACACTGGTGCCTCCTAATCGGTTACAGAGGAACTCCAGGGCATCACCTAAAGTAAATTGAACAGAAACTACTTAATGGAGTCAGGATAACTCCTCACAAATATGTGGGGAATCCCTCCTCCATAAACGAGAACTTCTAAATGAATTAAGTATCCATAAATATGGTATAAGCCTTTGGTATAGACGAAAAATAAAGCAGGATGGGAAGAACGTCCACTTAAAGTGTGCGGACTCCCACTCCACCAAAAGAAGTACCTTTAAAAGTAAAAATTTGTATAAGTGGTATGAACTTTTATTAACCCCTTAAGGACCGAGGACGGTTCAGGACCGTCATCGGCATTTTTGCCTTGAGGACCGATGACGGTCCTGAACCGTCCAAACGGTCTGGGGCTACTTACCTGATCGCCGTCGTTCCCCCGGCGGCGATCAGTGTTCCTCCGGTTGTGGGGAGACTGCCTGCAGCCCAGACAGTCTCCCCACGGCAGATTAGGACCCCTGTGGCCATGTGATCACTTAACACAGCGATCACATGGTCACAATAGGTGTCCATGTGTCTGCCTGCAGGGGGACTGCCTGTACTGACAGGCAGTCTCCCTGCAACTGTAAAATCAAAAAAAAATTAAAGTTAATGGTAATAAAAAAAATAATAATAATTATATATGTATAAATATGATATATAGACATATATTATATCTATATAATATATGTCTATATATCATATATATAATGTCATACTAAGTGTATTTTATATTAATATGTACTTATATTAATATAAAAATACACTTATAATTAAATTACACACGTATATATATAATATATATAATAACTATATATATTGTATATATATATTATTATAAAATATAACTAATAAGTAATTTAAATTAAATAATTTTTTAAAAAAATAATAATAAAAAATTTAAAAAAAATTATATAGCTATATGAAATTTTATTCTAACTGTATTTTAAAATTAATATATATATATTTATATCAAAATACACTTAGAATGAATTTGTATATATATCTATGTATATAAAAAATAATAATAAGAAATATACATACGTCCATATACAAAATTACATAAATAATTATATAAATATACACGTAGACTTCAAATATATAAATATGCATATATATTTAAATTCTACGTGCGTATTTATGTAATATTTTACATAATTAAGTAATTTTATTGATTGCAATTTGAGGGACCTGCCTGCCAACCCAGGCCGAAATTCCAGAGAATTTAATTGGCTAGCACTGTATTTTACCCTGTAACGTTCTACGACACCCTAAAACCTGTACATGGGGGGTACTGTTTTACTCGGGAGACTTCGCTGAACACAAATATTAGTGATTCACAACAGTAAAACATATCACAGCGATGATATTGTCAGTGAAAGTTACTTTTTTTGCATTTTTCACACACAAGCAGCACTTTTACTGATGATATAATTGTTGTGATACGTTTTCCAGTTTTTAAACACTAATATTTGTGTTCAGCGATGTCTCCCGAGTAAAACAGTACCCCCCATGTACAGGTTTTATAGCATTTTTGAAAGTTACAAGGTCAAATATATGGGTCAAATATTTTTACATTGAAAATGGCCAGGTTGGTTACGTTGCCTTTGAGAGCGTATGGTAGCCCAGGAATGAGAATTACCCCATGATGGCATACCATTTGCAAAAGAAGACAACCCAAGGTATTGCAAATGGGGTATGTCCAGTCTTTTTTAGTAACCACTTGGTCACAAACACTGGCCAAAATTAGCGTTCAGTTTAGTTTTTTTACTTTTTTCACACACAAACAAATATGAATGCTTACTTTGGCCAGTGTTTTCGACTAAGTGGCTACTAAAAAAGACTGGACATACCCCATATTGAATACCCTGGGTTGTCTACTTTAAAAAAAATATGTACATGTGGGGTGTTATTCAGAGATTTATGACAGATAATAGTGTTACAATGTCACTATTGATAAATTTTTAAAATGTATGTTTTGAAACCGCAATATCCTACTTGTACCTATAGCCCTATAACATGCAAAAAAAGCAAAAAAGCACGTAAACACTAGGTATTTTTAAACTCAGGACAAAATTTTGAATCTATTTAGCAGTTTTTTTCATTCGCTTTTGTAGATGAGTAAAAGATTTTTCAAGTAAAAGTCAAAAAACATGTATTTTTTTCAATTTTTCATCAGATTTTTGTATTTTTTTTAAAATTAAAATACATGAGATTATATAAATAATGGTATGTAAAGAAAGCCCATTTTGTCCTGAAAAAACAATATATAATTTGTATGGGAACAGTAAATGAGAAAGCGGAAAATTACAGCCAAACACAAACACCACAAAAGTGTAAAAATATTCCTGGTCGCAAATGTACAACATCGCAAAAACAGTCCAGTCCTTAAGGGGTTAAAGCCGAATATTAGTATATTAAAATATAAAGAGTCTAACTAGAACAGTAGGTTCTATGTAAAAAAACAAAACTCAAACAAATGTGACATTGTAAATAAACAGAGTGATAATACACCTTTAAAATTCTGGGTAAAGTAGTCTCAAAGGCCACTTCAAGTAGTAAGAGGATTTTAATAGCTAATATAAGTATTCTCAAATTTGAGTAATTTAATAGTTCAGTAACCTCCAGAGTATCAAGGTATAAGTAATTAGTGGCTGTAGTGTGTAGAGGTTGGGAAAAAATGTAACCAAAACTAAGGAATAAACTGAATATGGTCAGACAGACATATCAACAATAAACAGTGATATACACTATATCCCGTTTGAATTGATACCTAACTTCCAGTAAAACTGAGTCTGTTAGCCACCGCACACTAATGGATACATAGTTGTTCTAATTAGATAGTGTTGCTAAGTGGACTTGATACACAGTTTACAAAGTATAGGTATTCTTGTCCATCCCTTAATTAGACCATATTAATCAAAGGGTTCACTATGGCGTGGACACGATGTACCCAGCTCCAAACAAAGTAGAGGAGGGGATGGTTGGATAAAAAAAAAAAAAAAGGGGCTTGTCTAAAAACAATGCATTTAGGGGCAGTATCGCCATGTGTGACATGTCATGATTCCCTTTTATTCCAGAAGTTTGGTCCTTAAGGGGTTAAATGAGGCCATAGAGCCCTCCCTCCTACCTCCATCATCCAATCTGATCGTATCAGACGTTGAGTGGGAGTATCTTTCAATTGACTCACTCCCATTGGTGAAGCCAAATGCTCATCAGAATTAGGGGAGGGGATTAGAGACAGACTCCCACTAAGATGTTAATATGTTCGTTTAGAGTTTCTCGTCTATGGAGGAGGGACTCCCCACATATTTGTCAGGAGTTATCCTGACTCCATTTAGTAGTTTCTGTTTAATTTTGCCTGTATTTAGTTGTATAATATAACAAATGACCCAATAACTATGCAAAAGGACAACCAGCAGACCGCAATGAAATGGATTATCTAATTAAAACATTCTTAACTTCTCTTAGTAACTTTTGCTGACTGAAGATAGAATATTGAACTGGACTGACATTAGCGTGGGAGACATTTTGTAAGTCATCCATATAATCTTTTCGGCATAAAAAAATTAAGACATTAAAGGGACACTATAGTCACCAGAATAACTACAGCTTATTAAATTTGTTCTGGTGAGTAAAATCATTCCCTTCAGGCTTTTTGCTGTAAACACTGTCTTATCAGAGAAAATGCAGTGTTTACATTACAGCCCAACTTCACTGGCCACTCCTTAGATGGCTGTTAGAGATCTTTCCTGGGTCATAGCTGCCTAAAATGCATCCAAACATTCAGTGTCGCCACCCTCTGCATTCAGACACATAAGCACCTCAAAGAGATTCATTGATTCAATGTATCTCTATGAGGAGATGCAGATCGGCCAGGACTGTGTTTGAATTGTGCTGGCTCTGCTCCTGATCTGCCTGTTTGTCAGTCTCAGCCAATCCTATGGGGAAGCATTGTGATTGGATCAGGCTACCACTTCTGCTGATGTCAGCAGGCAGGTCTAAAGGAAACAGGGACAAAGCCAGCAGCTTCAGGCTTGAATACAAGTAAGATTTTACTATATTTAGAGAGGCATGAGGGGGGACAGGGGGCTAGATGGTGGTTTTAACCCTATAGGGTCAGGAATACGTTTGTGTTCCTGACCCTATTGTGCTCCTTAAATGTTTAAGGGACAGTACAGGCACCAATACAACTTGCATTGCTTTTGCCCCATTAATATGCATTTTCTTTGTGTTTTTTTGCATGCTCAAATCATTATAGTTTTTGCATAAAAATGTGTTGCAGAATGCTGCACCATATGCCTGCCTCTTTAGCCACACCCACTTGCTCCAGAAAAAGACTTCCTTATTAATTGTGTGCAAAAAGCTCACCCACTTACAGCACTAAGTGATCTGAACTACAAAGCAACCTGCATTAGGAGGAGAGGACACCCAGGAAAGCATATAGTAAGGATATTACTACCTGCTTGTAGTTTCTGACTGTGTGCAGCTAGGTTGTGAATTAAAAGCAGCTCACTCAATGCTGGCGTGGCTGACACTGTGTGCTTACATTTGACAAGGAAGACTTTCTGGCCTAAGGGGTGTGGCTAAGGAGGCATGGATATGGTGGGACAGTCAGTTTTGAGCATGAAAAAAAATGAAGCATATTAGTGAGGCATAAATCTATCAAATGCAATAAAGCTGGGCACGACATGTACTTTTAACCACACAAAAATAACTACAATAGTGAATCTATAAGGAGAGTCATAACTAGTTCCCTGTCCTAACATCACATCACATTTTTCTCTTGTATCCCCAGTAGAGTAGAGTGCAGTGTGAGTGCAAGTTGAACTGTATTTGCAGCTCCACTGGACAACGTCAAGGCATTTTATCATATACTCTAGTCTAGGGCTTCACCAATGCTCATCAGATGGGTAACCCTGCTGGGTGGCAGACATGTGAACTGGTTGTCAAACAAACATTCTCTTTGCAAGCATCCACATTCCACATTAGCAGTAATAGTCTCTGCACTTACCCCACTCATCCCTCTGCTTTCCAAAGTTGACAATCATGCACACATCATATTAGATGAACAAAACTACTGTACATAGAAATTGAGTATTTTATCTAAAATCCCGCTATATCTATGTAATGGACAGCACAAAGTGTTCATGCAATTCAAAGGTTTGTAATAAACAGTTGTTCTTTTTAAATATTAATTAGGTCACTTTTCTACTTTGGTAAGCTATTGCACTTTATTTTAGCAGTTATTGTTTGACAATGCACAATCTTAGTTAAACTGGACTGTTTGAAATGCAGCAACACTTACATACACCCCTAAAATATTTCCATCTACCATTCCAGCCTCTTCTAAGACAACAGGCAATTGCCTACTATTTTCCCATCCAATAAAAGATTCCATGCATGGTTTATTTTATAGTTACTAATCATGTGTGTGGCAGGCTATGTGATTAATAAACACATGTACACAGATGGAGGGAGCAGCATCTAGATTGGTCCTCGATATGAAATGAATAAGCATAAAAAAGAGACTGTATAGATTGATGGAATGTAAAAAATAAAACATTTACTTACAGTGTGTAGGGCAGGCATAGGCAACCGTCGGCACTGCAGATGTTTTGGACTACACCTCCCATGATGCTTTGCCAGCATTATTGGTGTAAGAGCATTATGGGGGATGTAGTCCACAACATCTGGAGTGCCAAAGGTTGCCTATGCCTGCCCTACACACTGTAAGTAAATGTTTTATTTTTTACATTCCATCAATCTATACACTATACAGTCTCTTTTTTATGCTTATTCATTTCATTTCCACTTAAAAGCAAGATGGCGGCATGATCCCCTCCTATGGATATGGTGTGGGCGTCTTGTTCCGATGGAGGATGGTCCGTGGTGCATAAAATACAAACAGAGCAGATGCCAATATAATGTAGTATGCCAGTGGATACAGCTTTGGCTTGTATAACAATATAGAAATGCACTCACATTTTAAAAAGCCGTTAGTGGTTACCGACAAGTGCCATGGAGTGGTATAATCCCCACTCTATGGATTTAGCTTGTAATAGTGGTCCTCACAGCAATAATATGAAAATAAAAAGAACTATAATAAAGTGCTCTCTGTCGAAGGACGAGCGAATAAAATAAATAGGAAAAGTACTCACAAGAAAAGAGCAAAAAGTCCTCACTTTGAAAAAGCTCATGCAATTGGACAAAACGCGTTTGTGTGATTTTATTGTACTTTTTATATTTACTATATATTTTAATAAAGTGATATAGTTTTTAACCCTTCCTGGAACACATGGTTTGTTCCTTTAAATCTAGACACTGTATCCTTGGTGGAGATATTACCTACGTTGTGAGGACTGAGCAAAAATGTGTTTTTGCTCCTCTCTTTTTCCTATTTATTTTATCCACTCGTCTTCACATGGCGAGCACTATATTATAATTCTTTTTATTTTCATATTATTACGGTGAGAACCACTGTCACTAGTTATAACTACAGAGAAGGGATTATACCACTCCGTGCCATTTGTCGGGAGCCAATTAAGGTCTCTATTAATTGGGAGCGCATTTCTATATTTTTAAACAGCTGTATCCACTGGCATAGGACACTATATTGGCATCTGCACTGTTTGTATTTTATACACCACGGATCATCCTCCATCGGACCAAGATGCTCACACGATATCCACAGGCAGGGATCATACTGCCCAGGCGATTTTAAGTAGAGCTTAGTGGAAGCACTATACACTGTGAGCGCATTTCTTCTGTGATTCCATTTTTACATTCCATCAATCTACAACACTATATAGTCTGTATTTTGTCCTTATTTTTCATTCCATATGTGGCCTCCCCCGAGGACCACTCTAGGTGCTGCTCGACAAGAGAGATTCTGGTTTGGATGATTCAGCTGCATTGCACCACCTACATCATTAGAAACATATCTCCTTATTTTCATTTATAAATACATGTTTACGTTTATCAGTACCAATGAGTGATAGCTCCATATAAAAATAACTGTCTCTACATTTTACCTGTTTCACATGTTTTAAAACAGGATTGATACTAAGAATAATTTACATCATATTAACTAAACATTGCTACCAGAATTCCAGTCAAGGATAGAAGGGTCAAAACCTATTGAATGATGTAAAACAAACTTTATAAATAAAACTGGAGGCTGGAAAATAATAAAAAGAAGCCCTTACAGGCCATACCTGGCCCACAGACTAACAGTAAGATAGCCTTGGTCAATACAATCCTTATTGCACAGCGTTTGTGGCCCAGTACACGTAAAACTATGAAAAGGAAAAAAAATATTTTAAAAAAGCACGCTAAAGCAATGGTGGCTAATTCTGTCACTGTGGATTGCCATTGTCTAAATGTATATAAAATAATAAATAAATGTAGCTCATAAATACCGGCTGTGCTCAGATTAGCCACTACTGTATAAGGGTATGCAATTTATTCATAAAATCTGTATTCATGGCCGATGGGTATATTTATCGCAGAAACTAATCGGTCAAGTCCATTACTTAGTTTTAAACAAATACTACCTGCTTATATTGGGGGGAGGGTGGCTTTCTTAAAATATGAATAAAATCTATATACTTTATTTATATGGTGTGCGCTCAGTGCAAATCTTTACTTACAAACACTAGACAGTTTTGGACATTCACCAAATATGGCTTAAACACACTAAACAGTAGACCATAGCATTTACTATTTATGTTAACATAATTACAGTGTTTTTCTGTTTTTTTTAACTAGTGCACCCTGCTTTGTAGATAGAATCACTCCACCGTTCTTCTGTTCTCTGAGTGACTGTGAGAGACCATAAGCAGTTCTCATTGTTTGCCACACTTGCTCCTCTAATTGCCTTAAAATGATTATGCTGTTTTGTTTATGTGTTTTTTTTACAATCAAAATGAAAAATAGAGAAGAGATATACACTGAAAATGATGATCTGTATTATAAAACCTGTAAGTGGCAATATTCCGTTTCCTGGCTACTCAGGAATGCCACTTTAAACAGTAGTAAGAAAGACAAAAATTCAGACATCCACTGAAGTTAACTCTTTTGCTACCAGCAAGTAAGTTAAAAAACACTGAAAGTGTAACACAGATAAAGATTAGAAAATTAAAAACACAAAACTCCATAAAAATAAATACAGCATTTATACCACTTCTGATAATATGACCTAGATTGTCTGTAGCTATATACAGTATGTGAACTGTGAGTCTACATTTCCCTTTGAAGATATGCTTTTTGAACTCTTTTTTTTAATTGATAAATAAAAAGCTTTGCACTAATTTAAAATGGCTGGAGGGTGTGAAGGACGTTTTGTCTGCACTATTTTTTGTTTGGGTCCCTTGATTTCCTCCTCTTCTTCTTCGGTCTCACTCTCACACACGTGTACCACCACACTGGGTGTGGATTCCGTCCCTGCATGCAGTTCATACTTTTCACCTGAGAACAAAACACAGAAAGGTTAATAGCCACAGGTCTTTTCAACAGCATGTTAATTGCAGAATCTGATGGAGCTCATATTTTTTTCTTTAAACATGCATTGCACAAGACATGTGGTCAATAGGATAGCTGTAAGATTTCTGACCACCTCTAGAATTTCACACATAGGTAATAGGAATTGCACTCAATCCACAAGCATCCACAAGGTGCTTAGCTAGACCATGTGCCAGCATTTGCCCATCAGAACATAAGTGTGAAAGAAGAAGGTTCAGGCAGTCCAATGCTTTGGGGCACTTTTACTGGGACCAGCAGAGCAACACATTAACCCCTTAAGGACGGAGCCAAATGTACACATTGTGAACAAAACAAAATGTAAACAAAACCTGGCATTTGCGCTACATGTCTGTCCAACCGTAATACACCTCTTTCATAGTAAATGCACCCACCCTTATTATATATCATTTTATTCAGGGGAAACAGGGCTTTCATTTAATATCAAATATTTAGCTATGAAACATAATTTAATATGAAAAAAATGGGAGAAAATACGTTTTTTTTTGGATTTTTTTAGTTCTACATGACATTTTAACGGTCAATGTCATAATACTGTTTGCTTTTACTGCAATAAAATACACATATTTATATTCAGTAAAGTCTCACGTGTAAGACAGTACCCCCTATGTACAGGTTTTATGGTGTTTTGGGAAGTTACAGGGTCAAATATAGCACGTTACATTTGAAATTGAAATTTGCCAGATTGGTTACGTTGCCTAGCGTTCGTATCTGTTTGTGTGAAAAATGCAAAAAATGCCAATTTTGGCCAGTGTTTGTGACTAAGTGGCTATTAAAAAACACTGGACATACCCTGTTTGCAATACCTTGGGTTGTCTACTATTGCAAATGGTATGCCATCATAGGGGTAATTTTCATTCTTGGGCTACCATAGGGTCTCGAAGGCAACATAACCAATCTGGCGAATTTTAATGTGAAAAAACTGAAATGCAAGCCTTATATTTGACGCTGTAACTTTTGAAAACACCATAAAACCTGTACATGAGGGGTACTGTTGTACTCGGGAGACTTCGCTGAACACAAATATTTGTGTTTCAAAACAGTAAAAAGTATCACAGCTTCTGACTTATTATTTCCACGGGTAGCTCTATTGTTATGCACCACGAAGACGCTAGGTTATAAAACCGTTTATGACTTTACTCTGTTTCTGAATTTTAATCACCTAACAACACAATTTGTATTAATATGTTATTTTAGCAAAATGTGCAACTTCTCAATGAATGGATGTCTAATCTTGCCTGCTACTGCTACTGTGGCACTGCAGACATTTCTGTCAAACTTCTTTGCACAACAAAAATAAAGAATTAAAAAAAAAAAAAGTATCACAGCAATAATATTGTCCGTGTAATGCTGTTTGTGCGTGAAAAATGCAAAAAACTTCACTTTTACTGGCGATATCATCGTTGTAATACATTTTACTGTTTTGAAACACTAATATTTGTGTTCAGCGAAGTCTCCCGAGTAGAACAGTACCCCCCATGTACAGGTTTTATGGTGTCTGGAAAGTTATAGGGTTAAATATAGTGCTAGCAAATTAAATTCCCTTTACTTTCGGCATGGGTTGTCAGGCAGGTCCCTGCTAATTGTAATTAATTAAGATACCTAATTATGTAAAAATATTACATAAATATATATGTAGAATTAATATATGTATATATATACGTATGTGTATATATATGTATATATCTATATAATTTTTTTTAAATATTTTTATTTATATATAGGTATATATATAGTGATATATACGTATATATTTATGTATATAGATATATATATTATTTCGTTCTACGTGTATTTTGAGATATATATATATATATATATATATATATATATTAATTTCACAAAACAGTTAGAACGAAATCTATATATATATATCACACATCTATATATTTTTTAATTATTTATTTTTAATTATTTTTTTAATTTTATTTTTTAACGTATTTACATTTTTATTTTTTTTATATTATATATAAATATATATATAACAATAATTATATATATATTTAATCAGTATCAGTCTACGTGTAATTTGATATTTATATATATATATAATTATATATATATTAATAGTAAAATACACCTAGACGGTGTATGTGTGTGTATGTATATGTGTATATATATACTTAGATCATATATATATATAATATATACATATGATCTAAGTATATATTATTTATTTTTTACACTGATTAACTTTTTTTATTTTATTTTCAGCCAGCATTACAGGCAGCCCCCCTGCTGGCAATACATAAGCCAGCTATCCCCGGCCATGTGATTGTGGGGTCCTCGCTAGGACCCCACTCTCACATGGCCGGGGGGCTTCGACGAGGACGGACGTGCCGCGGGGGGGTCCCTGGGAGTCCCCCCAACCGCGATCGCCGGCGTGGGACCGCCGGCGACCGGGTAAGTTAACAAAAACCGGAGGGCGTACAATTACGCCCGGCGGCGTTTAGAGCCGCCTATTAGAGGGCGTAATTGTACGTCCTCCGGTTTTAAGGGGTTAATGTTTTGACCCTGAATAGGGTCTATTCAGGGTCAAAAAGTTGCGGTATTGTTCTGCTGGTTCCAAAAAACAAGCATTAAACTATTGGAGTGCCTGGACCTTCTTCGTTCACACCACTAGAATTTAAAGGAACCCTCCAAGAAGTAGTCATGGTGCGAGGAGTTTCATTGCACCTCCCCACTGGCTGACTCTCTCAGCCAATGAGTTATGCCCTGCATTGCACAGCTAATGGAACTTCTTAAAGGAACACTATAGTCACCTAAACAACTTTAGCCTAATGAAGCAGTTTTAGTATACAGATCATGCCTCTCAGGTTTCACTGCTCAATTCACTGCCATTTAGGAGTCAAATCACTTTCTTTCTGTTTATGCAGCCCTTGCCACACCTCCCCAGACTCTGAATGACACAGCCTGCATGAAAAAAACAGTTTTCACTTTTAATCAGATGTAATTTACCTTTAACAATTTTATATCTTGCTATGTAAATTGAACTTTAATCACATACAGGAGACTCTTGCAGGGTCTAGCAAGCTATTAATACACCGGGGGATAAGAAAATCTAAATTAAATAGAACTTGCAATAAAGGAAGGATAAACATTAGATGACTCTTTACAGGAAGTGTTTAGGAAGGCTGTGCAAGTTACATGCAGAGAGGTGTGATAAGGGTTAATAAACAAAGTGATTTAACTCCTAAATGGCAGATAATTGAGCACTGAGACTAAAGAGGCATGATCTATACACCAAAACTGTTTAATTAAGCTAAAGTTGTTTTGGTGACTATAGTGTCCCTTTAATTAGGAACGATTGGTAATGGAGGAGAGGAGCAGCCCAATTGGACACCAGTTGGAAGTCAAACTGTCCAAAAGTGGTTTCACTTCTTAAAAAGCAGTCAGTGTAGTCTCACAGTGAGCTGTAGTGGTTATGGTGCTTGGAGTGTTCCTTTTATACATGTAAAACGGCATCTTCAAGCACACAAAATTATTAATTAAAATGAAATTTGTCAGGAATTGACCAGGCAATTACAAATTTGTAGATCAGCCATTCTGACTTATAGTTTACAATTCTTTTGTCAGTTCAGAGTATAGTTAAAAACTAAAAGAAGAAAAAAGATCATAATCAGCAGTGGAGTGACAGACTGACAGCAATCGTGGTCCTTGAGCAAAATTAGGCCCTGGGACCCTCCTTGAGATATTATATATACACTGCTCAAAAAAATAAAGGGAACACTTAAAAAACACAATGTAACTCCAAGTCAATCACACTTCTGTGAAATCAAACTGTCCACTGAGTGACAATCAATTTCACATGCTGTTGTGCAAATGGGATAGACAACAGGTGGAAATTATAGACAATTAGCAAGACACCCCCAATAAAGTAGTGGTTATGCAGGTGGTGACCACAGACCACCACTCAGTTCCTATGTTTCCTGGCTGATGTTTTGGTCACTTTTAAATGCTGGCGCAGCTTTCACTCTAGTGCTAGCATGAGACAGAGTCTACAACACACCCACAAGTGGCTCAGGTAGTGCAGCTCATCCAGGATGGCACATCAATGCGAGCTGTGGCAAGAACGTTTGCTGTGTCTGTCAGCGAAGTGTCCAGAGTATGGAGGCACTACCAGTAGACAGGCCAGTACATCAGGAGACGTGGAGGAGGCCATAGGAGGACAACAACCCAGCAGCAGGACCGCTACCTCCGCCTTTGTGCAAGGAGGAACAGGAGGAGCACTGCCAGAGCCCTGCAAAATTACCTCCAGCAGGCCACAAATGTGTATGTGTCTGCTCAAACAGTCAGAAACAGACTCCATGAGGGTGGTATGAGGGCCCGACGTCCACAGGTGGGGGTTGTGCTTACAGCCCAACACCGTGCAGAACGTTTGGCATTTGCCAGAGAACACCAAGATTGGCAAATTCACCACTGGCGCCCTGTGCTCTTCACAGATGAAAGCAGGTTCACACTAAACACGTAACAGAGTCTGCAGACACCGTGGAGAACGTTCTGTTGCCTGCAACATCCTCTAGCATGACCGGTTTGGCAGTGGGTCAGTAATGGTGTCGGGTGGCATTTCTTTTGGGTCCCGCACAGCCCTCCATGTGCTCGCCAGAGGTAGACTGACTGCCATTAGGTACCGAGATGAGATCCTCAGACCCCTTGTGAGACCATATGCTGATGTGGTTGGCCCTCGATTCCTCCTAATGGAAGACAATGCTAGACCTCATGTGGCTGGAGTGTGTCAGCAGTTCCTGCAAGACGAAGGTATTGATGCTATGGACTGGCCCGTCCGTTCCCCAGATCTGAATCCAATTGAGCACATCTGGGACATCATGTCTCGCTCCATCCACCAATTACATTGCACCACAGACTTTCCAGGAGTTGGCAGATGCTTTAGTCCAGGTCTGGGAGGAGGTCCCTCAGGAGACCAACCGCTACCTCATCAGGAGCATGCACAGGCGTTGTAGGGAGGTCATACAGGCACGTGGAGGTCACACACACTACTGAGCCTCATTTTGACTTGTTTTAAGGACATTACATCAAAGTTGGATCAGCCTGTAGTGTGTTTTTCCACTTTAGTGTGACTCCAAATCCAGACCTCCATGGGTTGAAAAATGCGATTTCCATTTTTTAATTTTTGTGTGATTTTTGTTGCCAGCACATTCAACTATGTAAAGAACAAAGTATTTCAGAAGAATATTTAATTCATTCAGATCTAGGATGTGTTATTTTTGTGTTCCCAATTTTTTTGAGCAGTGTATATATGTATGAAGGTGTGAATATATATAATACACACAGCAAAGTTGGGGTCACAAGATGAGAGGAATGTGATGGTTACAAGGTAAGAGGATTTGGGCGGGAGGTACAGGGTGACAGGCAGAAATGAGTGGAACAGTGATCTGTATGAACAGGGAACTATGCGAAAAGGTCTCATTACATATGTCTTAACTTAAAAGTAAAAGTTTTCTCTTTTTACGATTAACATCTAACTTATAAGCACCACTAAAAAATTTCACTTAAATCAGGTACAAGAAGGAGATATGTGGGAGTTAATGTGAGAAGCAGCCACCAAAGTATCAGTTGGTGGCTATCTACAGAAACAAATTTTTCAAATAATAATAAAAGTAGAACACCACACTGTTAAATCTTCATGATATAGGCTAAACATCTACCAACTTTTGCTGAAGACAGCACGACAGGATAAGCACATACCGTACATTCTTACGCACATACTGTACATTCTTACGTGGTGGACGTGTTGAACTCAGGTTATACCATTTTATAAAAGGGGTTACAGAAGATCTTCCAAAGGGCATTACATCTAGACCCATCCACGTATTTATTACCTACAGGGGTGCCTAAAAGGTAGATCCCCAGATGGTTTAAAACAACAACTTCCATGATGCTTTGTCATTCTAAAGACATGAAAAACATAATTGAGGGTTGTAGTTCTGCAACGTCTGGGGATCTACCATTTGGGCACCCCTGATCTAGACCCTTAGAATTGTATCCATGTTATTTGCTGAAATACTACAATACAATCATTATGGCAGGTCTCCTGGATGGTTAAAAAAAACACTGTCCATTGGGCGCAAGACATAATAGGTTCAGATAGATGATAGCAGATTGATAAATAATCTCACAACCCATGTCAGAAACACAATGACATACCTACAATAAAACCTCGAACCCAAGGGTTGCTATAAAGCCTAAACATACTTAGCATTAGAGAAAAAAAGTTGGTCGTGTTGTTATAGAGGATATCAGCCCTACAGGTACCATTCCCTTCGTGCTTTATCTTTTATCCAGCCCTCAACCTTTGCAATTTTTTTGTGTACTCTTTGTTTCCTGTGCTGTATACACCAGGAGTTTTTCAAAAATCTAAAAATGGATTTGGGTACTTTTGTCTGGAATATCTCTTGCCTGCGTATTCTGTATGTTCAACCTGAATTTAAATAAACAAACATTGAAGAAAAAAAAAGATATAAAGAATTGTTATTAAACGTGCTTAGCTAATATTTGTGTTTCCCTGTACTATCTGGTCTCCAGCTGTATGTGATTTACATTAACACTAACACCAGCATCAGGAGAGTCTTTTACCTGGACCAAGTTTGGAAACTGCACACAAGAGATCATAGTTAATAACCGGAGTCGGGTCTTCACTCTGTTTCCATCCAACAGGAGGGGATGCTGGAGGAGAGATTAAAAATTGCTTTGTAGGTTGTGGAGGTAACAGAAAAGATTTTTCCCCCTCTTCATTTGATACCTGTACCTGCAGAGAAAAAAACAAAGTGACAAAAGGTTTAGCAATTTAAAGTAGTTTTGAATCCATAGCATGAAAGTTTTGGTAAAACAAAAAAAACAAACAACAAAATATCCACGGACGTACGGACGTACACAGCATGCCAGTCTAGCCAGAATCCTGTGCCCACTCAAGGTCATATTGGAGAGTGTGAGGGGGTTGTCTGGAGGTTTACTTTACCCAGGTTCACTGTATTGAATAATAGCTGTCATCTATATGGTATAAAGAGGTTGTAAGCCCTTTCTAAGGCCTAAAGTGCACCAAACACTATCCACAGTTGGAGCAATGGAGGAGATGCACCCTTGCAGAGGACAAGGGTCAAAGATTTGGCTGTATTCAAATATCAGATAACATTTGAAGGACCGAATACATTACTTCTCAAAAGGTAACAACAGCAATCTACATGAGATTAGTGAACTGCATTTTCACACAATAGCTAATCCCTCTGTTTTATACTGTATTGAAGTGTTTAAGTTGTTAAAGAAACATTATAGTTTTTAAAAAAGCATGTTAGCACCTCCTTAAAAAGTAGACAAAACGTAGCTTTTTTTCTAGCATTGTGCAGGTCCGCCGGTGCTGGCCCTGCCCCTGGTCTGCCTCCCATAGGAAAGCACTGGATTGGCTGAGATCATCAATTGTGATGTCCTCAGCCAAGGAGGCAAGGCGGAGCCAAACAACACCCTGTTCATTCAGCATCTTCTCACAGAGATACATTGACTCAATGCATCTTTATGAGAAATGTTTAGCGTCTCCATGCAGAGTGTGGAGACACTGATCGTCAGTGCTGCACCCAAGTAGCATCTCTAGTGGCCGTCTGAGTGACTGCCACTAGAAGTGTCCCAAGGCAGCAATGTAAACACTGCCTTTTCTCTGAAAATGCTGTGTTGACATCAAAAAGCCTGCAGAGACATAATATACTCACATGAACAAGTACATTAAGCTGTAGTTATTCTGGTAAATATAGTGTCCCCCTTAATAAAAAACATTAAAAAACAGATTTCTGCAATTCATATTATTCTTTGGACTTATTATTCTCTGGAGGCTAGAGAACTTGGCAAAGCTTCATTGTGATCTGAAAGTTGATTCTATTGTGTTAAATTCCCTGAAGATAAGCCTGAGTGCCTGGTTATCTGTATACCACATTAAGTATGGAATGGTTTTATTGAGATAACGTTAGTCTATATTTATTTAAGTTGGGCTGACAGCTGATTTTTTTTTCTTTTTTCAAAAAAGCAAAATATTAAGGCAACTCAATTTAAGAATTGAGCTAAAGATAAAACTTTAGCATAACAAGCACTAGAGGTCATTGCTGACATGTGAAATATACTCTCTTTAAGTTGACTATTACCCTTACTGAGTCAGAAGATAAATATGGCCCAATCAAGCCATTAGACAACTCCCAAATTATTCCCCTACTTACTCATCTGCAACCCCCTCAAATATCCAATCTTGTGAAGAAAAATTACTTATTATTTCTATGATAAAAATGACCAAATAAAAAACATAACCCAAATAAAATTGTATTAGATAGATAAAAAAAAAAAACACTACCAATTTACAAAAAGCGGTGGAAAATCACAAGAGCATATCAAGGACTCTGCACAGTTTGAGCATTCAAGTCAGGAAAAGCCTTCCAAAGCCATGAAAGCTCATTAGCGGCACTACTATTGGTCTGATGGGCAAGTTTATCTTTTCTGAAGACTTGTCCAGTATATTGTTGGGCTCAGCTATCGATAGGCTTGCATAGATTTTATTTTTATTGTTTCACTGTTTTTAAGATTTCCAGCAGTTTTTGTGAGTCTGTTTTTTATTTTATTTTATTTAGAAAGTGGTTTGAAGAAAGAAGACCGTCTATCAAGTCTTCAAATTACATTTTTTTTAACCTTATTTTTTATTTTAGGTTATTTGTAGTCCTTTCTAACTAATATTAGAGTGAGGATGTAGGTAAGGACCTATTTTGGCATGTGGGCTTGAAGTCCCATAGCCACTGCAGTAGAGGTTAGGACATACACAGGGCCACAATACTGGGCATGTCCATTGTCCTTCACCCTTCTGGACATGGGGTGAAAGCTGGGGTATGGGCTACTCGTCAAGAAACTGTTTGGTTATATTGAGCACCCCACACATTATTTTTTTGCATTTTGTTTTATATTTGAAAGTGTTACTTCAGTCTCCATGACCACCTTTGCTTTTAGAAGTAGCATGGAGAAAGGAATCAAAATGTGCACTGTTTCTGCTTGAAATGCTTGAAACACAAGTGACACCAACGGCATTGGTGACTCTGTTCTTTATTGCCTAATTCTGCACAATAATTATGACATAAAAAATGAGCTTCTATTGTTGCAGGCAGCGCTGGAAGAAAGCTTGCAAAAGGAAGCTTGGATATCACGGTCTATCCCCTTCAATCATACTTAAACTCGGGGCCAGTGGGTAGGAATGATTAAACAAAACAAAACAAAAAAATAACAACGGCTGAGGAACATCCCAATGTTCTCCCTGGACCCACTAGTGGGCAGTGGGTGGGTCTACATATTACATTGGGGGGCCAGTGTACCCAACAAGCCTCATCCATTGGCAGAGATATATGTACTTATGGTATGGTATGTTTACAGTGGCGTACACATGACCCATGGGGCCCAGGTGCGAAAATTGATCCGTGGGCCCTCCCCCCGTGCTTACTCGGCGTGGGTCGGGGCCACAACACATGGCGACCCCGCGACCGCGGTATGCACACACACTTAAAGGACCACTACAGACACCCAGATCACATCAGCTCAATGAAGTGGTCTGGGTGCCAGGTCCCTCTAGTTTTAACCCTGCAGCTGAAAACATAGCAGTTTCAGAGAAACAGCTATGTTTCACTGAGGGTTAATCCAGCCTCTGGGGGCTGTCTCATTGACAGTTGCGAGAGGAGCTTCCGCGATTCTCACTGTGAAAATCACAGTGAGAAGACACTGAACGTCCATAGGAAAGCATTGAGTAATGCTTTCCTATGGGCGGTTCAAATGCGCGCGTGCGCCTCTTGCCGCGCATGTGCATTCGGAGCTGAGAGGCGGAGGGATCCCCAGCGCCAAGGGAGTCCGACGCTGGAGAAAGGTAAATGCTGAAGACACACACACACACATTCTCACGAACAGATGCATACACGCTAGCTAACAGACACACACATTTACTGACATACATACACACTCACTTACACTTTCACTGACAAACACACACTCACTAACAGACAAACACACACAGTAACAGACACACACAGTAACACACTCACTAGCAGACACACACACACTAACACACACATACACACACATACACTAACACACACACATATACTAACACACATACACTAGCACACACACATACTAACACACATACACTAGCACACACACATACACTAACACACACACATACACTAACACTAACACACACACACACTAACACACAAACTAACACACATATACTAACACACAAACACACAGCCTCCTTACCTTTTGGAGTGCTGGGGGGATTCCTTGGGGTCCAGTGGTGCTGCTGGGCTCCTGGGCGGGTGGCCGGACGGGCAGGCAGGCGGGCGCGCGAGGGAGCACTCAGTGCTTCCTCTTGAGCTCCCTCGCGCACCGCGCAGGGATGCCGGCGCCGTAAGATGACGTCATCTTCGGGCTCCGGTATCAGTGCGGTGCGCGAGGGAGCTGAAGAGGAAGCACTGAGTGCTCCCTCGCGCGCCCGCCTGCCTGCCCGACCGGCCACCCGCCCGCCGGGTGACAGCAGGGCCAGCCTCGGGGGGCCCTGGGGTGGTCGGCTCCTGGGCCCCCCAGGGGAAGAGGCTGGCCCTGTGGGTACATACCGGGTCGCAGGGGCGGACGGGCCCGGTCGCAGCCGCGACCCCTGCGACCCTGGTATGTACGCCACTGTATGTTTATGTACATATGGTACATCAGTGCAGACTATGGTGCAAGTATTCACAAGTTTCTTAGTAATTAGATCTGCCAGTGATTTGAGCTAAGAGTGCAGTGACAGAATGTAGTGTACAGTAATACAACCATCTTGATGGTTCTACCATGACATTCTGCTATTAAGTCTAATGGACAATTAAAGCGCTGATGTAACCGTTGTGTCCTGTGAATGTCTGTCTAGGCACCCATTACAAAATCCATGTGTAGAATAGCCATCATTATCCATCACATCATAAATACAGCATTTAATATTTTTCCCATGCCACACTTTACTTGCAGGAGGAAAACTAACATCTGGACTGTACTCACAAGATCAAACTGTTGCTGGTAACTACAGAGTTGAGCATGGTGGTTTCTCATAGTATGAAGGGAATAGGAGGTTATATTTGCCATGAATTTTATAAACATTTATAGACTATTACTAATTATTAGCATTTACAGCACTATGCTTTTCTTCTAGACATTCTAATGGAATTAAAATTTGAAGAGCAATTTCCTCCTATTTATAAAATAACATTGTAATTAACTGTATCCTCTTCATCTGTGACGGTGGAGCACATTGACGTCACGTCAGAATGTGATGTGGTATTGCGTGCCTCCAGGTCCTCCACTGTCCAGCCGCGGCCATCGCAACACTGACCAACACACACTGACAGAAACACACACACTCTCTGACAGACACACACTGAAAGACACACAGACACACACACACACACTCTATGACACACACACAGTGACAGACAGACACACACACACACACTCACACTGACAGACACACATTCTTGCACACACTCACATAATTTTATTTATTGCTCCCTACCTTTGGGAGCTGGTGTGGGGCCTTTCCCTGATCTTCTCTCGGCAGCTCAGTCTTCCTGCTCCCTCACGCACGCAGTTTAGTGATAAACCAGGTAATTTTGGGAGAGTAGGTACCTGCAATGTGTGGCGAGCAAGTGCCTACTCTGCCTTAGTAAGCATGGCAAACTCGAGGCCCGCGAGTTTGGCATGCTTGCACTATAGGCACCCAGACCACTTCATCTCATTGAAATGGTCTGGGTGAAGTGCCCCTGTCTTTTTAACCCTGCAATCAGCACTGTATTTAGCACAAGGCTAACAAGGCATTTTCTTTGGGCGACACTTTCCAGGGCTGGTGGCCCCCTACGCGCCAGCAGATGCCTTGCTCGCCTCATGTCCTTGGGTGTTCAAGAGCTGGCCAACTGGCCACCTTAGAACCACCCCGAGGCGGGAGACCATGTCTATTGCAGGTGGGTGGCGAGGGAGTGCTGACCTCTTCTCCTTTTGCTTTGCTTCCTTGCGCACCTTCCTGTGATGCCAGGAGCCAGAATATTACATCACTCTGGCCCCATCATCACTAAGTGTTGAGCGAGGGAGCAGAGCTAAAAGATTACAGCTCCCTTGCTGCGAATGCACGCCTACCAGCCCAACAGCAGCCCAGCCGGGAACTCAAAAGCCAGTCCAGCAAACAAGCAGCCAGCCCAAAACTCCAGTAACCCAGCCAGGAGCCCCACTGGACCCGAGGGAACAAATCCATTCCAGCTCTCGCAAAAGTAGGATGGCTGTGTGGACATAAAGTAAAATAAAAAAAATTAAAAAAACAAATAATTTGTGATTGTGTGAGAAAATGTGTGTGAGAGTGCCAGTATCAGTGTATGTCTGTTAGTGTGTGTGTGCCTGTCAGTGTGTGTGTGTGTGTGTGTCTGTTAATGTATGTGTGTCAGTGTATCCATGTGTCAGTCATTGTGTAAGTGTCTGTGAGTAGAATGTGTGTGTGTGTGTGTGTGTGTGTCAAATCAGTGAGAAGGTGTGTCCATGTATGTGTATCTTAGAGTGTGTGCCTGTCAGTGAAGGTGTGTGTTGGTTAAACAGTGTGTGTGTCAAATACCAATGACTGTATCTGTCAGTGAATATATGCCAGTGCATGTATCAGTGAGGGTGTGTGTCTGTCAGTCAAAGTGTGTGTTGGTATTTAACATGAAGAGGTGTGGCCTTGATAGGAAAGGGTGGGGCAAATTTAGATTACGTTGGTGCCAGAGTTTAGTCATGTCTCGGGCAGCACTAAACAAAAATACAGCACTGCCTTGCAATGTAAAGAACTGCAGTTTCAGAGAAACTTCCTGGCTTCCCATGGATTTTAACACCATGAAACGATGTTGGTTGTCCTCACGGATGACAGGGGCATACAGCATTAGGAATACAGTTTTGTAGTGTTCCTTTAATGTAAGCTTCCATTACTGATCCGTGCTGTGCCTCATTATAAAACGTGTAGGTTTGTTTGGGCTTTGTTTTTGTGTGTGTCTTTGATATCACATCAAGTGTAAAGTTCTGGTTAATCAAAAACACTTAACTAATCTATATTCCATTCTGAAAGTGTTTGAATAATAGCATAATGTAAATGTTATCCAAACTGACATAACCTACTGATATCATAATATGGCCTTTTGATTTCCACATTACTCAGTTTAACATTTTAATTTCCTTTTCCTTTCTAAAATATTCTCTGGTTCAGGTTGTAACTTTTAAAAGAGAAAACTATACCACTAGGTACTATGTTGAAAATCACCTAGAACTTGTATTTGTATTGTTAATGTTTTAGCAAACTACATCACAATTTTGTTCAGCACAGACACAAATAGGGCATATATTGCAATGAAAGTGGTAAAAAAAGGAAACATTATTTCACACAGAGTTATTCATAAAGAGAGAATTACCAGTAATTTAAAGTGAATTTCAAATTGACACAAGTTTCTAACTCAGCTATTTAGGTCTAAACTTTGAAATCTGCACTGAATTGACTGTGGATTTCCAGCAATTCTCACTTTAAAGGAACACTATAGTGCCAGGAAAACATACTCGTTTTCCTGGCACTATAGTGCCCTGAGGGTGCCCCCACCCTCAGGGACCCCCTCCCGCCCGGCTCTGGAAAGGGGAAAGGGATTAAAACTTACCTTTTTCCAGCGCTGGGCGGAGAGAGCTCTCCTCCTCTGATCCTCCTCCTCCTCCTCGGCTGAAGCACGCGCGGCAAGAACTGTGCGCGCATTCGGTCACATAGGAAAGCATTCATAATGCTTTCCTATGGACGCTTGCGTGCTCTCACTGTGAAAATCACAGTGAGAAGCACACAAGCGCCTCTAGCGGCTGTCAATGAGACAGCCACTAGAGGAAATAGGGGAAGGCTTAAAGGACCACTCTAGGCACCCAGACCCCTTCAGCTTAATGAAGTAGTCTGGGTGCCAGGTCCAGCTAGGGTTAACCCATTTTTTTATAAACATAGCAGTTTCAGAGAAACTGCTATGTTTAATGAATGGATTAAGCCTTCCCCTATTTCCTCTAGTGGCTGTCTCATTGACAGCCACTAGAAGCGCTTGCGTGCTTCTCACTGTGATTTTCACAGTGAGAGCACGCCAGCGTCCATAGGAAAGCATTATGAATGCTTTCCTATGTGACCGGCTGAAGGCGCGCGCAGCTCTTGCCGCGCGTGCGCATTCAGATGCATGGGAGGAGAAGAGGAGGATCGGAGGAGGAGAGTTCTCCGCCCAGCGCTGGAAAAAGGTAAGTTTTAACCCCTTTCCCCTTTCCAGAGCCGGGCGGGAGGGGGACCCTGAGGGTGAGGGCACCCTCAGAGCACTATAGTGCCAGGAAAACGAATATGTTTTCCTGGCACTATAGTGGTCCTTTAACCCATCGCGGCGAGCTGTTCGGGACATCACTATACCTGACATGTTCACTTAAACAAATCATCTGCTTAAGCAATGGATCTACAGTGTTTTATAAAGATAAATTATACATTTATTTCTATAAAGAGTAGTTATTAAATTAAAGGGGCACTCTTAGCTGGAATTGATCATTTCAAAGCACTGTACACATAATGTATATTGTACACATTATTATATACTCCTTAAAGTTATTTCCCTACAAACTACATAATCTGCCTTGAGCTTTGCCAACTCCAAGAAGTAGCGTGGCCAATCAGTCTAAGAGATCTTAAACATCTGACATCTTTAACTCAGCACTACAAGTGCTAAAATGCACAAAGGCAACTAGTAGTTTAACTCGTTTTGCAAAGAGAAATCTGTAAATCTGCCTGCTTATCTTCACACTGAGTATGGGGGAGGGTGACTCTCTCCAAGCAAAAAACTACAGTAACCAGCAAGAAATAATTATGGAAGCAGTGGCAGAGAAGGAAGTCAAAATTGAAAAAATATATACAAAATGGAGCATGTTAAATCCAGGTAATTACTTAAAGGAACACTACAGTTACCAATCCTGCTCTATTCTCTGCCATTTAGGAGTTAAACCACTTTATTTATTCAGCCTTAGTCACTTCCCTGCATGTGACTTACAAAGCCTTCCTAAACATTTCATGTAAAGCAGGGCTCGACAAATCCCAGGTGCCGGGTTGCCGTGGCGACTAGGATTTTTGTCCTGGTGTCTGGGATTTGCTGGCCCATTCAGCCCCCCAGGTGGTCGCCTGCCAGTGGAGGCGGAGGCGGGCAGGCTCATAAAGAGCATGGGCATGAGTGAAGGGGGTCGGCCTTCTGTGTGAGAGTGCTGGCGTGCGCACGGGCGGGAGACTTCTGGAGGTTTGAGGCAGATGGCCAAGCGCGCAATGGAGCTGTAACCTTCCTTCTCTGCTCCGTTGCGCACCCTCCAGTGATGCCGGGAGCCGGAATATGACGTCATTCCGGCCCCAGCATCACTAAACAGGTGGAGCACTGCAGGGAGGTGACTGAAGCACCACTGGACCACAGGGAAAGCCGAAGCACTCCAGCTCTCCCAAAGGTAGGGAGGTTGAGTGGTCACATTAATGTGTGTGACAAAATGTGTGTGATTATTGCAGTGACAATGAATGTGTGTCAGTGAGTAAGTGTGTCAGTGAGTGAATGAGTGTGTGTGTCAGCGAGTGTGTGTGTATGTGTGTCTGTGTCAGCAAGTGAGTGTGTTTAGGTGACTGTTCCCCCTTTAATCACATGGGAAAGGGGTTTTTACTCACCTTTTTCCCTCACGCTGTGTTGATCTTCCTGCAGCTGGCGCTGCCTCCATGACTGTAATCATCAATCTTGATGGTCTCAGCCAAGCATTGGGAGGCTATTGCGCACGTGTGGGAAAACGCCACTCTGCCCGAATCGGCATCTCCTGATAGAGATGCATTGAATCAATGTATCTCTATAAAGAACGTTCAGCGCCTCCACGTAGGGTGTAGAGACGCTAAACGTAGGTGCCGCGCACTGTGCAGCACTGACCCAGGATGCACTCTAGAGGCTATGTGAGTGACAGCCATTAGGCAGCAATGTAAATACTGCCTTTTCTCTGAAAAGGCAGGGTTTACATTGAAAAGTGTGCAGGGACAGATGATAGACATGAGAACAACTACATTATGGTTCTCGTGACTATAATGTCCCTTTAAGAATTGCATTTTTGACATTGAAAAAGCTGGCTCCTAACTTTTTTTTGCTGGCTTCTAGATTCCAAGCAAATTTGTCAAGCCCTGCTGAAAGGTGGGATCTCATGTTTAAACTTTCTGTTTAATTCAGAATTTCTTATCTCCTGCTCTGTTAATAGCCTCTAGATTGCAAATAAAATCATGTTTTAATGCAGGCTGTGCCAGTCACAGCCAGGGTAGGTGCAGCTAGACCTGCATGGACAGAAACAATAGTGATTTAACAGTCTCACTGCTCAATTATTTGCCACTTAGGAGTTAAATCCCTATGTATATGCAGCCCTAGTCACACCTCCCTCCATGTGACTACAGCCCTCCTAAACACTTACCTTAACGCCGTTATGGCATTCTATGCCGTCCCGCATTAAATGGGCTTTAAAGCCGTTGTGGCGGCATAGAACGCCGTAACGGCTTGCAGCCCCAGGAGCTCGGAGGTACTCACCTCCGCCGCAATCCTCTTCTGGAGGGCTGCCTGACAGCCCAGGCAGCCCTCCCACGGCAAATCAGGCCCGCGTGGGCCATGTGATCGCTCTCAAAGAGCGATCACATGGCCCCCTATACCTGGCTGTGGATCTGCCAGCAGGGGGACTGTCCGAAATGTCAGACAGTCCCCCTGCTGGTGGGAAGTGTAAAAAAAAAATATGAATGAACATGTTTTAAAATAAATTAAATGTATTTATATATAAATATAAAATATATATATTATAAATATAATATATATACATCATATATATGTAACGTCATACGTAATGTATTTTAATATTAATATAAGGACATATATTAGTATTAAAATACACTTAGAATGACGTTGCATATACATAAGATATATATATATATATATATATATATATATATATTATATATAATACATCTATATATATTTTATATTTATATATACACATGTATAATTACAATAATAAATAAATAAAATATATTTTTTTAAATTTAAATAAATTATATATACATATGTAATTTCATTCTAACTGTATTTTGTTATTAATATATATATATTGGTAACAAAATACACTTAGAGTGACATTCTATATATAAAATACAAATAACCGCAAATATATATATATACAGATAAATATATATACTTACATAAATAACTACAAAAGTGTACACGTAGACTTTAAATACATATATATATGTATATATATTAAAATTCTACGTGTATATTTAAGTAATATTTTAACATAATTATGTGATTTAATTAGTTAAAATTTGATTGACATGCCTGACAACCCAGGCAAAAAGTGCAGAGAATTTGAATTGCAAGCACTATATTTAACTGGTGTTTTGGAAAGTTAGAGAGTCAAATATAATGTTTGCATTTCATTTTTTTTCACATTAAAATTTGCCAGATGGGTTATGTTGCCTTTTGAGACCGTATGATAGCCCAGGAATAAGAATTACCCTCATGATGACATACCATTTGCAAAAGTAAAAAAACCAAGGTATTGCAAACGGGGTATGTCCAGTCATTTTTAGTAGCCACTACAAACACTGGCCAAATATTAGTTTTTTGCTTTTTTCACACAAAAACAAATATGAATGCTAACTTTGGCCAGTGTTTGTGACTAAGTGGCTGCTACAAAAGACTGGACATACCCCACCTGCAATACCTTGGGTAGTCTACTTTTGCAAATGGTATGCCATCATGGGGGTAAATCTCATTCCTGGGCTACCACACGGTCTCAAAGGTAACATTACTAATCTGGCAAATTTCAATGTGAAAAACTGAAAAATGAAATATGCTATATTTGACCCTTTAACTTTTCACAACACCGTAAGAACTGTTAATGTGGGTTACTGTTGTACTCATGAGACTTTGCTGAATCCAAATATGTGTTTTTTTGCAGTAAAAGCTAACAGTATTACGACATTTACAGCTAAAATGTGAGGCGGAACTACAATTTAAAAAATAATAAATTATAATTTCTCACAGTTTTTTTGATTTTATTCATAATAAATTATGTTTCATATATAAATATTTGATATGAAATGAAAGCCCTGTTTCTCCTGAACAAAATGATATATAATAAGTGTGGGTGCATATAATATGAAAGAGGTGAATTACGGTTGAACAGACATATAGCGCAAATTCCAGTTTTTGTTTACATTTTGTTTTGATCAGAACGTGTACTATTGACTCCATCCTGAATGGGTTAAAGAGTCATCTAATGTTTACACTTCCATTATTGCAAATTCTGTTTAATTTTATATTTCTTATCTTCTGCTCTGATAACAGCATTCAAGACCTTGGTGGAAACCCCTGTGTGTAATTAAACTATACAACTTCTAAATGGCAGAGGCTTGAGCAGTGGGACTGCAAGGGCATGAGCTACACACCCAAACTGCTTCAGTAAGCTAAAGTTGTTTTGATGCCAATAGTGTCCTTTTAAGCAAAATGCTCTAAAATGCATAGTAGGTGTTGGTGGCTGTAATGTCACTTAAAGGACCACTATAGTGCCAGGAAAACAAACTCGTCTTCCTGGCACTATAGTGCCCTGAGGGTGCCCCCACCCTCAGGGTCCCACTCCTGCAGGGCTGAATGGAGAGGAAGGGGGTTAAACACTCACCTTTCTCCAGCGCTGGGCTCCCTCAGCGCTGGGGACTCTCCTCCTCCTTTGGCCGTCACCGGATGAATGCGCATGCGCGGCAAGAGCCACGTGCGCATTCAGCCAGTCCATAGGAAAACATTCTCAATGCTTTCCTATGGACACTGGCGACTTCTCACTGTGAAAATCACAGTGAGAAGCGCGGAAGCGCCTCTAGCGGCTGTCAATGAGACAGCCACTAGAGTCTGGATTAACCCTAATGTAAACATAGCAGTTTCTCTGAAACTGCTATGTTTACAGCAGGCAGGGTTAATCCTAGATGGACCTGGCACCCAGACCACTTCATTGAGCTGAAGTGGTCTGGGTGCCTATAGTGGTCCTTTAAGTGCGTACCTACTCTCCAGTACCAAGATCACGTCAGGTTAGTGGGTGTAATACCCAAAATGAGCCAACATCAGGTCATTAAAGCCCATACTCTAATAAAGGGCCTGGTCATGCGTCAGGGCCTAAATAGGCTCCTTTAACATTATGAAATAGAAAAATCTACATAACCATACCACATTTAGTATTCACTCAGCATTGTACAGTTACACCTCTGGCAGAAATAAAAAAAACATGTCGGCTGTTCAGTGTTTCATACTGAAACACTGCACAAACAGACACCAAGCACCATGACCACTTCAAAATACTGAAGTGGTCATGTTCCTTGGAGTAACCCTTTAAAAGGATTCAATATTCATTTATAAGCCTATCTGGATCATAGGTTAGATTTTGATGCATGAAAATTCAGATGGCAAAAATTCTTACTTATAAGGTAGGTTGAAATGCATCATTAACAAAATTATGTAAGACTATCATTGGACTCCCCTAGCCATTAAGGATAGTTACACTGCAGATAGCATTATTATGGATAAACACTTCCCTCTTATCTAAATCAGTATTTAGTGAAAGGAAAATTACACAAGTGCTCCAGGACGTGCACGTCCTGGTCACTGCCCTTAGTATATTAAGCACTACGGCTCTCATGAGAATCCATCTTCTCTTTCAGTTTATAGGAATTACAGTCATAAATATTTTCTTTAAGACATATGCTGTTTTAGCAGCATTCCTAGATTTACTTACTTTGGAAAGGGTTCAAATATAACATTGAGATTGGTTAAAGGGGCAATTGACCCCCCTTGAATTTGATAGTCTGTTGGTTTACATAGACTAAGAAGTTGAGCAAGCACTGGGATCCTTGGCAGTGCGTTAGCTTAGATTCCTGTGGGGACGGTGAAAATGAGAGTATTACATTTCTTATTTAAGACTCTATAAGCTTGGTGCTTGAGACAAATATTTAATTACTGATATGTTGACAATGTTTGGGAAATATGCAACAAACTAAACAAAATGTGACATGATGAATTTTGTTAGTGCGTCAATAACACCACTGCAGACCAGTCTTCATTATGAGATATTACTACACAGTATTCTGCACATGAGCATCTCAGGGTGATACAACCATGTTTCAGATTAATTTCCTGCTGCACTTCATTGGTATATCTATCCAAACACCTCCATCTCCTGTCCTTGTTTAATATCTATGCTTGCTTTATCTGACAGTGCTCAAACTTGCTACTCTATCACTCTCCAGTAGATTAGATCTGCTTGTTGATATTGGAAGTGTAGGTATAAGCGGTTAATTTTACTTAAAGGAAACCTATATTTTTGAAAATCATCATTATAGTTGGACTATATGATCACTTATATTGATGAGATCACTGTCCACAACCTTTTGCTCAGCGAAATTGAAGATTATTTAACTCACCTTGTTTCCAGTGACATGCGTGGCAAAAACTCCTCTAATCAAATGTAGCTATAAACAGTATTTAATTGAAGAACAGAGTTTTATTTGGCTATAGAGGTGGATACATCTCGAGTGGCTGTCAGGAAGGCAGCCACTAGAGACACGCTTAACCCCTTAATGCAGACATTGCCGTTTTAACAAAATGACAATGTTTTGCATTAAAGGGGTAAAACTAGAGGACCACTGCAACAAGACTACTTCATTGATATGAAGTGGTTTAAGTGACATTAGTGGTTCTTTACTAGTGTTTACGTTGCCTAGAATCCCCTAGCGCTGCACCATATCCAGGTTTAAGATCCAACCATTAAAGAACAGTTTGATATAAGCCAAGGGTCTTCCCAGAGCAAAGGGACAACACCCCCAATTAATAGTAACACTTCTACATTATCAAAGCAAAAATTAATCTACAGGCATCCCCCACTTTTAAGTACACAATGGGACCAGAGCATGTATGTAAAACAAAAATGTACTCAAAGTGAAGCAATACCCTTTTTCCACTTCTGAATGCATGTACGGCATTGCAATAGTAATTTACAGGCATAACGGATACTGCAACTGCAGATTTCCAGTGATTTTATTCCCAGTGATTTATTTAGTGATTTCCAGTGCCAGTGAGCTTTTATTCAGTTAAAACAAACAGTAAAAAAAAATAAAAAATATCTAATTCCAGATTGTACCATTTATCTTTAATGTTTTACTCATCTGACAAACTTAAACTGGGAGGAAAAGTAAAATAAACCTGCCCACTGGGCCCTTTTCTGTCAATACAGTGCCAATTTGTATTTGTTAGCAGCTTAGTTGCACACTTTGTTTAGAAACACCTCTTCATCACTTTAAGCATATATGGTTTAACTTTGAATCCTCAGAATTGTGGCTAATGCAGCTAAGCTACTAAGTCATAGTTATAGAAAATGGCAGGGTAAACCCTTTCACTGGATGGCGCCGATTGCAGAATATGGACAATGTAGGGGCAGAAAAAAAATATATATGTTCAGCTAGGAGTAGACATTATAAATTTAAGATGATTAACCTGTGCCATGTCACAAGGTGTAAAAAGTTCTTGCCCCAAAAACACTGAACTGAGCTGCTCAGAGCGAGAATAGAACCTTCCATTTCCTGTTCACTCGCGGACAGAAGAGGCACGGGAATGTCTGTACTCGCGAGGCACCTTTACGTACACTCGCGGGTATGTCTGTACTCGCCAGTGTACTTAACGTGAGTGTATGTAAAGCGGGTTATGCCTGTATTGGGAACAATCCATTGTATGGCTAAGAGATGTCTGTGGCAGGGTGGGCACCACAATTGAAGCGCCACAACAACTGGAGATCTACATGTTGGCTTGCACTGATTTAAGAAATTATTACATTATTCAATTACTGTACTGAACATAGTTTTAAAATGACAGGAAAAGCTTAGGGTCTACAATAAATGGAAACAAATACACAATCTATAAAAGCATGAGCAGTCAATAGTACCACCTGCTGGTAGAAAATGGTTAAAAGGCATATATGTTCAAAGAAGTAACCACTTTAAAGCAAATGTGTCCAAACTGAGATTTCTGCATTGCCTGATAGCAGACAAGCTAACACAGAGTGCAAATTAAATGTAACCTTCACGTTGCCATGCTTGTGTAAAGCACTATAGAAAGAAATGCCTGAGTTAGTATGCAGTCATGTCATATCTTAGCAAATGCTGAATGCATGAATATGGTCAGAGCATCATGGGGCAATGATGTCACACTGGAAAACAAAAGTGCTGCTGTGGTAAGTGTGTACTTATCTCGGTAGCACTACTCATTCCTCACACAAACCTATTTCGACCAGGCAAAAGAAATATCTACTAACCAACTGTTTTTGTAAAGTGCTAAGTGCTATAAAAAAATGATCACTAGCATAATGATCAGTATGCAGTTAGAAGCTGAAGACATGAGAGAAAAGATAAAACTTAATTCAATCTAAACATATTAATTAATTGGCTAGGACAATGTATATTTGAAACTTCTCCCTCACAAGTTCAGTCATATATCATTTTCTTTACAGAACCTGCACTATTATAAAGTTCTTTATTTCCTCATGTAAAACATATTCACAACACATTAAAGAGGTAGTTGTGTAATTTCAACAACAAAATTTGTTTTATTTTATGAACAATGTAAATGTGTTCTTAACTATATGCCGTTAAGCACCACCAGTCTCTCTATTTATCTGTGTTAATAGCAAGAACAGATGAAACAGTTTGTGGAATGAAAAGAGATGGCTATTCAATCTTTCACAGAAGGGATTAAGCAAAAGCAATTTAGATGAGCAGATGGTGAATATGATTGCATGTTCTAGTTGTATTCTCTTATGATAACTTTTATTCATGCATGTGGTAAATAAACACCTTTTAGCTTTTAGGACAGTGTAAACTGGATTAACAGTGGTGGCTTTGGGATTTAATTTATAGGACACTAGTGTGTCCTTTTAGTATATTCACAAAGTAAATCATGCATGAATTACAAACTCCTCTCAAATCAAATCCTATGGCCCATTTCAGTTTTAAAAAATATATATCCCGCTCTGTCTGAGATTAGTTGGAGTAACATTACAGGGTAGAAGTTGCAGTTTTCTTCAGTCACCATTATTTTAGCCTCTTTACAGTTAATGTTATGTTGGGAGAAAGCCTGGGCTGACAGAGACAGTGTGACTTTTCCTACCCAGCTCCTCTCCTGGTTTACCTTTGTAGGGGCTGAATTAAAGGAATACTCAAAACATCATAATCACTACAACATGCTCTAGCTATTGTTCTAGTAGTGCCCCCGCCACTAGAAGTAGTAAATCTGTTTTATAAGATCTGAAAACGTCCTGCCTGTAACAAGCTCGACAGTGCAGGACTCTGAAAAATATACTTACTATAAGCTATATAGATATACCCAAGACTAATTTTCTAGAATTATATAAAGATGTTAAAAAAGGATTCTTTTATTGTGGAGATTGCATGGGTTGTAGAAACCATAAACATCATAATAAAAAGGTGGTTAATTTTAAATCCAGGGCAGGGAATCCGATGTATAAGATAGACTCATTTATTTCCTGTCATTCAAAAAATTTGATTTATATGCTCACGTGTTCTTGTGGGCTACAATATATTGGGAAGACATCCAGGTGCCTTAAAACAAGGATACGTGAGCATATTTATAATATCAGGAGGGTTTTTTAAAACACAATGTATCATTACATTTTTTTTAAATGCCATGGAGGAGACCCCTCTGGACTCCAGTTCTTTGGGATACAAGAAATGGAAACTCACTGGAGAGGGGGGGACCTACAATCAGCGTTGAGCCGCTAAGAGAGGAAGTGGATATTTAATTTGGACACTTTGTCTCCTGGGGGTCTGAACGTTGATTTTGAGGTGTCAGCATTAATTTAATTTTATCCAGTTACATGGCCCCCAGATATATATATATATATATCTTATTTTATTTGCGATTTTTATTGGGTACTTCAATTGTGGGTTTCCATTTTTTATATACAACTTTTTTATATATAATTTTTATATATAACATATTTTATAATTTATATTTTCTATATTTTATTTTTATTTTTTACCTCCTTTAATTAATTTTTTAAAAATTAACTAATATTTTCTTGTCCTCTACAGATACATTATGTCCCTTTTTTTCCCTCCTTTATATATAAGTTTATAAATTGCATTATTTCTATTATATTTTTATATGGGATGATGCATTACCAACTATTCCCCATTATAAGTTTATTTTCCTTTAAGGGGATTATCCTCCTCATATTATAAAGATGTTAAAATATAAAAAATCATCTTTTATGTAAACATGTCCTCTTATCTATGTAATTTGATATATAAGATGTATAATTATGTGTAATATAATCTTTATATAGTTTTAATTTGAATTTTATGAATGATGAGTATTATTACATAGATGTGTAAATATTATGAAATACTCCTAGTCAAATTTATGGCTGTTTTAATCTATGTACATATATGTGGTTAAGTATAGTGAAACAATAAGATTTAGTTTGTAAATTAGACTGATCTTTTTAGACTTTTTCTGTATGTAGGGTTTTTTTCCCCCACTTTAAACATGGTGAAAACGCCAGGACTGTAGATGTATACAGAGTTCACAAAGTGAGGACCGTAAACCCTGAAGTGATGTCACGATGTATGATCATGTGATCGGACGGGAGGTCATGAGACACGGAAACACGGAGAACCCGGAAATGAAGACGGACGCCGGCAAAACGGCGCCAAATTTAAAGACAGAAGATCAGTATTCACCACACAGTTTGATAAAGACCTGGAGGTCGAAACGCGTTAGTGTTGTGGACTTTTTATGTTATTTTAGCTTATTTTCTGTATCCTGTATTTTAACCAGTAAAGTTACAATATGTTCCTTACTACTGGATATCCTGGAATTCATTGAAAAGCTGGGAAAAGAAGTAAATCTGTTTGGGAAGCTGAAAGCCAAAATAAGCGAATTATTCATCTGCCACTGAAGTCAGAGCCAGCTTTATGTGGCTCTGCATACTGCGAGTGACCCAATACCTTTGAATGACCAATGTTTTTTACATAACAGTATTACACTATGTATGTGTTTTTATTGTAGGTCAATCAGGAGGTGTTTCACTTATATTAAGTATACAAATATTTTCTTTAAATCTTATGTGCACCCCCCTTATATATCTTTCTTCTTATCAGTACAGGACTCTCTCAGCCAATGAGCTAGCCCTTAACTACAGGGCTAAGGAAAGCTAAGGGAAGCTCTTAAGCAGGACATTCTGACTCTCTGTTGAGGTGCCCAGAAAACCACAAGTAAGAAGTAAACTGTTCTATAATGGCTCTACTACTTACAATGGGGGAGGGGATGCCTTAGCACTCCTGACACCACAATCACTATAATGTGCTGTATTGTTTATGGTGCTTGGATGTGTAAGGAAAAGAGCAGCAATTAGCATCTGCTACCCAAGGACCTCGCGATCACATGGCCCAGGGGTGCCGGAATGGACGCAGGGGGACTGCCTGGGCTGCCAGGTGGGTCCCCACAGCATTTAGATCCGGGTCCCCAAGGACGGCATAGAACTCCCACCGTCCTTAAGGGGTTAAACGAACACTCCAAAGACTATAATCACCACACCACATCCTGTAGTGGTTATGCTGCCAGGAGTGCACTGGTGCCCACCAATGTACTTAGTTCTTACTGTGGGTTCTGCTGGGCACCATTACCAGTTTCCTCACAGCAGGATGTGAGAGCTGCACAGCTGGCAGGGTTTAGCTTCCTGCAGCAGTGGAGGCAGGGGCCACACCCAGCAGACCACAGGTAAGAAATAAAACTGTTCTAAAGTTGTTTGGCTACTTACATTGGCAGGGCACTCCTAACACCATAGCGTACTCTTTAAACAATGTATATATATATATATATATATATATTTTTTTTTTTTTAATGCTTTTTTAAAAAACTTCATATTTTAACTTCCCTTGTCAATTCTCCATAACTGGAAATTTAGTGGATAATCCCAATTAGAAGGATCCACTTCCAGTTTAGTCTGTAAGCTTTCAACAACTTCAACGTGTTATCTCAATGAAACCTATTTAACATGGCATTTTTGTGGAACATTGCATATTGTGCAATGAGTGGTGTCACACTATCCTGTCTGGGATTGGTAGAAGTTTCACTCATGGACAGCAGCTGCTATCAAACATAAAAACTTTATTTTACACTTTGAATGTACTATTTTTATAAAGCACCAAATATGAAAGTAAAGTACAGTCTGGGTGCCCCTTTAAGAAATTGCTCATTATCAAATCGAATATATAAAATATCTTACTGGAGCAGCTTAAGATTTGTATATAATGGTTAATCAAATAAATGAATATTATATAAATCAGTGGTAGCTAATATGTAGCTCTTCCATTGTGAAAGTAGCATACGTGTGATGCTTAGTTTGTCAAAGAAACATCCTGTCTGTTTTAGAATGACTAAGTATCAAGACTTTTGTATATTGTTTAATGACTGCTAAGTATCAATACTTTTGTTTATTGTTTTAGAATGACTGCTAAGTATCAAGACTTTTGTTTAACCAAAGCTTGACAGTACCTACCATTTACCTCAGATCTACATACTACTGATTACTCTAAACCTACAGTCCTCACTTACAGGCCTGGTCTGAATTTTATCACTGCAACTAACTCACCGGCAGAACTAACATGGCCTGCTGTTCCACACACTTAGTGACACCCAATGGGCATCTTTGATGGGCCCCTGTTTGTAGGAAGTAACGTCAGGTCACTTTCTATCATCCAAGTGGGGAGGCAGAGGACGTGTAAAGAGTAGGGGGAGAGACCTGGACCAGATTCCCATCAACCTCAGCTTGCAGCCAGATCTAGACCCCAGGCTATCCACCCTCCTTTACCAAAAAGGTATAGAAGCATGGGTGGTAGCTAAAAATTTATAAATTATAACTTGTGTGTGTTTATGTCAAGGTGTGTATATTTGTTTACCTGAATGTGCATCGGTGTGTGTACATTTGTGTATATGTGTCCATCTCTGAATTGCTATATGTGTCGGTATATCTGTGCACTGTATGCGTACATGTCCATGCATCTCAGCATTTAAACACCAACACTATAAACAAATACACCCCTGCAGTCAAATGTCAACACTGCATACAAGCATACCCCTGTATTCAAATCTAAACACTACACACAAATGTGCAACTGCATTCAAATGCTAACATTACATATGAATATACCCCTGCATTTAAATCCCAAATCTACACACAAATGTACAATTGCATGAAAATGCCAACACTACACACAAACGCAACCCTGCATTCAGACATCAACACTACACACACATGTATACCTACACTCAAACGCCAACACTACATACAAACACATCCATGTATTCAAATGGCAATAGTAAATATAAATACATCCCTAGCATTTACACACACACACACACACACACACACACACAAAAGCTCACAAATGCAACTCTGCAAGGATAGACAAATAATAGACCCGCAGCTGGCAAAGCATCATGGAAGTTGCATGGCAATTGAGGATTTACCTTTTGGCCACCCTTGCGATAGAGGGGGTCTCAAATATTTTTTATTTTTTTTGTGTCAGTGCCCTTTCTACATTAGTTTTGCCACTGAAGAAACTGCATTATTTCTCATAATTTCAACTTCCCTATATGTAACTTTTAACGGAAACTGAACGTGACATTCAATACATTATTGACTTTTTAAAAAAGCAATACTCACATAATAAATAGATTTGAAATGTATTTCAATAGACACAATTTAGGGGAGTACATTAATGACTGCAACCAATTCTGCTAATTAAATTTATCACAATCTCCTGGTGTGATCTTAAATTACTAAACATCAGTTCTACTCTGATCAGGGAACTATTATCTTGAGGTTTTCTTTCCTGGAAAAGCCATGTATTACAGTACTATGTGTATATTTGAATGTGCCTCATTGAAGCTTACAGGCAATATATTGTAATTAAGTAGGAAGCAGAAGAATGCAATTAAAACAAGTAAATGTAAAAAAAGTAAAATAACAGCACATGTACCATTAAAAAGATTATATATATATATATATATATATATATATATATTTTTTTTTATCCTAGAAGAAAATAGATTGCTAACTTGCTAAAATATAAGCTGTATGCCAAAGATTGCAGCAGTAATAAAAGCATGCATAATCAGCAAAATTGTACATTAATGTAGTTAGAGTTATGGTGTTCAGTTGCTCTTAAGAAGAAAAGATTATGGTGTGCATTTCTGAAATGTAAAACTTACAAAGTTACTTAATAAACCAGGAATTGCTGGGAATTGTAATTTTTAGGTCAAAATAGCAGAGTTTGCAGTGTGGCGACTATTTTCTAATGCACATGTGTAATGGTCATATTGGGTATATTTTACATGTTGTGTAAGAGGTTCTAAAGATAATGATAGAACACTTACATAACAATACTCTGCAGGGTAGTGCTGACTTTAATTCAACCCATAGAATGAATTTTCCAAAGGTATGTCTTTAAATACCAAAATACATCAGAAAATTGATTGGATATTAAATGTGTGTATCTGCCTGACACCTACATTTAAAAAATTCTCAAAACATGTCTATCAGACAAAATATGGCGACTAAGAATCCTGTTTGAACTGTATTTAACATGAACTTTTTTTTTTTACTAATACCCCTTTATACACTATCTTCATCAACATGTATATTGACCAAATTATTATTGAATTAAACTAACACTATAGGCACTCAGACCACTTAATCTCACGACCCTCTCATTTTAAAGGATCACTATAGTGCCAGGAAAACATACTCGTTTTCCTGGCACTATAGTGCCCTGAGGGTGCCCCCACCCTCAGGGTCCCCCTCCCACCTGGCTCTGGAAAGGGGAAAAGGGGTTAAACTTACCTTTTTCCAGCACTGGGCGGGGAGCTCTCTTCCTCCTCTCCTCCTCCGATCCGCCCCGTCGGCTGAATGCGCACGCGCGGCAAGAGCTGCGCGCGCATTCAGCCGGTCACATAGGAAAGCATTCTCAACTGTCCTAATGTGTTTTACACCCCACCTCCTATAGAATGTAAGCTCGATTGAGCAGGGTCCTCTTCAACCTATTGTTCCTGTAAGTTTATTTGTAATTGTCCTATTTATAGTTAAATCCCCTCTCATAATATTGTAAAGCGCTACGGAATCTGTTGGCGCTATATAAATGATAATAATAATAATAATAATAATAATAATAATGCTTTCCTACGGACGCTGGCGTGCTCTCACTGTGAAAATCACAGTGAGAAGCACGCAAGCGCCTCTAGTGGCTGTCAATGAGACAGCCACCAGAGGAAATAGGGGAAGGCTTAACCCATTGATAAAACTGCTATGTTTATGAAAAAATGGGTTAACCCTAGAAGGACCTGGCACCCAGACCACTTCATTAAGCTGAAGTGGTCTGGGTGCCTAGAGTGGTCCTTTAACCCTGCAAGTGAAAACATTGCCGTTCTGCAGGCTAGTGGCTGTCGAACTTCTGCATAAATAACCACATAGAAATCACAGTGTATGCACACTCAATGCTTTGCTATGGGAAAAGCATTGGATTGGCTGAGATCATCATGATTTATGATCTCAGCCAAAAACGCAGAGTCAGACATTGAGGGAACAGCATGGCATGAGAGAACAAGTAATTTAACTCTGTTTTCAAACATGTGGGAGGGGGGGAGCAGTCACTAAAATGATGACAAGGACACAATAGTATTTGTATTCTTAATACTATAATGTTCCTTTAAGGGCACTCAGCAGCATGAAAGACACACCATTGCCTAATACTTGGATATTAGATGCAAAACTGTTTTTTTTGTACTCTACCTGTGCAAAGTATAACTTTAACTTCTTCCCATTAAATTCAGATTCATGGAGCTCAATTCTTGCTCTTGCTGCTGCCTCTGGATTGCTGAAGTTAATTCTCACTCGTCTGAAGCTTTTAAACATTTGGAAGGAAACCTGTTCATCATAAATTGTGAATAAAGCCTTGAATCTTTCCTGCAGTAAAAATAGATAAAACACCATGTATGAGCACGCAATGTCTCCTGAAAAAATAAGTAGCTCTTTTGTTAAATGGTTACCATTTTAGTAAATTACATTTAACTGTGTAACACTGGAAACTGAAGTGAAGATCGCACAGACAAATACAAACCAGCATTATAGTTACCCACATTTTAACAGTTTTGTTTCTTGAAAATGTAATGGAGAAATATAAATGGGCCTTCGTAAAATTTCAGTTACAAAAAGAAAATGCCCAGCTGTAGTATTTATTTAATGAATGTTGTTGCAATATTCTGTTACATGCAGATAATGTGTGAAATATGGTTGCTCAAGAAGCCTTCATGCCTTTCTTCCATAGTAATGCAAAGATAACTGGCACTTTTGTTATTATAAATGTATGTGCACAAAAGGGTAGAGGTTTACAGCAAATGCACAGAGGCAGAGAGAGACATTTGCCTTCCTATAAGGGACACAATTGACCTATTGCCGTTTTCGTGCAAGCTTATGTAATACACTCTTCATGTGCTTATCACTCAGTCTGTGAATTTTTACCTATATATATCCTGTCCTATTCACAACTTGTATCTCCTCGCTTGTACATTTAGTTTAGTTTTGTGAATGTGCAGTACAAGTTACTTTTATACCACTGATACAAAATGTGAGCCACAACCTGTGCCACCATGTCACTGCATATTCAATCTCTAGATTTACTTCTGGGACGACATGAGTCACCCTACGCATTCTGTGAATAGTGATAGAAGTTAACACTGTGAATCTGGACTACACAAATGTGTCAAACGTCTATGCTAAGGACTCTTCTATGATACAACAAAACCTGACCAAAATATAAATTTTCTTATGAAGTACATTGGATATGGATGTGCATTCACAATCAATCAATTTAGAATGAAGCTGGTGCATTCAGTGACAACCTAAACTGATCACAAGAACTTACTGCTTGGGGGGCGGGGCTTGACCTTTGACTGGAGCGGACGCAAACCTATCCAGCTCCCGCATTTTGTTTTGAAATTGCCCATTTACCTGCAATTAGAAGGCACAATCTGCCGCATCTCAGTTACCCCACAAAAGGGGAACCCGCAGTGATCACGGTGGTGCCACTCAGGATGTCTCTTCCTACGGAATTAATTAAGCGAGCACTGAGGCACTAGGGTAGCTGAAATGGGGTGGAGGCGGACGCTCCCCTTCCACTGATGCTGGCTGGTACTTTGCAGATAGGCTCTCATCCCCTCCTCTAGAACGGCAGGGGTTATCCCGGTCCCAGGAGCTCACCTCAACAATCCGCAGCTCCAGCTCAGCCAAGGGCACCCTGCTCCTAAAATGGCGGAACTGGTGCGCGGGCCCTCTGCTGAACCGCTGCAGAGGTCAACTCTACACAAGCTGGATGAAATGTTTGCAGCACTCCTGTCTCGCTTGGCCGTGAAGGGTCTCTCGACACCTTCACGCTACCACTCAGCTCCTGTCATGCCTATGGAGGATCTTGCTGGGCCTGTGACTCCTGTAGCGACTGGCCTCCAAGGCTCTTCACTCTGCTACCCATCACGCAAAGTCAGCGACCTGGATGGCGGAATTCCTGTTCCAGCTTCCCAGATAGATAGCACACCGGAACAGCAGCCACGGGATCATGATCCTACCACTTAATTACCTCTTTTCTCTCACTGTGGTGCAGATCCGCTCCTGGTGTCGACGGGGTCTCATGGTGTAATTCCAGCACTCATCTAACTGACTACCAGTGTGGTTATGGCATCAGTGGACTGTCCTATCAGGTTCCAACTGCTCCATAGAATGGGTATCGGCTAGCTTCAGACACCAATGGGGGGCTTTTAATTCTTATACCTTATGACAGGGCTCAACAAATCCCAGGCGCCAGGTCGCCATTGCGACTAGAAATTTTGCCCTAGCGCTTGGGATTTAAAGCCCTTTAGCTAAAGGCCGGATAGAGGAACAATGGAGCCGACCGGTCGCCCGGAGGAGCGTGCAGGCGGCCGCCCTGGGGATCAAGCGGCTCCCTCGCACTGTTTAACATTATGCCGGGAACAGGAATATATCTCTCCCAAAGGTAGGGAGGCTGGGTGGATTCAAATGAAAATGTGTGTGTGTGTGTGTGTGTGTCTCTCTCTCTGTCAGTATGTGTGTGTGTGTCTCTCTCTCTGTCAGTGTGTGTGTGTGTGTGTCCCAGTCAGTGTGTGTCTCTCTCCGTCAGTGTGTGTGTGTGCGTCTCTCTCCGTCAGTGTGTGTGTGTCAGTGTCAGAGTGTGTCTTCTTGTGTCTGTTTAGGTACCTGCACCCCTCCGATCACGAGAGAGGTGTTTTTACTCACTTTCTTACCCACGCTATGCCAGTTTTCAGCGGCCTGTCCTGCCTTCATGGGTGAGATAATCAATCTTTAAGATCTCTGCTAAACCAATTACTTTCCTATATGAAAGCACTGCATTGGGAGAATATTGCACATGTTTTCTATATATAACATTCAGCACCTCCATGCAGAGCGTTGAGACGCTGAACAAAGGTGCTGCACACTGTGCAGCACTGACACAGGACTCTTTAGTGGCGTCTGAGTGACTGTCACTAGAGGAGTTACTGGGCAGCAATGTAAACACTGCCTTTTCTCTGAATTCTTTGTAATAATAAAAATATATATATTTTTTTTAAAAGATTTAAAAAAAAAACAACCTACTGCTTTTAGAGTCCACCAAGCAAATTAATTCTAGGTGAAACTTTTTTTTTGCTGTACTCATTGGTAATGTTTCCACAATGGAATACACACCATGAACAAATGCTCCAGTCACAGTGTTGGGTAAAAAGTTTGAAAAATTGGTATCAAAATAGATAAATTTTGACATGTGAAATACCCTAGTGTGTGTACTTAAATGAAATAATAACAACACAATTTTACAGGATTAATTTGAATGCCTTAGCTGCAGACTATCAACAAACTGAGAAAGACTGAGCAAAATAAGCAGTCAAAATCCCCAGTACAAAAAGTACAAAAGTAAAACCTATGCTTGTGAGGCATTAAGTTTTTATTGAAGTACCATTTTTTATGTAGCATATAAAAGGCCTAGAAGGTTATAAGAAACAATGTGTTTGAAAGGCACAAAAAAAAAATAATCAGTACATTTGGCAAAAACTGAAGAAGAAACAGCCATAAAATCATCAAAATATCCAAAGTACATTTAAAAATAAATACTTTTGTGTGGGATTTTTTGGCTTTATGTTCACTGATACCCTTTTTTTTTTTTTTTAGCTTTAAGACATCTTGCTTTATTTACCGTGTAACTGGAAAAAATATATGACTCCTAGGTATTGTAGGTAAATGCAAAATAAATAATATTAACAAAGTATTTCACCAGGAAATACTTCAGATTACTCTGATTTTCAAGTACATCCTGGGGATGTTACATTAGCCCAACATCCAGGGGTTGTTACTATTACCCAATTTTATGGTACTTATTTTATCTACCTCAGGAGGATGAAGGGCTGAGTCAACCCTGCCGGGATTCGAACCTGCAACCCAAGGGTTGAACAAATGCTGTATAAAGATAATTGTAAGGACAACTTTTATTCCAACATTTCAATAGATTATTCATACTAATTTGATAAATAAACATGCTGCTACAATTAACTAATAAGTATTGCCACGGAGGTAAAAGATTTAATATTTCATAATTTGAAAATGTTCTGCTGTCTAACTATCCTAGCAGTATATAACAGCATTTCACTATAGATTAAATCTTCTTTTAACCATAAATTAATCAATGATTTATAATGATTAGGCAATCACCTCAGCATCTTAGATCTTTTGACAGTGATCGCATACATACCTTCTGGTCCTCCACTTCAAATACAGAATCATGGACACTACATGCAAAGAGAGATGTAGGAAGGTCACTGAGATCCATAAGCTCTTCAAGGTCATCATCATTTTCACCAAAAATCATTTCTTCCTCCTCCTCTTCCTCCTCCTGGTCACTGCTGTAGAGGTCAGAACTTTCGTTCCAAGACTTCATTGTGTCCCTCAACATGATTATTTTCTGGCAGCTCACTCTACTTCCCCAGACCTCAAATCAACCTGCAATAAAACATTAAATTAGTGTCTAACATAGGTCCATAGAATGTCTATATTTTTGCACCTTAAATTCCTCTTCTTGAGATGCCAGACGGAAAAATAAATTTGTGCCAATGTCTTAGTCTTGTAATTAAAGTGATGTAAGAGAAAGAGAAATTAAGTTAATTATTAAATGTGGTCTCTAACTATCAAACTTTGAAGAGTTAAAATTCTACAAAGATTTTGTGCAAGTATATTATAATGCTGTATATCTCGTTTCTACCATCAGAATATTAGGGCAAAAGCTACATTAAAAAAACACTGGTCCCATCCCACGAGATGTCCATGGCAGCTCTAGGAGTATAAATCTTCCTTACTCAAAACTGGTAAGAACACACTTTTCCTCCCTCCTTCTTGTATATGTCCAGCCTTTTTGCACTATGTTATTTTTATGCATTGCATATTGGTTTGATTAGCCTTTGTCCTGTGGCGAGTTCACCCACACCACCCATGAAAGCTCCTGGACATGGCTGCTCGTAAAGAGAAACCCTCCAAGCGGCATGCTTCTGTCATCATTCAGGTAGTAGCTGGATGTGCCAGAGCTAGATTTGTGGTGATAATACTCTATAGAGTACAGGACCGGACTGGGGATACAAAGCAGCCCTGGAAAAAAAAAAAAAAAAATCTATGCCAGCCCCATAAGTCATTGCGCCATATATTGTCACATGTAATATGTAAGGCTATGTCTTGCCATCCCAGCTGATTGAGTAATATATAAACACACACATATATATATATATATATATTATAGTATATGTGTATATATACATATACTATATGATATAGTCTTGAGAAAAGTCCGACTGAAACGTTGATGTATGATTTGTGCAGAATAAAAGCATATATACTTTCTACAGACCCCAGAGTGCACTCTTCTTCATTCCTATATATAAACACACACACACATATATATATATATATATATATATATATATATATATATATATATATATATATATATAACATAAATATATAAATATTGGTCCTTTCAGAGTAAAACATTTAATTATACAGTAAGCATACTTACATGCAGACACAGACAATCTCACTGACACACACAAGCTTATTGATACACAGCCTCATAGACAAACAAGCTCACTGATATACATAAGCTCATTGACATAAAAACACAAGCTCACAGATGCACACACACAGGCTCATTGACAGACAGACAATCTCACTGACACACACAGACAAGATAATTGGTATACACACACACAAACGTAGTACTGACAAACTCTGCAACGCACAAGCTTTCTACAGACAAGCTCACTGTCACACACACATGCTCACTACAGAAAAGCTCACTGACAAACACATGCTCCTTACAGAAAAGTTTGTAATAAACATGGTCTAGATATTCTGTGGTCACCCTTTACTTTTTCCTGTGAACGAGTCATTGGCACAATGCCACACCTACAATGGAACAGATATGATGATATGCTTCTAAAACCTCGCTTTAGAGGGATCTGGTTATATATGCAGTGGAGAACCTCAGGCTTTATCAAACTGTTCCAAAACAATCTGACAGAATTCATGAGTGGTATGCACCGATTAGTAGAGCTATAACCAATGACACACGTACACACAAGGAAGAAGGCACACACACACACAAACTCACTCACTAGCAGGCACACACACACACAAGCTCACTCACCAGCAGGCACACACATACACATGCAAGCAAGCTCAGTCACTAGCAGGCACACACATAGCTTAATGTAGTGATTCTGGTGTCTATAGCCGGTCCCTGCAGGCTTTTCAACGTAAACACTGACTTTTCAGAGAAAAGGCAGTGTTTACATTGCTTCCTAGTGACACCTCTAGTGACTGTCACTCAGACGGTCACTAGAGGTGCGTCCTGTGTCAGTGCTGCACAGTGTGCATCACCTACATTCAGCACCTCCACGCTCTGAATGGAGGCGCTGAACGTTCCCCATAGAGATACAGACAGACAGACACACACATACCATGACAGACCCATACACTCACACTGACAGACTGGCTCACACATTACTGGATGACCGGCCAGAGGATAGAGCAGACGGGCCGCATGTTGGGTGGCCGTGTAGGGCGGGCGGGTGGTGGTGCGAATAGGGAGGTGTGTGGTCTCTGCTCTGCTCCCCAGCAAGCAGCTTAATAAGACGTCATTTCCTGCCCTGGTCTCATTAAGTAGCGTGCGAGGGTGGGGGAGCAGATACAGCACAGGTCTCCCTCCGGTCGCCTCCACACCAGCTGTCTGCCCGGCCCCAGATGCCGTGGCCCACTGGGAAATTTCCAGGTATCCTGGTGGGCCAGTCTGGCCCTGATAGAGTACAGAGTCCTTATAAAGACACAGATGTGGAGTTAGGGATTATATATTTTATATGAATTTAACTTATTATAATCGGTTTTAAATCTTCCCTATGCATTTAATTCACTCATGTATTTAGATATTTAATTTACTATAACGAAGCCACCTTTAACCTTTAGCCCGGTTCAGTCTCCTTTGAGAAATACTGATTAGAATGAGTTGCTGTTTAGTATACTTTAGGCCTAGGGAGACCGCTCTGGATTGAAGGCAGTGTAAATTACTTGCTCAGCTTTTTGAGCCCTTCAATGAAACATTTAATGTATTTTTTCCCTTTTGCATATCTTTATGTTTTATATAGGAACGACTGTGATGGTCATTCAATTATTTCATGTAAAAAGATCGATATTATTGAAATATACGTAATGCACTTCAGAATGTTTGTGAACAATCATGTTACCAAGACAATGCACTTAGTTCAGTATGTTTAAGCACTCCCATTCAAGAGACATAAATTTGAATGCCATTGATTGAATAAACAACACACAACTCCAAATCGGATGGTTAATGGAAGGTATCTGAGAAGCCCCTTGGTAAAGCGCTACACTCCCACCATAGTAAAGTAAACTACAAAGAAGTAAATACATGAGGAAGTGGATTATACACGGTGAAATGCATTTGAGGAGTTGAAAGATGTGTTTATATACTCAGTGATTTCTTTTACTTTAATTCAATTTTTGTTTTGATTTTATCATACTTTGTAAATTCTTGACGCAATAAAGGAAAGCTCTCAGCTTACTAGAATAAAGGGTAGTTTTACCATTAATTAACAAACTGCGAGTTATATTTAGAGCAAGTTCAGAAAGCTCTCAATATATCTACCATTTGGAGGTTCTGACATAATGCACTATTTGTAATCTCTATATTTTATATTGATAAATAATCATAGAGTCTGCTGTTAATCAGAACAAGGGGGGAGCTGGAATCTTTAGGACAACAATGTTTTTTCCCGCTTTAACCAAGTTATGTGGCTCAAAATATTGCGAGTGGAAACTTTATATTATTTTTGAAACATTATATAAACAGTATACATTATGTGATTTTTCTTAAAGGACCACTATAGTGCCAGGAAAACATACTCGTTTTCCTGGCGCTATAGTGCCCTGAGGGTGCCCCCACCCTCAGGGACCCCCTCCCGTCCGGCTCTGGAAGGGGGAAAGGGGAAAAAACTTACCTTTTTCCAGCGCTGGGCGGGGAGATCTCCTCCTCCGATCCTCCTCCATTCCTCCCATTGGGCTGAATGCGCACGCGCGGCAAGAGCTGCGCGCGCATTCAGCCGGTCGCATAGGAAAGCATTCACAATGCTTTCCTATGGACGCTGGCGTGCTCTCACTGTGAAAATCACAGTGAGAAGCACGCAAGCGCCTCTAGCGGCTGTCAGTGAGACAGCCACTAGAGGCTTTGGGAGAAGGCTTAACCCATTCATAAACATAGCAGTTTCTCTGAAACTGCTATGTTTATAAAAGAATGGGTTAATCCTAGCTGGATCTGGCACTCAGACCACTTCATTAAGCTGAAGTGGTCTGGGTGCCTAGAGTGGTCCTTTAAGCATACTGAACTTCATATACCGTAAAAATAATCTGAACTAAAAGATACATTTAAGGTGCACAAATGCTCCACTTTGTGTATACAGTATTGAGGAGTTCATAATAAGATTTTTAGAATGTTTTATGAAATTTGTGTTTTCAGAGCACTACCATCCAGTCTGAGCATGGCCACAAGGATGTTCTTTAACCTTCTGGTCTCTTTGAAAGCCAAGATTTTTCTGCATGGAGTTTCATTAGTTGGACACAATCTTGATCCTGGCAGAGAAATCACTGAGACATTGTCTTGAGGATCCTACAAACCCATGTTTAATTTTTCAATTACGGAAAAAGACAAGTGATTCCTTAAGATTCAATCGTGTAACTAGGTACTCAGTTCGACACAGCAAGGTCCATGGTGAGATTGCTTGTAGGAAATAGGTTTGTTATTGCAAGGTTTCTGTAGTTCTTTTCTATTACAGTTATAGGCAAGAGGTTTCATAAGTCTTCTGGGAAGACTTTTTTCCACTGTAGGGCTAATGAAAGGATGAGAATTCCTTAAGAAGCCTTTATATTGCACTTATCAAACTGAAGTATTGACCAGATGATTTCAGCCTCTTCTTGGGCCAAGAGATCAATTAGATGATCAACATGCAATTAGAGCATCAACATGGGTTTCCCACTGGAGAGATGTCGTGGGTAATTCTTACAACAGATGCACGTCAGGCGATATGGGAGCTGGGAGCTGAGCAAGTGCATGTAACACAACATCACTCTCAAGACATAATGCCTTAAAAATTTAGTGAAACTCCAAACAGACTATAGGGTTCTTCTCCACCTTCAGCTCCTTCTGTTTCAATGATCAGTAAACAAAAAAAAACCAACTACATCTTAGTAGTGTCTGAACAACCAACTGAGCATTAGAACTAAACAGATAATCAAGTTTTTTTTGTCCTGCACTAAATTAAGCCCAAGAGATTCTCAAATGACTGGTTGTAATATACCTTCTGGGACAAATAATATTGATGCATATTTAAGATGTAAAAAAGTCTTCCAAGATATTATGCATAGACGGGTGTTTCCTTGGATAGAACTTATGGCTTTGAGAAAGAATCATCAATTGGTACGGAACTTTTTGTGACACCTTACCCTTTGGCAGACACAGAAGTCCTGACCTGTAGGTGGCATGCCAGTGTAGGATACTTTTTTTGACCAGTGCCTTTCATTTCCACCCTGCTAAAAAATATCCAGAGATTTTCCCCCTTCTCAAAATCCTGTCCCTAAATACTCCACTAGATCTGGTGAATCATCAACATTTTTCATGTCAAGTTCCAGTGTTTGATTCTTCCCTGTCATTTCTCATGGTTTATGGCAAAGAAGTTGAAAGATGACAACTAAGAGATAATTTTTTATCCTGTCGTCAATATCCTTCTTGAGGGAGAAAAGTGTTCTAAAATCTAAGATTGTCACAAAGAAAGGAAATGGTATATAGTAGCCCCCTAGGGAGCGGAAGCCCAAATGAGGCTTGGAAGAGATAGGGAATGGTATATATTATCCCTTGGGAAGGGGAAGACAAAAAGAGGCTTAGTTGGACAAAACTTAACTTTTAGGAAATAATTAAAAATGCAGTACACTTGTCCTAATTACCCAAAAAGAAAACCCAACTATATGCATAATTAAAACAAATAGAGGCCAATATGGACACAGAAAGGGCCTGCAAAAGGGAATTATCCACTAAACAGTGCCATTTAGCGATGGTGTAAATCGCTCAATAGAATTAGTGAAAAGGATACTATTTATACCTTATGAATCAGGAAAACAATGGTAATAAACTTGTCCAATCAGTAGCGTCTATAAACAAAAGGGGACCATACACTAAATGAATATTAATCTTGTGAGCACTTCTTTAACATCAATTTAGTGCAAGTACGACGTGCTCAGCAGAGATACAACAGAGATAGAAATTATGTCAAAGGGGGGTAAATAGTAGTATACCTATCAAGGAGAATGGTCTCTTAATACAATCGTCTGTGAGATCACCTTGAGTGGTGAGCTGGACTTAGCTACAAATAATGATGTGCTAACGAAGGATTGTATCTAGGTACAAGATATTGTAACAATTATCGTTATCAACACCATGGCTGGCCAGTGTGCATGAAATAAGAAAGTATCAGTGAAGTTGCCTATGATAGAACTGTGCCTTCGAGGGCACCCCTTAACCAAAAGCCACTATGCATTAGTTGGGTGATGCCTTGCCCTATGTTACTGGTGTAACAGCAAGAGGAAACCTGGGTATTGCGTAGACCCTGACGTTTAGGGTGATAAGAATCGTTCATCTGTGTGAGCCCTAACCGAAGGCTCGTTCCTGTCTGGTAACTGTTTTCCAAATTTGGTTGGATTGGCAATCGCTTTTAATAAAGTGGCTGAAATGCAGGTAAAAGCTCACTCTTGATACAGTGGCTTTCAGTACCCCTGATGCGCGTTTCACCACTCTAACTCATCAGAGGGTCCGAACAATTTGGAGCTCATATGAAAGAAGAACATTAAGATAAAAAGGAGAGACGGAAGACTTGAGTGAAAAATGGGGACTTTCCATACGAAACATGGTCACTTGGCAAAATTCCAAAATATTGGAATTTTAATGTTTTGTCCAAAATAGCTTATTAGAAAATTCTCCAACTAATCAATTTTTCTAACTTGGCTATTTTGTACTTATATATGCAATTCCCTTGTCAATTCTGCAGAATTCCAGTGAATAGCCAAAATCTAAATTCTTCTCAAATCCCCAGGGTCATGATAACATCTTTTTATAATCTTCTGAAATGAACAGTTGGACCAATTACAATTTCACCATGATCAGTACAAAACACCGTGCAATTTATTTGTCATTAATATATAAAGTTTCAAACGGTTTAGGCTTATGTCAGCTAGTTAATAATAGTGGAAATGCAGTCACATGTAGCATCCTCCAGTTATCTCTGATTTTGTTAATTTAAAAAAGTGTTCATTTGCCCCTTAGAACTTGTAAAGAAATACATTAAAATATCTCCACTCATCACATTGTGTTTGAGTACCAGGCTTACAGCAGGAAGCGCTTGGTAAATACTCTCAGGGTGATTTAAAAGTGAATTTAAGCTAATGTTAAGCTAATGTAGCTGAAGTGAAGCTAGACATGTTTTCCATTTGGGCTATTTTGGCCTAAATTGCGAAATTTACTTTAAATTCTAGACAATTCCTTATTTAGTGGCTAATTCTGTGTAAATTGAGTGTTCTGATACCTGGGTGGAGAGCAATCCCTACAGTTACTACCCTGCAGGTCAGCAGCTGTGACACTGTCACCTTGAGGGCCAGCTGGCCTCCAGCCATGGCCTGCTAGCCCACCCTCTGCAATGCAGCCTGGACCCTGGCTTTACTCCCAGATAAACACATCCAGGCCACAGCAATAGCCAGCATCCCAGCCAGCCCCTTGCAGAGGGCCATTACCCCGAGCCATGCACAGAGCTGGCTGCCACTCCCAGACAGGGTGGCCCAGCCCATGTCGGACACGGTGATTTAATGCTCAATAATTACCTGTCACCCCAACACCGGCAGTGCCGCCCCCTGCACCGCATCCCCCAGCTCTGCTCTCAAGATGCACGGAGACAGTTGCCAAGGGCTTTCTCGATTGGCAACGTGTCCAGCCAATAGGAATGAGAGGAGGTCGCCTCTTAGCCAATCAGCGGTGGTGCTGATGGAAAGGGGCGGGAGTCAGCGCTAAGACCAGGTAGTGTCCTGTGAAACCCCTTCAGCTTGTCAACTTGGCTTCTATTGGGCTTTCCTCACGGCGCGGCTGATTGGACAGCTCATCCCATGATCTGATTGGTCATGCTGTGGCTCTGTCTGATGTGATTGGTTAGGTTTATCATCCTCTGTCTGCCAGTTGTGGTTGCAGGGTATATTGATTTGGATGGCACTGAATGGGAAGGAGAGACTGCATTATGTGACCCACAAACATATATAAAACCAGAACACAACAACAATAAAGGCATCAACATACAGAAAGGGGTATTTTTATATACACCCCTATATACTTATTAACCCTTGATAGGGAACACATGGGATGGGCAGCAGCATTGTAACAAAGCTGTGTGATACACTATATTGGGGCTGATGTGTATTGTAGTCATTGCTGCCGCCCATCCCATGTGTTCCCTATTAAGGGTTAATAAGTGTTTAGGGGTGTATATAAAAAATACCCCTCTCTGTCTCAGTGGAGATATCTTTGCCGGAAGCAAGGTGAAGGGTCAGTGTAGGACCCACTTGGGGGGGGGGGTCTGCCTTGACGTCGGCAGGCGGGCATTCCCTCCAATGGCCATTGGAGTAACTAAATGACCTCCATTTGTCTAAATATACATAGGGATTAATGAGAGAGCGCAGGTAACTTGTTTTTCTTTGGTTTTTACTATATATTGGGGCTGATGTTTACTGTAGTCATTGCTGCCATCCAGTAGTGATGGGAGTGAGCGCAGGACTTATCTTTCTGCATATTGCTGAAGTGCTCCAAAAGGGAGATAATAATGAAAAGCCTGATGCGCGTTTCAGCGTGAAACCACGCCGTCCTCAGGGGCAAACATGTTATGATGTATATGCGGGCTGTGTTGTAATGTATGTGAGAACTGTTATAATATATGTGCGAATAGTGTTATAATGTATGCACATGCTCAGGGTCTGGGCCCACTGGGGCCCGCCTCCAAATACCGCCCACAGGGTCTGCCTCCAAATACCGCCCACAGGAATACACACACAGACACAAACACACACACTGATACAAAAGGACGCAGATACATACAGACATACATGCATACAGACAGACACAGACATACACACATGCATATATAGACATACATACAGACATATACATACATACAGACAGACAGACAGACAGACATAGACATACATGCATGCATACATAGACATACATACAGACATGCATGCATACATAGACAGACATGCATGCATACAGACATACATACAGAGACAGACATACATGCATACATACACATACATACATGCATAAATAGACATACATACAGACAGACATAGACATACATGGACATACATACAGACATACATACAGACACATACATACATACATACACAGAGCTAATTGAAGATTATAGGGGAGGGGAGGAGAGAAGGGGAGGGTTATAGGGGAGGGGGAGAAGGTTATAGGGGAGGGGGGAGAGGGTTATGGGGGAGTTGGTTATAGGGGAGGGGGGAGAAGGTTATAGGGGGGAGGGTGGGGGAGAAGCTGTGGGAGTGGGGGGAGATATGGGAGATGGGGGTGGAAGGGAAGGAGAAGGGTGGGGAGAAGGTTATAGGGGAGAGGGGAGAAGATCATAGGGGTGAGAAGATTATAGGGGGGGAGATTATAGAGGAGGGAGAAGATTATAAGGGAGGGGGGTAGATTTGAGGAGTGGGGGAGAAGATTATAGGAGGGGGGAGAAGACAGAGGGAGAAGATTATAGGGGAGGAGTGGAGAAGATTATAGGGGGGAGAAGATTATAGGGGAGGGGGGGAGAAGATTATAGAGGGAGGAGAAGATTACAGGGGGGAGATTATAGGAGGGAGGAGAAGATTACAGGAAGGGAGGGGAGTGAGAAGGCCACAGGAGTGGGGAGAAGATTATGGGGGAGTGGAGAAGGTTGGAGGGGAGAAGATTACGGGGGGAGAAGAAGAGAAGATTAAAGGGAGGGGAGGAAGTAGAGGGGGAGGGAGAAGAGAGGGAGGGGGAGAAGAAGAGAAGATTACGGGGGGAGAAGAAGAGATTACAGGGAGGGAAGGGGGGAGAAGAAGAGAAAATTACAGGGGGGAGGGGAGAAGATTACAGGGAAGAAGAAGAGAAGATTACAGGGAGGGAGAGAAGAAGAGATTACAGGGACGGGGGAGAAGAAGAGGAGAACACAGGGGAGAAGAAGAGGAGAACACGGGGGGTGGGAGATGAGAACGTAGGGGAGGGAGAGACCACTAAAGGAGGGAGGGGGCAGTGGAGAAACCACTAGGGGAGGGGTGTGAGGAGAGACCGCTAAGGGAGGGGGGTGGAGGATAGACCACTAGGGGAGGGTGGGGGGAGAGGAGGGACCACTAATGGAAAGTCGGGGAGAAAAAGAGACCACTAAGGGAGGTGGGGGGAAGAGGAGAGACCACTAAGGGGCAGGGGAGATCTCTAAGGAAAGGAAGGGAGAGCTCTATAGGACAGGGGGCAGGACAGGGAGCTCTTTCACACCACGCGCGCACACACACACACACACACACAATGCATCCCTATACACACAGAGAAACACACAATGCAACCCTTACACATAAAGACAATGCATCATTTGCACATATACACAGAAACACACAATGCATCCCTTACACACACACATGCAAACACACACTGCTTCTCTTACACACACACAGAAACACAATGCATCTCTTACACACACTCAACGCACCCCTTACAGACACACACACTGCATCCCTTACATACACAGAAACACACTTTGCATCCCTTATGTATACAAACACAGATTCACACAATGCATCTCTTACACACAACAAGAAACACACAATGCATCCCTTATACACAAACACTCACTGCTTTCTATCCCTTACACAAAAACACACTGCTTCCATTACACACAAACACACTGCATCACCTACACAAACTGGTATCCCTATACACTACATTCCGTAAGCACACACATTAGATCCTCTACAGTAACATATAACACATCCCCTACACACTATACTCCCTGTGAGCGAACTCATGGGTGGAACATGTAGGTGGACTTATGGGTGGGCTTTATGGGCATACTCACCGTCAGGCCCTGGGGCCCAGACCTTGAGCTATGTAAGAGGCCCCAAAAAATGGAGCTGCTTCCCGTTCTCCCAGAACATTGAATTTTGTGACCACAGTTACAAACAGCCTCCAGAGATCCTGTTCTACACCAGACCAGTGGAGCCAGACTGCAGCCAGAGCCCATCACCATCCTCATCTGATTGTAAGTAGGCAATCTAGTATATTATTAGTGACACTAATCTCTAATTTACCTCACATTAAATCGACACTATAGTCCCCAGAACCACTGCAGCTTAATAAAGTTGCTCTGATGTCTATAGTTTGTCCCTGCAGGCTTTTTAATGTAAACACACACTGTGTGCAGCAATGGCACTAGTTCATATGGCAGATCATATGGGTGGGGCATTGCAATGTCCCGGGGGGGGGGAGGGCAAATTTTTATTTTGCCCAGGGCGTCAAAAATCTTTGCACCGGCCCTGGGCGTAAGAGAAATACTGAGACAAAGTAGTCCCTACTGTGTCTGTATATCTCTTGACTGGGGAGGGGGGGGGGCAAATCTTTCTTTTGCCTAGGGCGGCAAAAATCCTTGCACCGGCCCTGTGTACGGGCTGTGTTATAATGTATGTGAGAACTGTGTTATAGACATATAGACATACAGACAGACAGGCATGCATAGAGACACATACAGACATAGACATACATACCGACATACATACATACATACAGACACATGCATGCATACACAGACATACATACAGACATTCATACATGCGGGCTGTGTTATAATGTATGTACAGGCTGTGTTATAATGTATGCGGGCTGTATATGTATATGCGGGCTGTGTTATAATGTATGTGCGAACTGTTATAATGTATGTGCTGGCTATGTTATATGTGCGAACTGTTATAATGTATGTGAAGGCTGTGTTATAATGTACAGTTGTGCTCAAAAGTTTGCATACACCGGGAGAACTTTATCAAAGTGTTTTTGATAAACAATTTGGATAAAGCCTACCAAGGAGAAACGCGTTAAGTGTATTGTTTATAACTTTTTAATCGCTATTTTATATTATATATTGTATTACTTTTATAATTTTTTTTAAAATTAAAGTACTTTTTTATTTGACCTAACGTTGCTGCTGTTGTATTGTTTGGAACTATATCCCTGGTGGGGATCATACCACCCAAGCGCTTTGGATTGAGCAAACCGGAACTTGCTCTTTAGCTCTTTTTTTTTATGAGGATACCCCCTACCACACCTATAATTCGAAAAATTACCTCTGCACTTGATCCATAGGTGGGGATTATTCCACCCAGGCGCATACACTGGAGCTGTATTGAAGCTCCAGGAAAGTGTGAGTGGACATCTTTTATTTTACCTATCACCACTACAGTTTTAAATACTACACTATTATTTTCTTCTCTGGTTCTCTCCACATATACCTTGTCAAGGATTACTGAAGCGCTGCACCTACCCCCTTATCTTCAGGGGAGAGCCTCAAATTTTCCCAGCCTGTTTGGCTCTACCAGCTTAATGTGCATTTGCATGTCATAGGTAACTGACCTCATGACTAGTCAATCAATGCCCAGTGATAAACAAGTATACAATGCTTGCCTTTTTGTAGGTCCACGCAGTCATGGAAATCAACCATGAAATTATTATACGGTCAAAGACAATTGTGTAGTGTAAAAAGTGCAAAATCTGCCCCTTTAAACTGTTCCAGGAGGCAGGAACAGCTGCAAAACGCTCAGCAAGACAAGGATCTAATTTCACAGAATTCTGAGTAGGCCTGGTGTCACATGGCCGCCTAGTGAACCTAAACGCTGGTCTCACTCCATGAATTTAATAGATACAACAGCGTTTTTTTAGAGGAGAGGTAGAAGAGCGAGAGATGCCCAATTGCTGCTTAAGAGCCAGGGGAAGTCCCCTTTTCCGTGCCAAAAACAGCTAATTTCAATGACTGGCACTTAGCTGCGGCAGCCTGGAACTCCGCTCTGGATCTTCAGACCGGTCAAACTTCATTAGATGATTTCTTGAGCTAGGCACGTCAGATCCGGGTGCTTTCTGGAGAATTTTCTTGTGGGAATGAGATTTATCAGACGAGGTATGATTTATATGTCCATGTTATGTTTAAATTATGTTTTATTATTCTGTAGCCCTGGAGTCTGGGGACTTAATAAAATTAACATTTAGTCATTGGTTTATCTCCCAGACTCAAGAGATTCCAGGGCGGTAACCCATATTTCTTGTGTGTGACCCCCTAATGACGTTTTCCCTATATAATCCTACCTTGGTGACAAAGGTGTTATTCTTTCCTTCACTAAGAGTCGTCGTAATCCTTGGGGAGGTGGGCTATAATAACTATAGCGGCATGTCTTCCAACCTGAGATGACTTTAGCAGAGATACTTGCTCAGAGTATTGGAGCTCTGCTGCATGTTAAAACACCAATAAAAGTGGATAAATAAATGCTTACTCTTTTTTCTCTGGGTCTTAAACAAATAGTTGTCAAATCGAGTACCATAAGCACCAGTGGGTAATACAGTAATGGATCTTTACAATCTTTAATCACTTAGAACATATAGAAGCAAATAGTGTAAAACAATAAAATACATGAAAAGAGATACACATATGATCCACTTACTAACACTAAAAGTGACCAGAAAGGTATGTAGCAGGTCCCAAAGACCTAAATTCGCCATTATATCATCTCCAGCAGCCTGTCCACCAATCAGCTCTGGGTCTGGATTTATGGCATCAGTTTTAAATACTACACTATTATTTTCTTCTCTGGTTCTCTCCACATATACCCACCAGGGATATAGTGGATATGCAATTTCCAAACTGATGTAGAGTCCACAACCAAAAGCTCTGTGTGTGACCAGTGTCGTCTGAATAGACTTTATTAAGAAGAGCTAAACCAACCTAAGAAATTATTATATCACTTTAATCTGGAAATTACAACATTGAATAAAACACTGAAAATCACCTGTAACTTGAGATAAACTTATTTTAATGTAATTCTCAAGATTTTGTTTTACTCATATTAACATATAGTAAGTAACTTCACAATCCAGTTTAGTCCCCTAACCGTCAATCAGACAGCAGGCCCTGTTACTTCCTGGTTGTTTAGCTCAGTGGTGCTATAATCAAGAGGCAGGCAATTCCTCAAAATTGAATACATTTTTCATTGAGTTACATTAGGAAGTCTGTAATTGGACAGCCAAAGAAAGTCTAGGCTAGGGAAGAAGGGGCTTGCAAAGGTTTCAGACAAGAGATCTGCAGCTTCTGCAAACTGTTTTTAGATATATCTCCAATGAAAGAAAAAGCATAATTAACCCCTTAAGGACACAAGAAGGAAATATTCCGTCATGATTCCCTTTTATTCCAGAAGGTGTGTCCTTAAGGGGTTAAATGAACGCATGCTTTCATTGGGGATAGTTATTTTAAGTTTATTTTACATTTGGGCAGTGAAGTGTCCCTTTAAAACAGAGCTTCCCTACAACTTTCCAACCCGTCTTAAGAAACACTTACACATAGAAACACACACACAAACACTTGAGTACACACAATGATGGTTGCATGCACGCAAACCTTTTTTTCCCTCTCTCCTTATCTTATTTTGAGAGGAAGTGATACAGGCTCTTTGCTGTTCCAGGTGAGTGGTGTTAAGTGAGCAGTGTACAAGGCCACAGTGCCCTTTCTCTTATTCTCCCTTGGGTACCAACTGCCTATCTGAGAGAAGTGTTTATGGTAGTAACTTCATGTGATATAGTACAGTGGACAGCACCACCTGATAGCACATGATGGACGCGTGAGAACTGCTCAGTCACAACTCTAATGTCTGAAGGAATGATCCAGTGTTTCATTGTACCACAATAATGTTAGTAAAGAAGTTTAAGCAATAGATTTTGCAACTGTCATGCATATCTTCCAGATTAAAATCAGGTAAGGAGTGGTTTAAAACAATGGTGTGCATATAGTCCTACTGTTGGTTTAGTTAATCATTGTGAAGCATACCCATTATTTTTAAAAACCATTTATTTTAATATTTTGTGAGAAATACCATACAATGGACAAATTACAACAAATATGCTTAACTTAGACACAAACAATAGTTTAAAAATTCTCAGAAATCTTAGAAATCCTCTTTCACTTATGAACAAATGTACAATACATTTTCCTTGTTCCACTTTTATATCAAGTTTTGATTTGTATATCAAGTTTTGACCAAAAACAGTCTTCACTTCTTCGATACATTGTTAAATTCTTTGGCAATGATTGGTTCACTGATCTTTAATACAGTACAGTACAAATCATCCTCTCCGTCCATTTCCCAATAATAGAACAAAGTATCGGCTTTTTCATAATCTCAGACCTGGAAAAGGATTTAACCAAATATTAACAAGTGTCCCTTGTAAGCCAATGTCCCTCGTAAGAACTGCAGCCAGTTAATGTCAGGTATAGCAGACCACCGGGTTTAGATAGTCTTTTTCAGGCATGTAATGTGAGAAAAAGGTTAGGAAAGCAAATACAATTGTGAATTAAATGCTTAGAATAGTCAGACAGTTTTAAGAAAACTACCTTTTTGCTCAAAAAAAAAAAAAAAAAAAAGCTATCTTTTCCACTGGTTGAAGAACACAGAATATCTGTCAAAACTACACTATGTAATATAATTAACCATTACAATTGTTTACCAGAATGGCCCGTGTGTCTGTACTGATCATAATACTGATTACAATGTTAATCTCAATATGACAGGTATATCTATTTGTGTGACATGTTAATAAATGTTTGTTCCACCGCAACTCAATCTCAAAAACAGTAAAACATGGTGTGTCTGGCTTACAAATTTTCAACTCTTTCTTTTTCTTGTCAAACATAAACCTCTTTGCCATTCTTTTATTTTCTGTGACCTATACCCCTTCTTCCATAGCAACATAATAAATATAACTTTAAGAAAAAAAAGCTGATATTTGAGAAAAAATAAAAATTCCAGATCTAGTTCTTTTATGTCCAGTGCACAAAAAAACCCCAAATGGAATGTGCACACCTATTCAGTCTTATTGTGATCTAGCACCTTATAAGGCAAACTGGAAGATGCTTCTTCACTAACGACAGGAAGTGTTGCAGGTGTGTAGATCTCGGATAAACTGTCATTGCTTGCGAGAGCCCCATAGGAAAATGAGCTTCCAAAATCAGGCTGAATTGCATTGCCATTATCATGCATGGTCTGAAGACCTACAAGAAAATACACAAATATAAATTATTAGGTAGTTTTGTGGTATAGACTTTACTAGCATGTTCCTTGCACTGTGATTCCCCAAATTTGTAATTCTTCATGAACCAACCAACACTGTTTCCTTTACCCTCCATTTACTAAACTCAAAATTTCCCGTCTGTTTAACAATCTCACTCTTTGATTCCACAGACTTGATATTGTGAAAGGATTATGGGGCCCTGGCATAAGTGAATAGAAAACTTCATGCAAATATTTGCCTTTTTTAAAACCGTCCATGTCCAAAATTCCCAGAAATCGAATGTTTTCATTGTCAATAACTGACTTTTTAGAATTATGTTCCTGTATTCGATTCATAAATATTTTGAAATTTGAAAGAGAACTACATAAAATTCTTTTTTTTTTTTTTTATAAAGTAAAACAAATATAGTGAGATGTGGTAAAGAGTGGCGTATACCTGATTGTATATAATAATTTTTTTACGGACACTATATATTGGTAGAAAGGGGTAAAATAACAAAAATAAATAAATAAATAAATAAATAAATCTCTTAAAAAAATAAATAAAAAAAAAAGTGGTGGTGGCACAAATTTAAAGAGACAAGGGAACACTAATAAAAAGGAAAATAAAAGAAACTAAAAGGGGGGAGAAATGGTACTTGAACAGATATACCCCTTTCTGATAAACTTGGAATTGAATCCTCCTAAGAACATAATCTGTTTAATTACATCATCAAAAAGCATTAAAAAAAAAAAAATTATTTTGTATTATAAAAAACAAAAAAAAAGAAATAAAGAGTTACATAAAATAAAAAATAAATTAAAAAGGGATAAAAAAAATAAAAAAAAATAATAAAAGTATTATATCCAGAGGTGAAAAGAGGTCTTGGTGCACCAGATATAAGTAAAATCTACGATTCTATTTCATTTACTCATATTTCAAAATGGTTCAAAATAGATGGACAACATCAAAAGATACGTATAGAAAATGAAGCGTTAGTGGTAGATAGAAAAAAAAATATAAAGAATCTAATCCTAGATATATTATGAACAGATAAAAATATATCACAGATGAAGAGACTAACTTCCCCTAGAATGAATGGTAGTATGAATGTGTTATTGGTGTTAGTGTTGTCACTGTCCTCTCGGTTACAATGAATGAAGAAAATGAATTGAATTTAAAATCTATAACTAGATGAATTTCTCCAAAGTTTAAAGGGACACTATAGTCACCAGAACAACTACAGCTTATTGAATTTGTTCTGGTGAGTAGAATCATTACCTTCAGGCCTTTTGCTGTAAATACTATCTTTTCAGAGAAAATACAGTGTTTACATTACAGCCTAGTGATAATTTCACTGCCCACTCCTCAGATAGTGGTTAGAGATCCTTCCTGGGTCATGGCTGCCTAAAATGCATCCAAACATTCAGTGTCTCCACCCTGTGCATGCAGACACTGAACTTTCCTCATAGAGATTCATTGATTCAATAAATCTCTATGAGGAGATGCTGATTGGCCAAAAGGCTGTGTTTGAATCATGCTGGCTCTGCCCCTGATCTGCCTCCTTGTCAATCTCATCCAATCCTATAGAGAAGCATTGTGATTGGATCAGGCTACCACTTCTGATGATGTCAGCAGACTGCTTGTTTTTCTGAGGCAAACAGCATGCAGAGTTACAGCTTCAAGCTTGAATACAGTAAGTTTTGCTATATTTATGGAGGCATGAGGGACCCTGGGGGGCTAGATGGTGGTTTTAACACTACAGGGTCAGGAATACATGTTTGTGTTCCTGACCCTATAGTGATCCTTTAATATTTTATATAGTATGTAATTGTATTGTAATGTAATGTTTTATATTGTATTGCAATAATAATAATCATAATAATAAAAAAAAGATCCAATTGAAAATTAAACCAAAATTGTGCAAGACAGAGCCAGGGGAGGTGTGGCTATGAATGCAGAAACAAAATGGATTTAACTCTTAATTGTCAGATAATTGGGCAGAGAGACTGCAGCAGCATGATCTATGCACCAAAGCTGCTTAATTAATTCAAAGTTGTTTTGGTGCTTACAGTCTCTCCTTGGCAAAAAAGTGTTTGTTAAAAATGAATGGGAAGGTGAGACTGAGAAAGCTTCAACAGTATCAGTCTTACGTCATTAACGATCAAACAATAGATTGTGATCACAGCCTAAAATGAATATGCCATACCAAATTTAAAATAACCATTTAATTACATACATGATAATGTTAGGTTGCAAAATAGCATGTCTGTGGCAGTTAGTATTACCTGGCATAGGGTTCATTGAAACGTAAGGTTCAAAGCTTTTTGGTTTTTTTCTATTTCTTGTGATAAGGAAGACTCCAAGAAAGGCAATAAGGCACCTTCAAGAAAAACAAATTATGCTAATTAGAGAACAGATACAACAAATACATTGATGTTACACATAAATATTTAATTACAGATGTAAAGACTACAATTGATAAAAAACAAACATTCCATATAATAATATATTAATATCCATTAGGCTAATACTAAAAGAAAAAAATAAAACTACCAAGATAGCTACTGCACTGTGAGAATTGCTAGAAACTCATATTCTAGCAATACTCATAAAAAGATGAAAGAGTAGGGATAAAAATGTCCATTCATCCTCTTGGCATTAATGAGATGAGTTTGGCTCTAGAGAGGAGTTTTATAATACTTGTGGCAGCATACCAGACGTCGTTCTGGATGGTAGGAAGCCAAAAAGGACTTTGGATCCATGTGATGTTCAGGTACATAGACATGGACTTCTATTAACAGCACCCTGAATTACTAAAGCCATTCTGGAGCTGTTACTGCCTCTACACTGAAACTCTCTGGTCTGTGAAGCTCACAATACCCAGGGGTGAACTCCTTATCTCTTGACGAAGATATGAAAACTGGATGAGACTTCACTAGAGACACACAAAAACAGGAGGAAGGGGGTACTGAAAGAGATATAAGTAGGGCAGAGACAATTGGGGAAAAAGGCATAGATGGGAAAGAAAGTAGACCGGTACAACAGGAGGAGCAGAAATAGTGTCAGTGAACAGTGACAATGGCAATTAGACAGTGACCTTTAGATGGAAGGGGATGATCTCTGGCTACATTTCTATAGATGCCATTAGCCATGTGAAGGAAGGGGACACACCTTGATTACTGGGCTAAATGTACAAACTGGCCTTTAAATCACTTCAACTAAATATTTAATGAAGAAACTTCATATTGACATATATTATTAATATACTATTTTATATTTCTAATCTATATTTTCATCTTTATGATCTAATGTTCTGCCCATGAATGGTAAAGTAAAACCAGTATAGCCACTACAGGTGAACCCCCGATGTGTCTTTGCAAAGCTGCTGGCAAGGAGGGTGTTCTGCACCTCCAGCAGATAAAGCCAGCTTCAGACACTATTTTTTTTTACATTTTCCTAGCACTCACTAAATGTCTAAGAGTACAAATTCTATGTTCATCGGCCTGCGCTCTGACTCAAAGTGCAGAGATTGGGAGAAGCAATTACCTTGGACAGTACAGGAGGCTAAAAAACTTGAAATACGAAGGTCAAATTTGTGAATTTGGAAAAATTCTTCCACTATGTCATTCTGTTAAATATATATTTATTGCTACTGGCTAAATTGCAACAGTGAAGAAATTGTTGGAATGTGACAAAATAATTTGTTTTTTTCCCCAGCTTACCCTAAAACAAAAATGCACACGTGAAGCACGTCTTCTTCACGGAAATCTAAGTAAAATACTGCTCCTGCAATGAAATTTAAAATGAAAATTAAATAAAGGAGGTACAGTTGCTAAATTAACCGAGTACTATAGCATTAGGAATACAAATGTATACTTTTAAGTCTATATTGTCCTAATAGATTATGCACAGGCTCAACAGGTTAGGCATTTTAATGTAGGTTTATTAGAAACAGGAACATAAAATAAAAAAAAATATGGCATTTTGGCCCATATGCCTTAGTCATGTATACATTCTATACATGACTAAGGCCTATGGGCTGAAATGTAGATTTTATTTTGTGTTCATGTTTCTAATAAACCTACACTAAAATGCCTAACCTGTTGATTCTCTACAATTGTTTCAGCTTGGAATCCTCCACCACGGTTAACTAGACAAGGCACAGTATTTCACAAAACACCATAGAGAAGTTAGCTTCCATGCCCTTGCAGATATGTCAATGTAAGATTCTTTGGGCACTTACCAGCAGATATAGCTATAGTTGTACAGAGAATATAATTAACACTTGCAATCAGAGCAGAATCATACAGCTGAGATGCCTGGGACAAAAATCTGTTGTAAATGAGAGATGAAAATATATCAAATCGTTAATTTCACACAAAATACTGCTAAAAGTGAATCTGATTAAAACAAAGAATACCTCGAAATTGTATGATTTAATGTATTTATTTGGTGCAATGGTCTAACATTCATTGTAGTTGTTAGAAAAAGTATGTACTCTCTAGAAGAAATCAGCCCTACAACTCGCGTAAAATGTCAAATACAACTTTGGTAAAATGTAGTTTTGTGAACTGAATTGTGCATGCTCACAAAATTATTAGCTTAGATACCATAAATTTGTTTACAAAACTGGAGACGGGAATGTGTTACAATATTTAAACAGCACTGCCACCGTCTGGGGACGTTGCAAAATTCTCAAAGTTCCCCGATGGTGATATCGCCACTAGATCAAGGGGATGGCCACTTGTTAGGTCTGCTCCAACATCACTGCTGTTCTCTCGCGCATGTACTAGAGTACAGCATTGAGGTCTATGAAGGATCCCATGGTCCTTCCTGAGCCAATCTGATGAAATTTTGCTCTTTCTTTCTAATTTAGCAAAGTCAGTGTCCTGATCTTAGCAGGACTAGAGTATTATGGCATGCCCTAAATTGACTAATAGTGATGTCCCGAACGGTTCGCCGCGGACGGCGAACATATGCGCTGTTCAGTCCGCCCCCTCTGTCATCATTGAGTAAACTTTGACCCTGTACCTCAGCAGACACATTCCAGCCAATCAGCAGCAGACCCTCCCTCCCAGACCCTCCCACCTCCTGGACAGCTCACTAAGAATGCAGCTTCACAATGAATGTAAAATGGATGCTGTCCAGGAGGTGGGAGGGTCAAAGTTTACTCAATCATGACATAGGGGCGGACCGAACAGCGCATATGTTCGCCGTCCGCGGCGAACCGTTCGGGACACCACTATTGACTAACTCATACAAGAAAGTGTAGAAATATAAATAACATTGAATTGTTCTATAAAGAGGAATAGGCTAAATAACTTGTCGAAGAGCAGGATTGATCTTTAAAGGGGTGCACCATGGGGTAACAAACTGATAGATTTGCACACATATTGCAGGAAAAATAGCAGGTAAATAAATATTTTTTTATAACAGTGGATCAAAAAGTGCAATAAAACATGTAAGGTTAAAATACAAAAGGGTTATATAAGATATTTTCTTTATACATTATTCAGACTTACATTAATACAGGATATAGATAGTTATGGATGGCTCCTTGACTTTCTTTCACCATTGTACACTAATCAGCCACAACATTAAAACCAGGCAAAAAAAGGGGGATGATCTGACTTTTGCTGACGTTTGCAATACAGAAAGAAACAATGTGTGTGAACACCCACCACAGTGTAATAAGTGCTTAATTTATTTCAACAGAAAGGAACTTTCCTGTATAGGATAAGATTTCCAATAGTATCCCAGAAGACTTCCTCTTGTCTTCCACACAACACAAGCAAAAAAAGGGGGATAATCTGACCTTTGCTGAAGTTTGCAAACTTATATGGACGTTTAAACAGCAATTGCATGGATACTTGTTAAAACATAATATTCAGGGATATCATTTTTAATTAGAGGGGTAATAGCTTCTTGATCCAATGAAAGATCTGACTGCCATTATGGGATTATGGGATCAAAATTGGAAGTACTTCAAATAGGGGTTTTTTTTTTTTTTTTGCCTTTTTTTGGTTCAACAGCAAAAACAGATGTGAGAAAGGCTGAACTTGATGGACTATGTAAATAAATACAATTTAAAAAAATAAAAACAGGCTTTGTTAGCTATTGAGTTGTAAATCTATTTGTAGCATTAGTGATGCAGTGTGTTTCTATTTGTATCTAAAAAGCTGATTTACATAGAATGGGATAAGCAGCTGATTTAGAAAGTGCAAGGCAGCAGCAACATACAGGAGCTGCTTAGCTCCCAACAAAATATCTCTCTGCTACTGCTATCAGGGAAAACAAAGAGGCTGACTTGTTTACTTTGCAGCAGTAAGCCTTTTGTAAAGTTCCACTTACAGAGCTGTAAGTGTATTATTAGGAGGCTTGACTAACCAGCCTGATGAGATACTTTCTCCTTTTTCAAACATTCTTTAACTGGTTTTAAAATGTACCTTTCTGGTATTTACACTGAGGCTATTTTTCAAATATGTCACTGAACATTGTTTTCTTGCTTGTGAAAATGTACTTTCCCCTCACCTACAAATAATAGAATATGCCCTTAACTACATTATCGCCTGCTTTACACGTGGTTTACGAGATGAAGAAGGCCCTGCTCAGAGGCGCTTAGAGTATCAACAAGGCCCTGAGTGTACAAAGGAGCAGAGAAAATGTGTACAATGCAGTCATGCATGAACTTACGATGCTTGAGCAATAGCTGTAGCCACCATGCATACAAACATGATGTAGAAAATAGGGTATCCAAATTGCAAGGTATCCCGTATAGAAACCATGATCATACCAGCTAATGCTTTTACAGTAACAACTGTTGTTGAACCTAGGAAAGAAAAAATGTTTACAAGTTATCTTAAATACACGTCTCCCCATAGTAAGAAACAACAAATATAAACAAATGGAACACTTTAAGCTTCATAAAAGAGCACTGTCTTTCTACTGGTAAGAATATTTAACATGGGCTGGAATAGGGGGTCTAATGGTTTGGGTTTACAGAGGCTAGGGTTATTTGAATAGGTGGAAAACAAGAGAATAAAACACAGAAGACAAAAAGAAACAATGTAGTAATAGCAAAACAATTAATAGATCTGAATATTGCTAGATTATTCCATTAACCAGTGCTACACAAATCATAAATATATATTCGCAGGATTAGTTCACATACCCAGCAGTGCGACCAGTAGCAAGATAATGATCATGTAGTTTGCATTCTTCTGTTTGTAGTAGTACAGCAATGAGCAGAAAGCTAAAATCTCCACCAGCTACAAAGAACAGACATCATTAGAGCCATACAAGAGTATTCCCATGATCTACTTCCTGTGACTTTGCTTGATTTAATGTGGATTGTCAAAAAAAAAAAAAACACAATAAAAAAAAATATAATTTTTTTAGCTATTACATAGGTAAAATAAAATAATTTGTCTTGTTTCTAATTCATTTCTAAATGTATAGCTTTATGTGAATGAAGCACATGCCCAAATTAACAATTAAGTTAAAAGGACACTATAATCACCAAAGCAACTTTAGTTTAATGAAGCTCTAGTCTCACCTCCCTGCTTGTGACTTACACAGCCTTCCTAAACACTTTCTGCAAAGAGTCACCTAATGTTTACACTTCCTTTATTGCAAATTCCGTGTAAGTTAGAATTGTCTTATCCCCTGCTCTGTTAACCCCTTCTTGACCGCAGACGGAAATTTTCTGTCAACCTTGTCCTTGAGTTAAGGATCGTTGACGGAAATTTTTTTTACTAAAGTTAACCCCAGATCACGGCAATCGCAACGTTAACGGTGCTCCGGTCTGTATAAGAGGCAGACCGCGAGCACCCGATCGGGTTGCCCCAGCACCGGTGCTCGCTCTGACAGGCTGTCAGAGCGAGCACATGTGCTCAGTGCACTTACCTTCCGTCTCCCTGCACTTCCGGGTTCTGTGTGAAGTGCATGGAGATGGATCAGAGCTGATCCTCTTCTCCCTGTTTAAAAAATAAATAAAATAAAGTTAAATCCCCACCACCCCCCTTTCCCCTGCTTTAATACAATTAACCCCTTCCCTGCCAATTGATCACTGACTACAGTGATCAATTGGCAGGGTATACATTTTAATGACATCTGATTTTTTTTTTTAACCCCTGAGGGTTAATTATTATTTTTTTTTTAACCCTCAGGGGTTACATTTATTTTATTAATTAATTTAAATATTTAAAAATTATATATTTAGCTAGCTGGGATGGGTGGACGATAGTGGGGAATTGGGGAATTTGGTGTTAGGCTAACTAGGGGGTTAACGTTAAAAAAAAGTTTTAAAATAAGCTTTAAAAAGGGAAAAAAAAGTTTTAAAATTTTTTTTTTAGTAACGTTTAAGTAAAAAAAATAAATAAATATATATATATACCACCCTTTACCAAGTCTAAATAAAAATTAACCCCTTCCCTGCCAGCTGATCACTGCCTACAGTGATCAAAATACAGATCACAGTATTATACTGTAATCTAATTTCTTTTAACCACTGAGGATTAACTTTTATTTATTTTTTAACCCTCAGGGCTTCAATTTATTTAATTAATTAATTAAAATATTTTATAATTATATATATTTTGCTAGCTTGAGTGGGTGGGAGTTATGGGAAAGGTGGGAATTTACTGTTAGTGCTGCTTACTGCTAGTTAGGGGTTAACGGTAAAAGAAAAGTTTAGAAAAAAATTTTAAAGTGTAAAAAAAGTTAAGAAAGTGTAAAACATTTAATAAGTAAAAAAAAAAGGTTACAAAGTAAAAAAATACATAAAAAAATGCTCATTACCACTACACTTGGTACAAGCTAGCCGAAAAATGATCCCACGCTAAGGTTCAAAATATGCCTTATGAATTACCCTGGCATGTCTTCTTTAAGAAATGGTATGCCTTTATGGTGTAATTGGAAATGGGACATAGACACAGCATAAAAATACAAAATTTGAGAAAAACTGCAATGGCTGTGTCCCAAATGTGCCCCTCCGATGTCCACATATACCAGGCAAAGGTACATACGGGGGTATTGCTGTACTCAGCCGATATAGCTGAGCAACATATGAAGTATTATACAGTCGTAGCAAACATACGATTTGCAAAACACACTGTGCAAACTCACTTTGTGTGTCAAAAAAACGCTTATTACCACTACACTTGGTACAAGCCAGCGGAAAGATTATCCCACGCTAAGGTTCAAAATATGCCTTTTGAAATACACTGGGATGTGTTCTTTAAGAAATGGTATGCCTTTATGGTGTAGTTATAATATGTAGCCTGCTCAAGTGCTCCAAAGTGGGACACGGACGCATCAAAACCCTCCATGAAAATTCACACTTAAAAACCTTAACTTGTCACGTCTCTTTTACAGCAGTGTAACTTCACAAAACAGTGTCTAGGTCATACATTGGGCATATTGTTTTACTCAGAAGACTTAGCTGAGCATAATTTGGGGGGTTTGAACTTCGTGGCACATATGAAATGTACAAAATGCCCAGCAAAAATGTAATCCGTATATAAAAAAATGCCCAAAATTATTTTTTACCACATACTTTGGCATTTATTGGTGAAAAAATGGAGGCATGTTAAGGCACAATATGCACCTTATGAGATACCCTGGAGTGTCTACTTTTACAAATGGTAGGCCTTTGTGGGTTTTTTTTGAACAGTCAAACTGCTATAAAACCCCAAATTGAAGCATAGGCCCATTAAATCCGCCTCTCAAAATTCTACTGTAAATGTTGAAACGGACAGTTCTCCTATATGGCAATGTAGCTTCACAAAATAGTGGCAAAGACATACAATGGGGGTATCGTTGTACTCAGCAGAAGTAACTGAACACAAAATAAAACTTTGTACAGGAATAGCACACACCAACTTTACAAAATACACATGAGAATTTCTTTGTTATAAGTTTGTGTGCCAAAAACACCAAAAAACTAAATTTTACTCCAATATTTAGCAGAGGTTGGCGGTGAAATGGCTACGTAGAAAGTGTCAAAACAACTTTAGGACAATAGCCTGTGATGTCTACTTTATATAAATATATACTTTTGTGTGGCAATTTTTTCTTTTATGGCTATTAAGCTTACAAGACAAACATACCAAATTCTAAAATCGCTCCACATTAAAAGTTTATTTTACTCCTTGTGCTTTGTGACCTGTAACTACCAAAAAAAACCTTAAAATCCCAGACACATTATATATTCTGTAAATCAGAACAACTAAATGAATTTATTTTTAATTACTTTCTTTAACCTGCACTAATTAGGCACACATTATTATTGCAAAAACTGTACAAAAAACACAATTTTTTTCTGTATTTTTTTAATAATAAATAAGCATTTTTATATATATATATATATATATATATATATATATATATATATATATATATATATATCTGTGTTACATCAAATTAAAGCCCTTTCTGTACTTTAAAAAACAGTATATAATATGTGTCGGTGCAATAAACGAGAGAGATGCAAATTGCAGTTGAACGCATACAGTAAGAAAATGCAAAAATTGCTTGTGTCATTAATCGTAAGACAAGCTTCTGAAGCTGTGTCCTTAAGGGGTTAATAGCTTGCTAGACACTGCAAGAGCCTCCTGTATGTAATTAAAGTTAAATTTACAGTGCAGGAGATAGTAACTTACCTTAACCCCTTAAAGGACCACTACAGTGCCAGGAAAACATACTCGTCCCCACCCTCAGGGTCCCCCTCCCACCGGGCTCTGGGGAAAGCAAGGGGTTAAAAGCTTACCTTTCTCCAGCGCAGGGCGGAGAGCTCTCCTCCTCCTCTCCTCTTTCATAGCGACGTCATCGGCTGAATGCGCATGCGCGGCACGAGCCGCGCGCGCATTCCGCCAGTTCATAGGAAACCATTTATAATGCTTTCCTATGGACGCTGGCGTCTTCTCACTGTGATTTTCACAGTGAGAAGCACGCAAGCGCCTCTAGCGGCTGTCAATGAGGCAGCCACTAGAGGCTCTAGAGGCTGGATTAACCCTATTATAAACATAGCAGTTTCTCTGAAACTGCTATGTTTATAAAAAAAAAAAGGGTTAACCCTAGCTGGACCAGGCACCCAGACCACCTCATTAAGCTGAAGTGGTCTGGGTGCCTATAGTGGTCCTTTAAGGACCAAACTTCTGGAATAAAAGGGAATCATGACATGTCACACATGTCATGTGTCCTTAAGGGGTTAAAAGTGTTTATCGGATTGAAAATAAAATCATTTTGTTTTCTAGCAGGCTGTGTCAGTCACAGCCAAGGGAGGTGTGGCTAGGGCTGCATAAACAGAAACAAAAGTGATTTAACTCATAAATGGCACTGAATTGAGCAGTGAAACTTCAGAAGCATGATCTCTACCCCAAAACTGCTTCATTAAGCTAAAGTTGTTTTGTTGACTATAGTGTCCCTTTAAGGTATCTGACAACCATAATGTTCAACATGAGTCAAAAAAGCTTAGATTACAAATTAGGTGTCAAGATTCTTTTTTTTCCCCCGACACTAGTAGCTATGCATACATTTTAAAAGTAAGTTTTCAAATCACTAAATCAAGTTTTAAAGCGAGAAAAGAAGTCTCTGAGCAGGGTTCACAATGGGCTACTAGCCAGGCCTAAAGTTTAATAGCCACTTCAAAACGAGTAATATTGAACCTAGCTCATTTTTTATTATACAATGGGCTAAAATTACATTTCAAGTTTCTCAGTGTGTGTAAAATTTAATTTACTGTGCTACATTATATCTTTTGACAAGCCGAGGGCTTCATGTTAGGGGACTTTAATAGACAATACACGTAGCTTGTGTTTTACAAAAGATAACGTTTTCAATAATAGACACAATATTCTATGTGAGCTTTAGAAATTAAATGTATCTATAAAGTGGCTTTAGCACCCTTCTTATACTTCCAACAATTCTTCCCAACCACCCATTCAGTTCAACGGGCAGCATTATTTTAGGTTATTTCCTTTCACCCCATCATGACACTTGCCTTGACTGTCATGATAAAAAACAAAAAAGTGTTTATCTAACTTGTAACATGAAAGGGTTTAAACCCAAGACATAGATCACGGAATAGAAATGAGGACAGTGGAATAGGAACTTACCATATAGAGTAAAAATGGCCAGCTGACTAAATGCTTCACAATATTTTCTCCGGTCATCTTTTCATGGCTGTTAGGTCCAAATGTTATCAACAAATAGGTGCCGACAATTGCTAAACCACAGCCTATAAAGGACAAGATATAACGTCCTTTGGAGGCAAGGAGAGAATGAAGAGAAAAGACACATACATACATACGTGAGAAGGTGTGGTTAGTTAGCATGCAAGCAAAATAGTGTTAAGTATCAGGATTTCAGCCAAATCATGCTTAAATCACAGAAAATTAAATGATCAGTGTGTGAATGATAATGTGTCAGGCTCTCTAAGGCATATTGTGCCAATCAGTTCAACAGTTCAAAACGGTTTATGCCAGTTACATTTTAAATGGCACCTCCTCTACCAAGTGTACAAATAGGAGTAACATGTTTAATTGGTTTTCCATAACAGAACTAAATAAAGTGTTCTATATAATAATTTACCCATGATCACAACATACTTAAAACCACAGTAAAGTTGATGTGACATTTCCAGTTTTAGTCTCTTTAAACCACTTTTCAGAGGCAGACCAACAGTTGTATGAAATATAACTGTATAGCTCCATAGCAACTAAAATAAGTAAATGCACAACTCAGGAAAACTACGATATAAATTGTATACAAAATTAATTCAAGTGTGTATTCCATTGGTGTCATGGAAATCTGTGACCTGGTCTCTCCACTCCCCCAATACTGCAGCAGGAATTTGTCTATGAATTAGTTAAGATGTGATCAACATCTTTTCCTTTTCAGTCCGGTCCTTAGTGATCATCAACCATATATTAGCATTAACTTATTAGAAATGTGAGCATGCTAATATTGACTATATAGTCATCCCAATTAAATACATGTCACAAGGCCCCATCAATGTAATTGTTCAGTTTGTCAAATGTCAAAAATTGACCAATTACAACGGCAAGTTTGAAGAGGAACTGATCTTCTAATATGATCTAAAATTATGTAATAGTATGGGCAATAACAACAATTTGCATCCAAGACTATTTCCAAATATTTTTGAAGCTGTATCTTTAACAGAAATTGTGAGGTCATGCAACTAATTTCCATGCACAAAACTGATTATTTGGGATGTGAGGTAAATCAACAAACACATAAGAATCAAGAGAAGAGGTGTTTAGGTAAATTTAATTGCCATATACTTACTAAAAAATTCCTTTGGTTTCCACTTTTCTTTAATAAATATAATTCCTATAATTGAGCTGGCTGTTTAAGATAAAAAGCATTGTTAATGTGAAAGCCTTTTCAACCAGTATTAAAAGCCAGAAAGTTTTATAATCAAGTATCTAATTTTATTGTAACAACATAATGCTCAAAATATTTCAAAAATCATGACATTACATTATTTATAAAGGAGAGAAAAGGAGCTCTTAATTGAGATTTTATAAACTGTTGGCAAGCTGATTTAGACTATTTAAATTTGGAAACAAAACCTCATCTCATTTGAGATTTGCGCCAACTTATTGGATATTGCAGCCTTAATACTGCGAGTAGTTCATTTTCATGAAGAAACACCATGGCAATTCTTTTTTACATATGTACAAATTTAATACTGTCAATGTATGTGAAATAAAAATAAGTACAAACGCTTTTAGACAAAAATGAGAGCGTTCTTTAGAGATCGCAGAAGAATCCTGAATAGTAGCACACTTTCCACCAACAGGACATCAATAATTCCACTGATCATTTAAAAAATTTTTTTTTCATACTTGACGTAATTTTCTTTCCAGATCATAAGCCATGGCAACCCTACAATGGGTACATTTCCCAACACTATTACTATTGGGTAACAGAGGTAAATAAATAAAAGACTTTACCAAGGATCTTATATTAACCCCACAAGAGTCACTCACATATCCCATCAATAGCAACATTTCCCCCCTTGAGTAACTAAACTGTACCACAGAAGTGTATATTTCAACTCTTACATGAGGCAATAACTTGTGCTACCAGTGAATCTACTTTAACCTCACACACGTAGCTAATATACTCTGTCAATGCGCCCACATTCACTCCACTAGAGCTATAAACAGGTGACATCAAAGTGCGCATTTTAATCTCAGGCAAGACGCTAACGAAGTCTGCCAATGTGTATATTATGACTCCAAAAGAGCCGTTAACGAAGGTTATCAATGTGCATATTATGACATTATGCCTTTAACATTGCAAGAGTTACCGACGGGAGATGCTAAGGCATTTATTTTGTAGCTCACTTGAGCGACCAGCGGGATGTATCCCCACATGAGCGGCCAGCTTGTTTTCCGCACGGCCTGTACCGGACCCGCATGGGCTGCAAGCATGTTGAACCAAATAGTTACTCTCAAACCCACACGAGCTATTATCTTGATATACTAGGATGCTCACTTAAGCACGACTGAGCAGCTAACAAGATGCGCCAATCCCGTTAACCTTAAGTCCTATCGAGAAACCACACCATAGAGTACATCTTGCACCCGCTGGAGCTGCCAGGAAGCAGTACCAACCCGTTAACCCTAAACACTTATAATCTGCTGAAATGCCATAGCATATTGCACACCTTGAACCCGCATGAGCGGCAAGCATGATATGCAGACCTACACGCTCACTGTTTTCTCCCAGGTATTCTATTGTCACTAACAGAGCTGCAGGAGCGCCCAACCAAGAATGACTCGTGTATATTGTTACTCATTGTTTTGTTTACCTATTATCCTCTTGTACTGGATGATTATATGTTACCATTAAACCAGTGGAGGTTCTCCACAGCAAAAATAAAGAATTTAAAGGACCACTATAGGCACCCAGACCCCTTCAGCTCAATGAAGTGGTCTGGGTGCCAGGTCCATCTCGGATTAACTCTGCCTGCTGTAAACACTGCTATGTTTACATTAAGGTTAATCCAGTCTCTTAGTGGCTGTCTCATTGACAGCCGCTAGAGGCGCTTCCGTGCTTCTCACTGTGATTTTCACAGTGAGAAGACGCCAGCGTCTATAGGAAAGCATTAAAAATGCTTTGCTATAGACTGGCTGAATGCGCGCGCGGCTCTTGCCGCACATGCGCATTCAGCCGATGACATCAGAAGAGGGAGGAGAGTCCCCAGCGCCGAGGGAGCCCAGCGCTGGAGAAAGGTGAGTGTTTAACCCTTTCCTCCTAAGATACCCTTTGGAATCTTAGATATAATACAATAAGAGGAACTAATGGGCGAGGAATCCATTCCTCCCTTACTTTGAACACACCCACCGATGAGTTTGCAGTGTAGCTACAGAGATGGATAATTCAGAGAATGTTTATATGACTTCATGACCTACTGATGGCTAGCTATATATATATATATATATATATATATATATATTTATTAATTACCAGTCACGTACAAAAAGACAAAAGTATTTTGTTTAATCAATCTATGTTAAGCACACATTAACTACAGATCACCTTTGTGTGACATTTATAACTGGAAAAGTACATTATTGAGATTTGGTTTGCTGTGAAGGCCTTTGACACACTCATACAAACCACACATTAAGGACTGCAGAAAAAGACAAATGGTAGGATAGAGAAGAGAACACTATCTAAACAGCAGCACTTGGGAGAGATGAGTAAATAATAGTATATAGTTAAAAAGCTTACTCCAACCACCATGACCTTCTTTTCTTGCAGGTAAAGTGCCTGCAAGGAGAAGCCTGTAGGACTGTGTGCACACTGCTTGGGTGCACACAGTCCGAATCACTGGCCTAATGTTAAAATTCTCCTCTCTTCATCTTGACCATAACACCTACCTTATGGCCAGCATATACATTATTTTATGGTCCTAGATTTCATCCCCGCATTAGTTACATAAACAGAGAATGTTAATGATGTAATCCGACTGGCATTTTCATTAACAGAAAAGCTTTCTTGACTGTACCTAGGAACTAATTTAACAGTAGCATTAACATTGGTTGCTTGTCTAAAATCACCATCTGTGGAGTGAATTCATACAGTTGTGACTCATGCATCATCCTCTCTCTTTTGTCCCAGAATGCTTTGCTTCTTGTTCACCTTTTCCCCCACAAAACTGGAAGTCAGGTGATAGGTGGTGTACAGAGCACCACCCCCCCACCCTGCCTTTTCGCCAGAGTATGCACCTCCCTACTGGCGCATTGCTGACAAGCGAGTCATGGGGCAGGTGCTTACTCTGCCAATATAAATGAGGGCCGGGTGACGAGGGAGTTAATGTGATCACTTTACATAGCCTGCATTGCACGAAATTGCCCCATCCCCAGTGCAGAGCAGCAGGGAGCTGTGCAGCAAGGGCACAATGTGATGCCAGCAGCTCCCCACTGGATCCCACTCCAGTATGTATGTGTTCGTGATTGTAAACAAGTGAGTAAATGTGAGTGCTTGTGTGTGTGTAATTTCCCTGACAAAAGGAGGGTAAGGAGGGCACAGAGTGACACACAAAAACAATTGGACAGTTCGGGAAGAAGGGTGCCAACATACATTTCTGCTCGGGGTGCCAAGTAACCTAGAACTCTGATTATATGTATTCTTTAACTCTGTGTGGCAATTATTGTATGAAACAATTTACTATATGTAAGTGTTCTTGCATAGCAAGACCACTTGATGTTATCTCACATATATATTATTCTTATTATAGCCAAATTTACCACCCTAACTCCTCCCACAGTTTTTACACTACATAGACCATAATATAATGAAACGTGCGGATTGTTCCTGATTGGTGTGCTATTACTATGTGGAACATTTCACTGAATGGTTCGTGGAATATTGTCGTTCTTTTGGCAAAATTGGTCCCATAGGAATGAATGGCAAAATTTTCAAAACTAAAGTGGGAGCTGGCAAAAGCTGAAAAATCAGGACATGATTTCTAAACTGCCACCACTCCCTTATTTTCAGGCCCACCTACACAAATCTTATATCAAAACGTTCAGCTATCCCTGCTGCCACTAAACATGTCCACGGCTAAGCCATAGTCCTGGTAGTTTTCATAATATGACCATTTGTTTGCAACTCATGCCATCCATTGACCTTCATTGAAACTCCACTCTAGCCAGCTCAAATTTGAAGACAATTTCTAAACTGTGACTGTGCCTTCATTTTTAATATTTCAGAGACATACTATGCATCACAATGTAGGTCTGGGTCTTGAGATTCTCACAATATAAAGATCTTCGCTGTAGGATTTATAGTTGAAAATGGCAACCGCCAAAATACTCTGACCTGTGCCAGGCTGGAGCAGCAAGTGATGTCATAGAGAGGGCCTTTTGTACACCTGCTAATGTTTTTATAAATGTATGGTTTAATGTAACTGTGAAGCACTTTGGGCAGCAACGTTGCAATTAAATGTGCTATATAAATAAATAAAAGTTGAAATGCATTTCTCATTCTATCAAGCTTCTACCATGTGGACTTTTTAAATTTCATCAATCAATTGGTTAGTGTAATGTTTACTATCTTTACTCACTCCAAACACTCCACACAGTTACTCTGCCCACTCCGTAAAGTTACTCTGCCCAGTCCAACCTTTCCACAGTTACTCCAGCCACTCCAACCACACAACAGTTACTCCGCCCATTCCAGTTGTAGACTTCTGGTGGAGGCAAGAACACTTCACATAATTTCCCCAGAAATTGTAGCTTTTCTAGTTCTCAATATAACACTGTACGGTGATCTCTAGTGCTTGTTCTCCAAGTATTCTTACAACTTATATTTCACTGCAATTCATTCTGTACTTAGAAAAGCCAGTTGGGTGCAACATTATGACAAAAAATATTTTTCATGAACTACTTTATAAAAAAAGACTATCTTTTATATCACAATTATATAACGCTGGATTTGTACCTGTTCAAATACTCACCAATGAGAGAGACTGCACTAAGTGGTGCAATTAGAGAGAGGGGAGCAAAGGCATAGGATGAAAACACAGCAGTCTCTCCAAGCAGCATCAAGAGAAACCCAAACCACCACGTCTTTGTTCTGAAGTACGATCGAGGATCTTTTGAACCTGCCAGTCGTACATGGCTGTATTTCTAGGTTACACAAATTACAGTTAGCATGAAATGAGTAAGCAGGGCTAAGCAAACATGTAACATAAGACTGCTACTTTGTAAACACTGAACCATGTTTTTCATATAGTATATGCAAGTTAAAATAATTTAGTGGGGCACTCATGGTCACCTTCACTATCCCTCGGTTTAATATCAAAACATTCAAACGGACATGCATTACTTTTAGACAACTGTCTCATTCAAAGGCTTTAGATTTAAATGAGATAGTGGCCACTCTCAACAGGCTAAAAGATAAATTCCCCCATATTTCCCTACTTCCTTTTTATGCTTTCCAAATCCACTCCAGGTGGGACACTGATCAATACAATCAGTGTCCTATTCCAAGGAATATTGAAAAAACACATTAATCACAGCTGCCAGAGTTACACATGTGTAGTTGGAAGATCTCTTCACCTTGCAACATCCTGACAGTGGGAGGAGAGAGGGAGTCTGATCAGTGTGATCATGCAGAGCAGGCTTTGGTGTCAGGTTTCTCTCTCCTGCTGCTGCACAATTATGCTCTATTTCTGTCCTTATTAGACTGGTCTTAGATGGATTGGAAAGGGGGTGGGTTTGAAGAAACTCCACTAGTGAAAGGCGTACGCTATAATGCAATCTGACCAAGTTTATAATAGGTTTACAAATGTTTATTACATACTTTTCAGTGTTTTCTTACTTCATTTTTTTTCTTTATATATTTGTTTAAAAGTCTTTGCTTGCTGGTAAAAAAATAATTGTCAAATGATGCATGTCTCTTTAAACTCTTCCCTCCACCTAGGGCAGTTATGGCGAACCTATGGCACGCGTGCCACAAGTGGCACACCGGGCCCTTTCTGTGGGCAGGTGGCACACCGGGCCCTTTTTGTGGGCACGTGGCCATAGGTTCACAATCAATGCAGAGTAGGCACCTGCCTGCCCAAAACGGCAGGCACCTACTCTGCTTCCGTGTCGGGAGGCAGGGGGAGGGATCTGTGAAGCAGCTCCCCTGTCCTCCTGCGAGCAAGCTGTGTAGAGCGTTGCAAGGCGTTACCATGGCTACGCTCCATACAGCATCGCATGGGAGGACAGGGGAGCTGCTTCACAGATCCCTCCCCCTGCCTCCCGACACGGAAGCAGTGCTTGCCACCAGGGATGGCTGTGTCCCCCCCTTCTTCATTAAAGGTAAGAAGGAGGGAGGGGGGATACTGATTTAGCATACTTTTTTTTAAAAACACCTTTACCCCAGCCCCACACACACACAGCACCCCTACCCCCAACACACAGTACCCCTACCCCCCCAGACAGAGTACCCCTACCCCCCCCACACACAGTACCCCTCCCCAGCACCCCTCCCTTCCCCCACACCCAGGTTCCCTCCCCTCCACCCAGCATCCCTCCCCACCCCTACCCTCCACTCACAGCAGCCCTAACCCCCACACAGCACCCATACCCCCACACACAGCAGCCCTAACCCCCACAGAGCACCCCCATAACACACACAGCACCCCTACCCCCCACAGCACAGCACCCTCACACACACACAGCACCCCCCCACAGACACACACACACAGCACCCCTCATACACAACACCCCTCATACACACACACCACCCCTCATACACACACACAGCACCCCACACACACACACACACACACAGCACCCCACACACACACACACTACACCCCTCAATGCAGTATGTGTGTGTATTCGGCAGTCTGTGTGTGTGCATGTATTCAGCAGTCTGTGTGTGTGTACTCAGTATTGTGTGTATTCAGCGGACTGTGTGTCTGTGTGTATTCAGTGGACTGTGTGTGTATGTATTCAGCAGTCTGTGTGTGTATTCAGCAGTCTGTCTGTATGTGTACTCTGACTGTGTGTGTGTGTATTCATCAGTCTCTGTTTTCAGCAGTCTTGTGTGTGTGTATTCAACAGACTGCGTGTATGTATTGCATTTGTTTGAGATACTAATAAATATAAGCTTAATTTTATCTATTTATATCATTATTTAAAATTTGTATAATTGAACTCTCTGTTATGTTCTTTTAAAACAAAAGTTGTTAATTAGTTTGGACAACAGTATGAGTTGTTTTTTCTAAACTTAAACCTCAGTATTGAGGTTTAATTGCCGTGTTGGCACTTTAAGGAAAAAAAAGTTGGCATGTATTGCGGTTGGGGCACTCAGGCTCAAAAAGGTTCGCCATCACTGACCTAGGGACATTCCCATCTCAGTCAGATTTATAATACAGAAAAAGTAACTTTTACATTATCAAAGTAAATTACATCCAACCTGGTCAGTGCTGACTGGCGTACAGTACTGGGACAGGAAAGAACATGCCGGTATAAATGTTACCACGATGGAGGCAGTCACCAAGAAAGCAATGGTTTATAGCAAACAATTTCTAAGAGTTGTTATATTGAACTGAGACCTGTGTACCAATTTACAATGCATTCAAAAACTATTCATACTCCTTCCTTTTGTCTGTGGCAGCCTTATGCTACTATTGTTTACATTACCCAGCATTGTTTAGTAAAAGTAAATCTCCGTTTGGTACCTGGAAGCTCCTCTAATGGCTATCTTCCAGACAGACACAAGAGGTTGAGTTAACCCTGCATATTAATCATTGCAATTTCTCAAAAACTGCAGTATTATACATTACAGAGTTCAACAGATAGGGGCACTGCACGTAGACACCTTCAGTTAAATGCCTATTGTATACCTTTAACTCATAAATGGCAGAGAATTGAGCAGTGAAACTGCAGGGGCATGGTATATACACCAAAACTGCTTCAATAAGCTAAACGTTGTTTTAATGCCTGTAGTATCCTTTTAACATAATTGAAGCACGTTTGGCAGCGATCACAGCCTCCAATGGTTTTGGTATAATGAAACAAGAGTGGGACAACTCTAAATTTCAGGGGGGGTTTTTAAATAAATTTACAAAGTAAAAAAAACAAAAAAAAAATATTTTTTTGCTTGATCACTAAAGGTTACTGAGCGTAGAATAAGAAAACAATTCTAGAATAAGGCTGAAACATGGAAACAAGTTTTAAAAAAATGACTGAATACTTTCTGAATGTACTGTAAGTATCATGATGAATTGATTACCCCCTGTTTTCCTTATAATCTTCCAATGCAAGTGGCCCTGAGAAGCAAGATCCTAAAAAAAAAAAAAAACTCTACCATTTATCCTTGGTTATATTGTAATAACAATCATATACATAAAAAACAGCTAAGCAGTTTTTGAAATATTTTTGCCATTATTTTTTAATGTCCAGCAGAGATGCAGTGGAATGCAACTGTCACTAGTCTAATACTATCCTAACCTTTTGTGTCATTTTACCCCACTCCCTCTAGCACAGTGATGGCGAACCTTTTTGAGCCCGAGTGCCCAAACCGTAATACATGCCAATTTTTTTTTCCTCAAAGTGCCAAAACGGCAATTAAACCTGAATATTGAGGTTTAAGTTTAGAAAAAACAACTCATACAGTTGTCCGAACTAATTAACATCTCTGTGTGTGTATTAAGCAGTTTGTGTGTGTGCTCGGCAGTCTGTCTGTATGTGTATTAAGCATTCTGTCTGTATGTGTACTTAGCAGTCTGTCTGTATTTAGCAGACTGCTGAATACACACACAGACTGCTGAGTACACACACACACAGACTGCTAAATACACACACATAGACTGCTGAGTACACACACAGGCTGCTGAGTACACACACACTGCTGAGTACACACAAACACACACAGACTGCTGAGTGTACACACACTGCATTGAGGGGTACAGTGTATGTGTTTGTGTGTGGGGTGATGTGTGTGTGTGTGTTTGTGTGTGGGGTGATGTGTGTGTGTGTGTGTGGGGTGATGTGGGGGTTCGTGTGTGTGGGTGGGTAGGGTTTGTGTGTGTGTGTGTGGGGGGTTATGTGTGTTTTTGTGTGAGGTGATGTGTGTGTGTTTGTGTGGGGTGATGTGTGTGTGTGTTTGTGTTTGTGTGGGGTGAAATGTGTAGGGCAGGGGTGCTGTGTGTATGTCGTTCCCCCTCCCCCCCACTGATTTCTTTCCCCCCATCCCTCCCTCAGTTTCCCCCCCCCATCTCTCCCTCAGTTTTTTTCCCCCCTCACATCTCCCTCAGTTTTATTCCCCCTTCAATTTTCTTTCTACCCCCCATCCCTCCCTTAGTTTTCATTCCCCCCCCGTCCTTGATCTCCTACCTTGTAGCATGGCCGAGCGCACCGTGGAGCTCAGTTTCTTGTACCCGGCTGGACAGGAAGTGCTCTCTCTGTGAGCACTTCATTTCCGTCCGCCCGGGTACAGGAAACATAAGTTCCTGTACTGCGGCGCGCTCGGCCACGCTAGACAGAGTGCCTGGCAGGAGGGAGCGCTATGCGCACCCTCCCTCCCTCCTGCGACCTGTGGCCGTGTGCCAACAGAGGGGGCTCGACGTGCCACCTGTGGCACGCGTGCCATAGGTTCGCCATCACTGCTCTAGCATGTAAGCTCATTGAGCAGGGCCCTCAACCCCTCTGTTCCTGTGTGTCCAACTTGTCTGGTTACAACTACACGTTTGTTCGTACACCCACTGTAAAGCGCTGCGGAATTTGTTGGTGCTATATAAATAATAACATAATAATAATAATAGGATTTATTGTACTGCTATGGCACCAGAGTAAGAGGCATAGCTAACTAACCCAGAACTGTAAAATGTTATTAATAGCCAAATAGAGACACTTTGAAAGAGAGGGACGGCTGGAGGTTGATCAGAGAGTGTGCTTACCCCAGACATAATAGGTGACTTCTATCTAAACACAAGCAAAACAAAAAACCCAAACAATTGAAATATAGTGATGTATTTAAATATGTTAAATGGATGTACTGTTTACATAACATTTTACGGTCCACTGTTTAGAGTAAATAGTTTTTCGACAGGCGACAGGTCATTTTTGTTTTTCACTGTAGCGTGGCAGGTTATTCTTACCTGTAAGTTGAGTGCAATACTGATAATAAGATGGCCGAATATGGCAAGCAGAGCACCAATTAGGTTGTCCTGTAAGAAAACAAGAAAAACTAGTATTAAAATGTGAGTAGCTCTTGCCTGGAACAAGATTACAAAGAAACATTTAAATGAGTTCAGCAAGGTAAGTGAAATGAAAGAAACCAGTATATTTTTCAAAGAATTATCCAATAAACATGCAGAAAAAAAAAAATATAAATGAAAACCACTTCCAGCAATTTCATTCAATTGAACAAACAGTTACTTGATTATTACTTTATTCACAACAAATGAATGTTGAGTAAATAATTCCCCAAGCTTTACTAATTATTTTCAGCTAATGAATGTACAGAGTAACGAAGATTTGGATCATGACCTTAAAGGGACACACTCAAGCACCATAACCACTGTGTTTTTTGTTTGAGTGGTTGTGTTGTTAAGCAGATATGCGTGAAGCTCTGGGGTTTTTTTTTTTGCCAATGTCTTCAAGCACCTTTTTCAGAGAAATACTAGTATTAGTACTGTATATCTGAGTGTATGTACTGCTCACTGAAGAAAGGCTACTTTTGGCTCATGTAGTGATACTCTGCAGTATGCCGAATAGCTATATGTCAAGTAGAAAGCAGGGTCCAGAAAGAGAAGTCACATACGGTATATAAATATAACTTTAATTGGTCCCTTATATGCACATCCCCATCCTGAAATACTGTTAGCTGCTAGCATCACAGTGGGTGGCAGTCCAACTCGCGAAGGTGAGTTCGATTGGCTGGGAGAGAGCTGAGCAAAACACATGCCTGGAAAAAAAATTCCATTGCCTAACAATCATCTGTCGGACTGTCAAAACTGAAGTGCAACGTCAGACCAAAAGCATGGTCAATATTCTACATATTGTAATTATAAAGAACTATTACAGTCTAACCTACCACAAGGGATAGGACTAGAGCAATGTTAATTCTTACACTTCCAACAGCAAAGTTGAGACTGTGTCAAGACAATACTATTGCATTTACTATTGCATGAATATATCCCCACAAAATGCAAATACAAAGCTGCTCACACTTGTAAATAATTACAGCTGCTTGCATAAGTGAATAGAAACAAGCAGCATTGTATCATCCTCTGTGTGCGTGAGGTTATACATGCATGCATGATTGTTTAGAAAAAAAGAGATGAGAAAATAGAGGTGAGATAACAGACTATTCCTGGTTTTAATGAGCATTCCAGGATGTGGATCAGAGCCCAGGGATTATGTTCACCTCTGCTGATATGAAGGATAAACTGTCGTATTCAAGGCCAGGAGCACGGCTAGCTCAAGTCTACTGCCTTTTTTTGAGGTTAGTGACTAGGACAAAAGGCTGAATGTTTTTAAGTGCACTTCAGAGTCATAAATGACAAACTGACCAGATCCAGTATAAGTTAATAATGTGAATATGTATTTTTCATTAATAGAAACCTGTGAAATACATTTTAAAGTGTTATTTTGCTTAAATGTTTTTTTTTGTACACCTTTATTAAAAAAAAAAAAAAAATAATAATAATAATAAAAATTATATATATATTTCATATATATATAAAATTGTACCTTCATATAACTTGTGAGCCCCTTTAGTAACATAACATTATGAGCCCTATTTTTAGTATAAAAATACGCTTACTATAGATGCATGTTCATGCACTCATGCATGATAATAGGATATTATCTGCTTACACACAGAGGAAGCACCAGAAACTCCAAACGCAAAACACACAAGTGTTAGTCATCTTTTCTATTTGTTTCGTTTTGTAAAATGGACAACTCTAGTTGTAGCTCAAGGAAAGGATTTAAACTGCATAAAATTTCCTCAACATTATGCTAGCTAAATCGCTGTCTCTCATAGCCAGGTCTCAGAATTGACTACAGTAATTTGAGGATGACTACGCTCCTTCAGACCTAATGTCATCACACTGGCAGTGAAAGTGTGACAGAAGATTTCAAAGTTTGCAAAGTTAAGTGCAGTATCTTGTGGTTAGGGCATGGAAAGTTTATTGCGCTATATTGTCAATTTATGTAAACAGGATATCAGAATATTCCTGGGGAAAAAAGAAAGGAAAAAAAACAGCTTTGCACAATACAATACAATTGATTTATATATTCCTACAAAATAAACGTTCTGTAAGAGTCCAAAGGTAAAAATGAGGTGGGCACAATTGGTGTACTATCATTGCCAATGCATTTACAATGAAATGAACAATGTACAATTTTGTAGAATATACAAATCAATGTAGCCAGCAATAGCAAGTGCAGATCAACAGCGGTCAAGTGTGAGGCTGCAGCTTACCTTATATGAAGAATATGAATCAGTGGGAGCCGCTGTTGTAGTCACAGGCAGTTCATCCAATTGCAGATCAGAACCAGGTCCTGTTTCCATTTTGCTGCAATAGTATACTTTCTATATCATCATCAAGATCAATTTTTAATCTGTATTCCAACTTTCAAAACACTTCTCGCTGCCTCATCCTGAAGTTAAGTTTACATGAAAAACGATGAACCTGTCATTGTTCGATTTCACGATGATGAAATTTTAATACCTTGGTATTAAATATTACTGTTCATATGTCAAGGCTAAACTTCTTCAGTTCTTAGAATGTCACTCAATCCTGTTTGGCGAAAACAAAAGAGAGTTTGGTGATATTATAATGGTCATAAGGATTAAATACAGGAAGGATGTAGACTGCATTTACAAAGCCTAGAAATGTGGATCACGGTTTGAATCAGATATCTAGGACAACTCCTGTTTGGGCACAGTTTATGAAACCTTTAAGATGCCTTCCATTATTTATTAATGCATATTTCATCAACAGAACAAGAAGATCAATGTTAAAGGAACATTAAAAGAACTAAAGTCACTCAGAACAAAATGAAAAATAAAATAAAATAGGGGGAGGAGGGGGGGCATTATTTAGTTTACACACTACAGAATGCAATGCATAAACTAAATTCTGGGGTTTACTCACTAAACAGATAATTGTGGTTAATGTTGAATTTAAAGTCATAAAGCCGAGATGGAAAAAAATAAAAGTCCAGTCTTTTTTTGCAAAACAAAAAAAAGAGAATATGAACACTAAAAACTCAGTATCTTGCCCTTTGGTTAGTTCCTGCTTAGGTCTCAAAAATGTTTATTTTTTGATCACTTGTGACATTGCAAAGGGAACCTATACCATTTGAATATCAGCCTGATCCCAATTATTAGGGCATCTGGAACACTGAGGGTAGCGCAGAGTAAGAGCTAGCTCTGGAACACTGAGGATAGCGCAGAGTAAGTGCTAGCTCTGGAACACTGAGGGTAGCGCAGAGTAAGTGCTAGCTCTGGAACACTGAGGGTAGCGCAGAGTAAGAGCAAGCTCTGGAACACTGAGGGTAGCGCAGAGTAAGAGCTAGCTCTGGAACACTGAGGGTAGCGCAGAGTAAGAGCTAGCTCTGGAACACTGAGGGTAGCGCAGAGTAAGAGCTAGCTCTGGAACACTGAGGGTAGCGCAGAGTAAGAGCTAGCTCTGGAACACTGAGGGTAGCGCAGAGTAAGAGCTAGCTCTGGAACACTGAGGGTAGCGCAGAGTAAGAGCTAGCTCTGGAACACTGAGGGTAGCGCAGAGTAAGAGCTAGCTCTGGAACACTGAGGGTAGCGCAGAGTAAGAGCTAGCTCTGGAACACTGAGGGTAGCGCAGAGTAAGAGCTAGCTCTGGAACACTGAGGGTAGCGCAGAGTAAGAGCTAGCTCTGGAACACTGAGGGTAGCGCAGAGTAAGAGCTAGCTCTGGAACACTGAGGGTAGCGCAGAGTAAGAGCTAGCTCTGGAACACTGAGGGTAGCGCAGAGTAAGAGCTAGCTCTGGAACACTGAGGGTAGCGCAGAGTAAGAGCTAGCTCTGGAACACTGAGGGTAGCGCAGAGTAAGAGCTAGCTCTGGAACACTGAGGGTAGCGCAGAGTAAGAGCTAGCTCTGGAACACTGAGGGTAGCGCAGAGTAAGAGCTAGCTCTGGAACACTGAGGGTAGCGCAGAGTAAGAGCTAGCTCTGGAACACTGAGGGTAGCGCAGAGTAAGAGCTAGCTCTGGAACACTGAGGGTAGCGCAGAGTAAGAGCTAGCTCTGGAACACTGAGGGTAGCGCAGAGTAAGAGCTAGCTCTGGAACACTGAGGGTAGCGCAGAGTAAGAGCTAGCTCTGGAACACTGAGGGTAGCGCAGAGTAAGAGCTAGCTCTGGAACACTGAGGGTAGCGCAGAGTAAGAGCTAGCTTTGGAACACTGAGGGTAGCGCAGAGTAAGAGCTAGCTCTGGAACACTGAGGGTAGCGCAGAGTAACAGCAGGCTCTGGAACACTGAGGGCAGCGCAGAGTAAGAGCTAGCTCTGGAACACTGAGGGCAGCGCAGAGTAAGAGCTAGCTCTGGAACACTGAGGGCAGCGCAGAGTAAGAGCTAGCTCTGGAACACTGAGGGTAGCGCAGAGTAAGAGCTAGCTCTGGAACACTGAGGGTAGCGCAGAGTAAGAGCTAGCTCTGGAACACTGAGGGTAGCGCAGAGTAAGAGCTAGCTCTGGAACACTGAGGGTAGCGCAGAGTAAGAGCAAGCTCTGGAACACTGAGGGTAGCGCAGAGTAAGAGCTAGCTCTGGAACACTGAGGGTAGCGCAGAGTAAGAGCTAGCTCTGGAACACTGAGGGTAGCGCAGAGTAAGAGCTAGCTCTGGAACACTGAGGGTAGCGCAGAGTAAGAGCTGGCTCTGGAACACTGAGGGTAGCGCAGAGTAAGAGCAAGCTCTGGAACACTGAGGGTAGCGCAGAGTAAGAGCTAGCTCTGGAACACTGAGGGTAGCGCAGAGTAAGAGCTAGCTCTGGAACACTGAGGGTAGCGCAGAGTAAGAGCTAGCTCTGGAACACTGAGGGCAGCAAAGAGTAAGAGCTAGCTCTGGAACACTGAGGGCAGCGCAGAGTAAGAGCTAGCTCTGGAACACTGAGGGTAGCGCAGAGTAAGAGCTGGCTCTGGAACACTGAGGGTAGCGCAGAGTAAGAGCAAGCTCTGGAACACTGAGGGTAGCGCAGAGTAAGAGCTAGCTCTGGAACACTGAGGGTAGCGCAGAGTAAGAGCTAGCTCTGGAACACTGAGGGTAGCGCAGAGTAAGAGCTAGCTCTGGAACACTGAGGGTAGCGCAGAGTAAGAGCTAGCTCTGGAACACTGAGGGTAGCGCAGAGTAAGAGCTAGCTCTGGAACACTGAGGGTAGCGCAGCGCAAGAGCTAGCTCTGGAACACTGAGGGTAGCGCAGAGTAAGAGCTAGCTCTGGAACACTGAGGGTAGCGCAGAGTAAGAGCTAGCTCTGGAACACTGAGGGTAGCGCAGAGTAAGAGCTAGCTCTGGAACACTGAGGGTAGCGCAGAGTAAGGAGCTAGCTCTGGAACACTGAGGGTAGCGCAGAGTAAGAGCTAGCTCTGGAACACTGAGGGTAGCGCAGAGTAAGAGCTAGCTCTGGAACACTGAGGGTAGCGCAGAGTGAGAGCGCAAGTAGCTAGCTCTGGAACACTGAGGGCAGCGCAGAGTAAGAGCTAGCTCTGGAACACTGAGGGCAGCGCAGAGTAAGAGCTAGCTCTGGAACACTGAGGGTAGCGCAGAGTAAGAGCTAGCTCTGGAACACTGAGGGTAGCGCAGAGTAAGAGCTAGCTCTGGAACACTGAGGGTAGCGCAGAGTAAGAGCTAGCTCTGGAACACTGAGGGCAGCAAAGAGTAAGAGCTAGCTCTGGAACACTGAGGGCAGCGCAGAGTAAGAGCTAGCTCTGGAACACTGAGGGTAGCGCAGAGTAAGAGCTGGCTCTGGAACACTGAGGGTAGCGCAGAGTAAGAGCTGGCTCTGGAACACTGAGGGTAGCGCAGAGTAAGAGCTGGCTCTGGAACACTGAGGGTAGCGCAGAGTAAGAGCTGGCTCTGGAACACTGAGGGTAGCGCAGAGTAAGAGCTGGCTCTGGAACACTGAGGGTAGCGCAGAGTAAGAGCTGGCTCTGGAACACTGAGGGTAGCGCAGAGTAAGAGCTGGCTCTGGAACACTGAGGGTAGCGCAGAGTAAGAGCTGGCTCTGGAACACTGAGGGTAGCGCAGAGTAAGAGCTGGCTCTGGAACACTGAGGGTAGCGCAGAGTAAGAGCTGGCTCTGGAACACTGAGGGTAGCGCAGAGTAAGAGCTGGCTCTGGAACACTGAGGGTAGCGCAGAGTAAGAGCTGGCTCTGGAACACTGAGGGTAGCGCAGAGTAAGAGCTGGTTTTGGAACACTGAGGGTAGCACCTGTTCTCAAGCACTATAGGACACAGTTCAACTCAGCAATGATGAGACAAAGAGGCAGTCTTTTATAGTAAGTAGGTGAGACATCCCCTCCCACCTGATCTATGCTGTGGACATCTCCCACAGCGAGCTCATGTCTATAGAGCAGGGTAAACAGTATGGCAGAGAAAGAGAGGCTGGGATGCCATTTGGGGACTCATGAGTAAAGTCCCTGATGAGGCTATAGCTACAGCGGGCTGTGACATGCTTATTCATGTCTCACAATAATAATCTACCATTCTAAAATTACTTGTCAAGTTGGGTTCTCTTTAGAAATGATAATTCCCTTCATCCTTCAGTCATCTGCAAATTAAGTGTGTGCTGGCTGTTTGTACTGTGTGTGGATGTTTTGTGTCCTGGTTGTATGTAGTGTATGTGAATATGTGTAATATGTGTGGATAATATACCTTCCCCAACTCACTTTACATTCCTGACGATTTACACTTTAGTGAACAACCAAATGTTTATTCCTTGGCTCATTTAATCTGCCCTTGATTTAAACTCCTCTCTTTAGTTAGTACATTTTATAAACCTTACTATCTGAGTGATATTAAGCTGTGTAAATAAATCCCATGAATAATAATAAAAGTCAGGCACAGTATATAATCTCTTACCTGCTCTTCTTCTTCTTCCTGTACCAAACAGTGCACTACTAACTAAGCCGACTAGCCTTACCTGATTGGAGGATGGCACTGTCAATCACCGCCCAGATTGCAGTGTGGACTTGTCATTGGTGCAGACAGCAGCCGGCCTCGCCCTATTAGTGAGAGCCAGTGGAAGCAGGAAGTAAGTGACGCTACAGGTTCCATGGGAGGCGGCAGGCGTGACCCAGCCTGTGACATGACGTCATGTCGTAGCACTTGGTGACAGCAGTGTACAGACACAGCTCTGTTCATGTCACAGCATTAGCTGGGTCACATTGCCACCATGGAGTGTGTGTCCAGCCAGCTGTGGGGTGGTGGATCAGACACTAATCATTGATGGATTCCGTGTACGTGTGGCGATATGTGTGATTAACAATAAATGTCCACTGACACAGAATAAAGCACCATGCTGAAACATACAGCCACCAGTGATCACAGATTGCATTTTATTTATTGTAACTCTCAGCCAGCTGAAATGGCGGCTTGGCGTCGTTGGTATCAAAGTACGCGACATACCGGGGTCCTAGCAATAACCGTGTCAGCCTGTATTCATTCTGTGCTGTTTGCTACTACAGGGCTGTTAGAATTAAGCTTTGTGATCTACAGCTTATATATGGCGAATGTTTAACTTCCGGTCTTGAGTTTCTGCGTCACAGAACGCCTTCAGTGGGTGGAGTAAGATGGCAGGAGTAGGATATGCACAGGCTGCTTGTAGTTTGGGAGTACCAATATGGCCGAAGCTTTAGCCAACACCCTACCTATACATTATAATGATTGGAGTACAAACATGGCCGCATTGCGTTACTACAGTCAATAGGTTCTGTGGTTGCTTAGCAACCAGTACACAAAGTATCGCTGCCATGTGGTTTTCAGGGTTCGTACACTAAAAGAAGGTAGGAACATCAGCTAATATTTAAAATACTTTGCAGTAATTAGATATTATTATTGCTTTACTGTTCTATTCTCACACTAATAGAGAGTTTCTTCACGGGTCTGTGTATCGTCATGTCGTCTGACCACTCGGTAGAACGGTGAAATTCATTCATGACATTCGAATTAAAATATTACTAAATATTCTTCTTCTTTTTTTCTTTTTTTTTTTTAAAGTATGTATGATTGAGGTATATGGTGTGAATAAACAACAGGGAAAGCTTCATTTCTTGTTTGTAGTCACACCAATTTGTAATTTATATGCTGTTATAATTATAGATTGTAAAATTGCAAAGCAAAATCAGGGCAGAATATTTTAAAAATACAAATCCTCTTATTGTCAAATACTGTTTATTATATACTCTCAGTTTATTTTATCCAAGGGGACACTGCAAGCACCATAACCATTATGGCATGCTGTATGGTGGTTATGGTCCCAGGAATGCCCTGATTCAGTGCGTTAGCTGATTTCTCTGAGCCAATGAGCTAAGCTCTGAACTTCTGGGCTTTTCTAGGGCAGTGTGCTCCCTGGCTGACTTGGAAGCTGCAGAGATGTGGGTTCAGCTCCTGGTGGACCATTTTAACATAATTTTATTACTCACATATGGGGAGGCGCCATGACATTCCTGGCAATATAAACACTGATTTGGAGGCTGCAGAGTGGTGCGGTGCAGCTCTCGGTGGACCCAAGTAAGCAGTTAAACCATTCTAAAATGGCTTGACTACTTACATTTGGGGAGAGCACCAGGGCAATCCTGGCACCATAGCCACTACAGCATACTACAGCACACTTTACAAAGTCACCTTCAGGGGTCTTGGTGGCAGAGCCGCTTTAGAAGTCTGTAGTGCAGGGGGTTTGGTCTGGACGTCGTGCTACATGGATAGCTACATGGAAAGACTTGTCTTTACCCGTATGTCTAATTTCCTAAATTCCAACTCTCTCCTTGACCCTCTTCAATCTGGCTTCCGCCCTCTCCACTCTACTGAGACTGCACTTATCAAAGTTACTAACGACCTAATCGCAGCTAAATCCAAAGGTCACTACTCCATACTAAATCTTCTTGACCTCTCAGCGGCCTTTGACACCGTTGATCATGCTCTCCTTCTTCAAACTCTTTAATCGCTTGGTCTCTGTGACTCTGTCCTCTTGTGGTTTTCCTCTTATCTCTCCCATCGATCATTCAGTGTCTCTTTTTCTAATGATACCCCCTCCCCTCGTCCTGTCTCGGTTGGAGTACCCCAAGGCTCTGTCCTTGGTCCCCTTCTATTTTCTCTTTATACTGCCTCTCTTGGCAAAGTATTACCTAATTTGGATTCCACTACCACCTGTACGCTGATAACACCCAGATATATCTCTCCTCCCGAGACTTCTCCCCTGCCGTCCTGCAGCGTGTCACTGCTTGCCTTTCTTCCATCTCTGACTGGATGTCCTCGCGCTTTCTGAAACTCAGTCGCTCTAAAACTGAGCTTCTTGTCTTTCCTCCTCCTAATACTGATCCTCCTCTTTCGCTCTCCCTTCAAGTTTGTGGTACCCACATCAGTCCATCCTTGCAAGCACACTGTCTTGGCGTCAAACTTGATTCTGGCCTCACCATTGAGCCTCACATCCAGCATGTTGCCAAATCCTGTAGATTCCATCTTAAAAACATAGCCTGCATCCGCCCCTTTCTTGCACCAGATACTACCAAGGAGCTTGTCCATGCTCTGGTAATTTCCCGCATGGAATATTGTAACCCTCTCCAAAAGCCGTACTGCACCGCTACAACCCGTAATGAACGCTGCTGCCAGACTGATTTTCCTCTCTAGTCGTTTCTCTCACACCTCACCCCTCTGCCAGTCCTTACATTGGCTTCCTGTATGCTATAGGAGTCAATTCAAGGTACTAATTCACACCTATAAAGCACTGAAAAACTCTAGCCCCTCTTATATCTCCTCACAGATCCATAGGTATGTCCCTTCTCGGTCTCTCCGCTCTGCCCATGACCACCTCCTGTCCGTTGTCTGCACCGTACAGCCAACTCACGCTTGCAGGACTTCTCGCGGGCAGCTCCCTTCCTATGGAATAGCCTGCCTACCGCCATCTCTTTAGGAAAGCTTATAGCCTCCCAGACTAACCTCTACCTCACATACCTATCTCCTGCTCTCTCCTAAAGGGTAGCTCACCTTATTTGACTGCAAATTCCTGTCCTAATGTGTTTTACACCCCACCTCTTATAGAATGTAAGCTCGATTGAGCAGGGTCCTCTTCAACCTATTGTTCCCGTAAGTTTATTTGTAATTGTCCTATTTATAGCTAAATCCCCCTCTCATAATATGGTAAAGCGCTGCGGAATATGTTGGCGCTATATAAATGGCAATAATAATAAGAATAGCTGAGTTCGGAGCTTTGACCACTGTGCCAAGCATTTTGCCTTTACCAAGCGCTTCACAGCAATTTTGCCATACACTAAGTTGTACTCAGTGCTCACTATGATGACTTCTCAAAATATGGAAAATAAAAAAGATTTAGGTATTTTCATCAACCAGCCATATTCAGGCAGGGATTGGAGATGGCACCCGAACAAGCCCTGGTGGACTACGAGGATGTGGCTTAAGACTCTTTGGTCTCCTGCTCTGATGACACAGCTCAGATATTACAGCAAGAAATTGAGAGAAGTACAGCTGAAGTGAAGGCCAAAATACAGGCCCTTGGGGTTTGAACCGCAGAGCTGCAAAGCTAGGTAGAGGTGATGGTAACAGCCCACAATGACATGATAGACAGAACTAATGACCTGCAGAACCATATAACGTCTATGGAGAACCTATTAGAGTACCTATCCAGCTGTTCCTGATGCAATAATCTGCGATTAAGAGGCCTACCAAAACTGGCAGGTGAGAGAACTGTTACCCAGGTCATTTTAGACATCTTTTTACCTCTCTTATCTTATATACTAGAGGCAATGTGGGTGATAGAGCAGTACGGGCACGGATGGCAGAGGGGTACCAACCATGGGATGGCTTGGTCTGCTTCCACTTTTATATAACTAAGGAGGTGATCCTCTGAAAATGCTGGGGCCCTGAGGCATCATATCAAGGAACACCCATATAGGTCTATTATTATTATTACTATTTATAAATTGCCAACATAATCCGTAGTGCTTTACAATGGGTGGACTAACAGACACATAATTCTAACCAGGTGAGCTGGGTGCACAGAAACAGATGGGTTGATGGCCCTGCTCAATGAGCTTACATGCTAGAGGGAGTGGGGTATAGTGACACAAAAGGTAAAGGTAGAAAAGTAGGGCTTAGTGGGTGATTAAAATGTTTTTTTTTATGACAGTTGCAGGAGAGGAATCAGGGTGCGGTGAAAGAAAGCTGTTTTGTTGGTATGCTTTCCTGAAGAAATGAAATTTCTTGATTTTTTTTTTTTTTTAAAGGAATGGAGACTGGGTGAGCGTCTAACAGAGAAGGGAAGGGAGTTCCATAGGAATGGTGCATCCCTGGAGAAGTGTTCAAGGCTAGACTCAGAGGTCAGAGCACAAACAGAGGATAGACGTAGGTTTTCGGCATAGTGCAGGGACCTAAACGGGACATACTTGTGTATTAGGGGGGATAGGTAGGTTGGAGCAGCATTATGTTGTGGGGATATTTATGGGATAATAATAGTAACAGTGAGAATTGCCCACTAATTCAATTCTCAGATCCCAAAGAACGTTTATCGTAAGTGAAAGTATTTCATATAAATAATATTCACAATTTTATTATAAAAATAGATTTTATTTATAATAACAAGTTAATTAATAATAATAATATGTAACATGCGTGACAATAATCAATGAATATCCAGTATAAAATGGTATGCAATACAAAGGAATGGCTAAACAGATTTCAATGGGTAAACAGCATTATCTGTCAAGACCTTACTTATGACTATCTTTCACAGACATAGAGAAAGTTTCACGCAGAGAACAGAATTCCTCAGAGTGCAGCGTAAGGTCGTAAAGTTTAGCTGACAGTTAGAATAACCCTTTCAATGCTGGCTAGATCTCCTACGTAATTAAATAAAATAACATTTAAACCAGTTCATTAGTCATTTCCTGGAACCATCCAATAAGAGAATCTACCATGTTTTATAAGCAGAGTTTGTTTTTAATTTGTCTAAAAGATATCTTATCTTATATTAGAGCAAATCAATACACCTGGATAAAAACAACGGTATGCTAACACGTGATAATATCACATTAATATATAATTATTCTTAATTCCACCTGCAGAATGGAATGTTTATAACTATATATTCTTTAGTTAACTAAGATTTCTTAATATGGAAATCTGACCGTGCTTTATCCAGTCATATATAATGCTATTAATACATTTTAATTAATTTAATTAATTAAATGAAACCAGTATAATTACCAGTTGAGTAGATATTTCATCCGATTGGTAGTCTCAGGAACTTATTTGGATGTCTCTCTGCATGGAGGTTGGAGTCCCCAAACTTCCAATTCCTCTCTCCTCTCCTTTCTCCTTTGCATCTCTTGCATACCCTGCATATCTCTATCTTCCCTTTGTCTTAACTTTTAAAGGGCCAGACTCTCTGTACGTCATCAGTTGATAACCCAATAGAAGCACTAGAGGTGTGGTTATCTTCCAGATCGCAATTTAGGTATTTGGTCTATAGAGGGCAGTCTTGTCCCACTAAACATACCTATCCAGAAAAGAGTTAACTTTTCCTGGTGGCTATTTTGACGTCATTTTGCGTTATCTTTATAGTGCCATAATTTAAAATTTCAAAGGGTTTCTTTAAGTTTTGTCCAGACTATGTGTCTGGCAAATCTGCTATAATTTCTGATATGGCAGATCATGAACTAAGTTTACCCTTTTCCATACAATGGTACCTTATATATATATAGACAGTAAAATTAAATTAATTAATCTTCTCTGTCACAAATGTCTGGGTTTAGATTTGATCTATTCCATTAGCATTAGACAGTCTGTCCAACCCCCTTTCTGCTTATCACTTGTTTATACTATGCATTCCTTTAGCTCTGGGGAAGTGGTTAGTTTTACAGATAGAAATCTTGTGTCTTTTTGTTAGCTTGAAAATAACAAAATGGAGTCTGGTCTGTTCAGAGTGACTCAGAATATACACTTTTAATTTCTACCATAGCACAAGATGTCTGCCGATATAAATACCCTGACATAACCCCCCTTTAGTGCATTTCGTAGTCAAAATTAATTTAGCTTATGAATAAGCACTATAGAAGTTACCAGACATATTGTGCAATCACATCATTTCTAACATAGGTCCGTGCGTGGAATGAACATTTTTGTATATATTTGTACCTGTAAGAGTTTTGAACTTTACACTTAGTACAATCAACCATAATATCATTATTAACATAGTACATTATTTTCATTTGAAAAATGTCTTTGGGAGTTACATATGGTATGGCCAATAAAAAGCAAATCTCCATACGTTCCGGATTAATTAAGAGAGGTATAGAGCTCCCCATCTCAAAGGCCAGATTAAATTGCATAGGCCCAATTGTTTCTCCATCCACATTGGTAAGCATCGCATGAACAATATCCTTGGATACAAAATACAGAGGTATGCGTCCCCCTGCCAATTCGATCATTCCAGTTTGCACTTCGTCAAGAAAAGCAAGTGTGTGGAACAATATTGGGTCATGCAGAAATAGAAGTTCACGCTTAAATAAGTCATGACTTTGGTGCAACTCAGTGGATTTGGCAATTAACTCCGAATGCAAATTGTTGTAACAACTGTGTCTTCCACAATAGTTAACACGTCTTGGAGAAGTGTTCTTTGCTGTTGTATCACCTGATGAATATCATTAATGTGTTGCTTTAGCGCATAGATTTCCATATCCACTTTTGGACAGTAATAGAGTTGGCTGCAGACATTCCAGTTGCGACAACTGCACCGACAGTGGCACAAACTAATGCAACAATTATAGCGGTGAGGAACCTTTTGGGTCGGTTGCTCATCGGAATAGAACTGGATACAAATGGTTTCCGGGCTTGCTCCAAGATGTTTCGCACACGGTCCTGTGCTCTTTGGAGGTGCATCTGGTATCAAGTCTGTAACTCAGGAAGCTGCATCGATGAAATGTTGTATGCCTTCTCGATGGAAATCTTGGGGTCCAAGCTGACGAACACATGTCGGGTCAGGATCCTCTTCTCTATCAAGATGAACCCTGGTGTCTCTTGAATCAGGATGCCGGAGGATGGTCCCATCTCTGCGATCGGGTCGGTCCGTAGCTCTTGGCACAGGAGCAGTACGATCCAGAAACACGCCACATCCTTCTTGGACATCTTTCGATCAGGATCAGGAACTCGTTTCAGACTTATCTACTAATGATTCAAAGTTTGTTAAGCATACAAACTTATAACAGTGTGACATCACTTGGCCTAGAACAACACATTATTACGATTCATCAACATATGTATTCTCTTTAATTCTATTTTTATAACTTTATCCCTCACTACATTTATTACTGACTCTTCAGTAATTCGCCTATAGCAGTTAAACAAGCTAGTAACCTGCTTAGAAATGTAGTTATTGGATGGCAAGGAAATGGTTAATGACATGAACGTACATGAGCAGGGCCGGACTGGGAAAAAAATTAGGCCCGGGCATTTTTCAATTAGAGCGGCCCCCCAAGAAGGGGGCGGGGCCAGAGAGGGTGTGTTTGTCATCACCAATGACAAGTACACCCCCTCTGAAAGTGAGCATGTTGGTTCAATGCGCAGAGCCCCGCTGAAGAGCTCAAGCATTAGAAAAAGGCCCTGTATTTGTTCTGCGCAGCGCAAGCAAATGTAATAACATGCTTGCGCTGTGTTTGCTTTTAAATTGTCTCTGGTGTCTCCACAAGTGGGATACCAGAGGACAAAAGGGCCAGGAAAGTGTATGGTGCATGTGTTTGGCGCATGCTTGTGGGATTGCCTGTGTGTAGAGTGTGGTGTGGTATTGTGTAAATAGGTCAATTTTGTGGTGTAGTATGTGTGGCTAGGGGCTGTAGAGAGTGCGTGTATAGGGGCATAGTGTTATAGGGGATGTAGCGAGTGTGTGCATACGGGCAGTAGTGTGTGTGTATAGGTGACGTAGTGTGTGTCACTTATACACACACACTACTGTGTGTAGAGAGGGTGTGTTTAGAGAATGTTGTATGTGTTTGCAGTGTGTGTGTAAGAGATCTAGTGTGTAAAGGACCCAGAGTGTGTATAGAAGATTGTGTGTATGTGTAGAGGATTAAGAGTGCATATAGGGTAAGGGATCTAGCGTGTATCTGGAGCGTAATGTGTGTAGTGGTGCAGTGTGAGAGGTGCTGTAGTGTGTGTCTGTGTATATATATATATATATATATATATATATAATATATTTGGATGTATTGTATGTGTGAGGTGCGCAGCGTGTTTGTGTAAGAGGAGTGCTGTGTGTGAGGGTGTTTTTATCTGCCGTCACATTCTGGGTTTCTAATTTTATTTGTCTGTTAACTCACTGAGGGTTATTTTATATAAATATATGTGCTGTATATGTGTGGGAGTGAGGGTGCTGTCTGTCTGAGGGTGTTGTGTGCGTCTGGGGGTGCTGTGTGTGTGTCTGGGGGTGCTGTGTGTGTCTGTGGGGTGCTGTGTGTCTGGGTGCTGTGTGTGTCGTTGCTGTGTGTGTCTGGGTGTGCTGTGTGTGTGTGTATCTGAGTTGCTGTGTGTGTCTGGGGGTGCTGTGTGTGTCTGGGTGCTGTGTGTGTCTGGGTGTGCTGTGTGTGTGTCTGGGTGTGCTGTGTGTGTCTGGGGTGCTGTGTGTGTGTCTGGGTGCTGTGTGTGTCTGGGTGTGCTGGGTGTGTCTGGGGGTGCTGTGTGTGTGTATGTATCTGGGGGTGCTGTGTGTGTGTGTATCTGGGGTGCTGTGTGTCTAGATTGCTGTGTGTGTCTGGGGTGCTGTGTGTGTGTCTGGGGTGCTGTGTGTGTGTGTCTGGGGAGTTGCTGGGTGTGTGTCTGAGTGCTGTGTGTGTCTGGGGGTGCTGTGTGTGTTTCTGGGGATTAACGTGTGTGTGTGTGTGTCTGGGTGCTGTGTGTGTGTCTTAGTGCTGTGTGGGTCTGGGTGTGTGTGTGTCTGGGTGCTGTGTGTGTCTGGGGGCTGTGTGTGTGTCTGGGGCTGTGTGTGTCTGGGTGCTGTGTGTGTCTGGGGGGCTGTGTGTGTGTGTCTGGGGGTGCTGTGTGTGTGTGTCTGGATGCTGTGTGTGTGTGTGTGTCTGGGGGCTGTGTGTGTGTCTGGGGGTGCTGTGTGTGTCTGGGGGGGGCTGTGTGTGTCTGGGGGGCTGTGTGTGTCTGGGGGGGCTGTTAGGGTAATTATTTTAAATATATATTTTTTTTATTTTATTAATAATTATAATATCATAATAATTAATAATTATTAATAATTTTAAAAAAAAAGTTATGCCCCCCCCTCCTTCTTACCTTAAGCCTGGGAGGGGGGGCAGCCGTGTTGCCATGGGAGGGGGGGGGGCATGCTGTCATCCTCCCTGGTGGTCCAGTGTTGAGAGTGAACTCCAGCCTGCAGGCTAAAGTTCACTCTCGCGAGATCTGAGCGTTGCTGTGGTAACCGCGGCAACGCTCAGAATCCCGCGAGAGGACCCGGCGGAGCTGCTTGTTAGAGCTCTGCCGGGTCCTCTCTCCTGCCTCCCTCCCTCACTCCCCAGCCTGCGGCCGCCTGTAACAGTGCCTGTGGGCCGGTGAGGGAGATCTGTGATCTCCCCACCACCGGCCATGAAGGAAACACACAGCAGGAGCGGCGCTCCCGGACTGGCCCTGCCCAGGCTAACAGGAGATCCACCTTGATCTCCCTGCTGGCCCTAACCCCAGCCATCATGACCCACGAAACATTCGCCTCCGGGTGCCTTCTATGAAATTGGCTCCCCGCTTTATTGGTCCTTATCGTATTATACATAAGGTTAATCCTGTTTCGTATGCCTTGGGTCTCCCTAAGAATCTGCGTATTCCTAATGTCTTTCACACCTCGTTGTTGAAGCCTTTCGTACGCAACCGCTACACCCGACATGCACCTCCTCCCCCTCCTGTTTCTGTGGAGGGTCATGAGGAATTTGAAGTTTCTGCAGTTCTTGACTCTCGTTTCCTTAGGGGCCGACTTCAGTACCTAGTGCATTGGAAGGGCTATGGGCCTGAGGAGCATAGTTGGATTTCCGCTGACGCGGTTCACGCTCCTCGTCTTGTGCGCTCTTTCCATTCTCGTTTTCCTGCCAGGCCTGGCCCTCCCCGCCCGGAGGGCGTGTCCTCAGGGGGGGGTAATGTAGCGGTACTTACCCTTTCCAGGGGCCGGCCGGGGTCCTCTGTTCGAGCCGCGCGCGGTCCTGCTGCTGCACGAGCCGCGCGCGGCTCAGCCGACCGCTGTGACTAGTAGCGGTCACGTGTTCTACCTACTCTAAGAGCGCGCCGCGGGTATCGGGCGCGCTCTTAAAGGGACAGTGGGTGCCTAAATTGGAAAAGGCATCCCATTGGTCCCTGTCATGCCACACTCCCCATACACTTACCTTTTGGGGGCGTGGATGTGACAGGGACCAATCAAATTAGATGTTTAGGTATTTATACTCACCTTCTTTCCTTTGTTCCTTGCCCTATCGTGGTTTCTGTATCAGTTCCCTTTAGCGCTTGTTGTGTTCAGTTGTGTTTCTCCGTATTGACCTTGGCTTTGTTTCTGACTACGTTTTCTCTTTATCCTTATCTGTTCTGGTTGTCGGCTTGTTGTTTACTGTGTACCAGACCCCGGCTTGTCCTAGTTTACGCTGTCTCTCTGTGCCCTTGATTTCGGATTGTTCCTGACTCTGTCTCCTCTCATATACGTCGAGTCCGGCCATTCTAAGGTCCGGTAGACGTATCTCTCCTCTGTGTTGTCTTTTGTTTAGCTGAATCCTGCGTGTTGGGGTATATTCTCGTTACATTACGATAGGGCCATGGACCCCGCAGATTTGGCTCAGCAAATGGCTTCTCACGAGGCAAGGTTTGTAGAGCAGGATCACCGTATGGATCAGATAGCACAGGCTCTCCAGACGCTCTTGTCTAGAACCATTCCTGCAACCGCACCGAACCCTCCTACACCTCATCCTCCCGAAGTATCCAATTCAACCAATGCTTCGCCCCATTTAACACCTCCTCCTAGGTATGGAGGGGAAGCCAAGACATGCAGAGGTTTTATTAATCAAATAGAATTCCACCTTGAGATGTATCCTCATTCCTTTCCAACTGATAGGTCTAAAGTGGGGTTTTTGATGCATCAACTTACTGACAAAGCACTAGAGTGGGCAAATCCTATTTGGGAGGCCAATGGACCTATGGTTCATGATTTCAATAGTTTTCTTGCGGCTTTTCGTAGAACTTTTGACACAACAAAGAGGTCAAAGAATGCCGCAAGAGCATTAATGAGGATTAAACAGGGGTCTAGGTCTGTGGCGGATTATGCTATTCAGTTTCGTACCCTTGCTTCACAGGTAGATTGGACCAATAATGGGTTAACTACTGCGTTCATGGAAGGTTTATCTGACACTATATTAGATGAGGTAGCGGCAAGGGAGCTTCCTATCCCATTAGAGGATCTTATTGACTACCTCATTGATATAGATAATAGAATTCGCGACAGGCTCTATACCAAAAACAAGAATAGGCGTCTGGTCACATCTATTAACCCTAGAGTTGATAAACCTGAGAGTGTTAAAGTACCCGAGGAGGAACCCATGCAATTAGGGGTTGCCAAACTCTCGGATACTGAAAAACTACTTAGAAGAAGGAATGGACTCTGCCTATACTGTGGTAGGCGAGACCATATGGTAAGGGAATGTCCTTTGCGTCCGGAAAACTCTCGCACCTAAGACCTTATAGGGGACTGGCCTTGGGTGTGATCTCTAAGTCTCCTAAATTGCCTCCTAATCGTTTGCTTCTCCCTGTTTCCCTTCATATGGGGGTGAGTTGTATAGCAGAATGCATATTAGCCTTGGTTGATTCTGGGGCTGCTGAGAACTTTATTGACTCTGAGTTTGTTACGAAAAATAACATTCCCGTCAGAGAAAGGGCAATACCCTTGGCCATTGAGGCCATAGATGGTAGACCATTAAGTTCTCCAATTGTTACTCATGAAACTGTACCATTACACATGTATACAGGGGTTTTACATTTTGAAACCATTCGATTCCAGGTTATCACATCTCCCTCTTCTCACATTGTGTTAGGGTACCCATGGTTACGTACTCACAATCCCATTTTCGATTGGGAGTCAGGGCAAATAAAATCATGGAGCGATGCCT